GCGGGGGTCTATCATCAAACTTCATAATAGCTGCTCGGGCTTTGCCACAGCTGCGCGGTGACCCTTTGATTTTGCTGTGATGGAACAGATCGCTCACGATGTGAAACGGTGCAAAATTATCATGTCTATTAATTCAGTCAGACATCCGTGCACCCGTCGCGCGCGCGCACGCCCACACGCACGCACGCACGCACGCCTCCCAAATCTTCTCTGTCTTGTGCCATTTCTTCGGCTTGGAAATGTCCTCGCAAATGCTGCCAGTCGTTTTTCATCATTGACTCGCAGACAGTAAAGCCGCAGTGTGTGTCCGTGTTTGTGCGTGAGCGTCCCTTTCGAGAAAAGGGGGTGGGTGGGGGGGCTGCAACGGACGTGCATAACCCATCCATTTTCTTACACTTACTCAACCGGGAAACGAACGATTACAGTTCCACTTTTCAAGGCTGCGTGAATGTCTCATCTTATTCAGTATTTGTTTACTGCCTTTGTTTTTTTTTCTGTGTGTGGGGGGGTTTTTTCTTATTCAGTATTTGTTTACTGCCTTTGTTTTTTTTCTGTGTGGCGTTTTTTTTTTTGTGTTTTTTTTTTGTTGTTATGACCGCGAGTGCTGAAAAACGTGACAATAAATCAGCAGGAGTCGCTGAATCGTAGTCGTTTGGATTTCGGACCTCGGTTGCACGTGATTCAAATGGTGCGAAACTACGAGATATCATTTGAATCGCTTCCGGTAGAAAATGACGTCAGTTGACACGTTTTAATCATGCACGACGGTCTAAATACGTTCAAAGGATGTTTCTATAATGATGAGTCATGTGGTGGCTCTTATTCGTAGTACTTGGTAGTCTGAAACATTGATTTTTGTGCATGCAAACACTTTGTTTTTTCTTCTTTCTACCCCCCAATTTTGCTGCTGTAGACTGTAAATTTCCCCAGTGTGGGACAAAAAAAAGGATATCTTATCTCATCTTAGTAGTTACATAGTTGATTGTGTGTAACTTCACTTTCAGAACAAAGAATGAAATGTATTCTTGCGGCTGTGTTATTGTGATTGTTGCCGTCTTGCTTTTTTTGTTCATCAATGTTCACGCGGTGACCTCGAGTGTCTAGAAAAGTGTCTCTAGGGTATTATTTGAGCTATTTCTAGACTATTTTATTGCCATTTGAAATACTTTTTTTCATAATTTGTACGGAAAGCGCCAATAAGTAAAAGCAATCATTTAATTGATTGAGGATTCATTATATTGCCGCTCGAATATGCAGACGCGACCCTCGAGTGCTCGGAAAAGCAGGCGTAAATGGATGTTAGTGGCAGTGGAAGCAGTAAGACGTTGCATGAGTATTATTGAGAACGCATGCTTCCTTTGACGTGACGGGCAAAAAAAAAAAAAAACAACTTTATATGCACGTGTTTGCCAACAAGGCGCGCTGCCAAAGTGCAACGTTGTCAATATGAATGAGAAGGGTTTTTTTTTTGGTTTTTTCAACTCCCAAATATGAGCATATTGAATGCTGACGGTGTGTTAGGGGCCTTTTATATGAAGTGAGGTTTTGTTTTGTTTTTAGGGCGAAAAGAGTGTGCGGAGGGTGAGCAAAAGCTGAGGGGGAGTTGGGGGGGGGGGGGGGGGGGGGGGGGGGGGCAAGTTGATTGAGATGGCGTGTGCCTGGATGACGGGAGCCAGTGAGGGACAAAGACCCAGCGAAGCCACGGCCACTGGAGCAATTATTCCTCCACGCTGCATTTGGATTAGTGCAATGGAAAGAAGCATATGTTTGGCCCGGGGCGACACTCTCCCCCCCTGGCTGACTGCAGAGGATGCTGAGAGAGAGAGAGAGAGAGGACGGGGGGGGGGGCCGGAGAAACTAAAAATTGAACGACATTAAGAGAACATAATTGTAATCTGCTTTTTTTTTCCCCTTTTTTTTTCTTGGTACTGTCGCTGAGGGAGAAAGCTGTCATGAAATTGTCAAAGCTTGGACAACGACAGTGTTCGTAAATAATAGACAAGAAATAGTCACAATAATAAAGCCCGAAATGTTGCAGAATCATATTGAACGTTGATTTGCATGAGTCGTTTTTCATAATAATAATAATAATAATAATAATAATAATAATTTTTGGCAAGCGCCAATTACTTTGTTTCTTCAAAGCCACTTAAAGTTTTCTAATCGCTTAGCTAATGTCTCACGTAATCAAGAGCGATTTGGCAGAGTCGTTGACCTCTCTTGGCTTCTGAGCCCCGGCCAAGGGGCCCAAAAGGGGGTCAGGCCCGGGCTCGGAGGGGTGGGGGGGGGTCTTGGTGGACACCTAGACCCCCAAATGACGGCCGATGTCAGAGTTGAAGACAATTAGCTCATTTTGCGCTTCACTGCAACAACTTTCAAATGCCGTCATTCGATTGCACCGATGGGCGTATCAAATGTGGTTGAGGGCAAGTCTTCCTCTTGTCCGAGGCATTCCTTCAAATCTCATTTCGAAACGCGACAGCAATAAGCAGGTTTGATTGACAAACAAGCTTTGCATTTGACAACGTTTGAGATCGTTGGCGAGGGGTCGTTCCCTATATGTGCAGTTGCTCGCCACAGCAGACTACAATCCAGTTGGTGAAATTAAGTTGTATGCATTATGGAATTGGAATGCTTCATGAAAATAACAATGATAATCAACGAATGCATTACAAAGTGAGACGACTGCTTGTGATTGTCGTCTGAGTTCATCTATTGAATGCGATTTATTTTATTTTTTTTTCCTTACCTGTTTTGGCCTATATTCTCCTATACAAATCTTTTTCCAATGCTTTGAAATACTTTTTGCGCTATTATCAGGACACCCGGGCTCAGATATCATTCCAGTCGGCGTTTCACAACAGTCACAATATTAATATTAATAATAATAATCATAATAATAATAATCATCATCATAATAATATAAGATAAGCAAACCTTTATTTTTCTCAAAATGGAGAAATTCCCAATTTACAGCAGCAAAATTATGAAAGGGAGAAAGTAGAAGAAGCCTGACAGCAGTCTGCAGGAACTATACAATAATAATCATCATCATCATCATACAAGCGTGTTGGCGTGCACGCGTGCGTGGTTCGAGGCAGCGCCTGCAAGCGGTACAGTGCACACTACATAACGGCGAGGCCGCTGCAGGCTAATGAGGCCACGCGTGACACCCACTTGCAAGCTTTGCAGCAGCATCCGAATACGTTGTGACCAGAAAAAAAGGAATGTGCCAAAGTGTGGTGTGCACAATGAACAGGCGATTAAAACACACACACACACACACACGCACACACACACACACACACACACACACACACACACACACGTACACAGGCACACGCACACGCACACACACACGTACCTAAACGACTGATTTGTAAAATATTGGCCAGCCTGCACGGTGGCTGACTTAAATGTGTTTCGTACTTTCTTTGATCTTGAAAATAGTCGCAGCTCTCATGATTAGTTACTTACTTGACTACTGTCGAATGCGCATTGGAAACTTTGTGGACAAATATATATTTGTCATCTCTTCATGAATTTCAAGCAGGATCAACCTCACACAGCCTTGCTTTGATCGCTCGCTTTTTTTTTTTTGAACATTTTTTTTGAACATTTTTGCAAATGTGTTTTCGCTTTGACTCGTTCGAGGGAGTCGTGCAAGTACACGACCGCCTTCGTTTTGTTCCTCCACTTTGTTTTATCGACGGCTATTTGAAAATCCTTCGAAACCGGAACCTCCACCTGTTTAAGTCGAATCAAATGACATCCAAATCTTCATTTGCGGGCGGGCGCGTGAATTGATACTTGCATGTGCACGCAAACGACACGAGAGTAAGATCGGAGATTTCCTTAACGCTCCAAATTGGTCACACAATCACCCAAACGTCGCCATCCTCTTGATTTGTCATTGCAATTGTGTAGCCCCTGTGAGGGGGGTCGGACGGTGCAATGCATTGTTCCAGATTCGATATTTCTAGCGCGCCGGTCTCACCCTGCAAATGTTCAATTCAACTTGGCCGCTGATACATTTATTCAACAATATTACCCGTTTAATCCGATTTTTTTTCCCTGTTGTTGGTGGTTATAAAGTGACTGTTTACCATAAACAAGAGCAGCCGGCTAGTCTCTCTCTTTCTCTCTCTGTCTCTCTCTCTCGCTCTCTCTCTCTCTTCTCCCTTTTTATGAGGGAGCGAGCGAGCGAGCTCTATTGTGCCCGAGGACAGGATCCCACACACACAAAAGTGAGGAGAGGAGCCAACAAAAATACAAGCCCATGACTGACAACAATGCCTCACCTGCTCCAATGCAGCACGTCGCAACCATGCCAAGGACATGCTGAAATATCTTTTTTTTAAATCCCCTGCAAAATAAAATGTACTAAAATAAAGCCCAAACCCAGATTAAAGTTGCAAATATTTCCGAGAGCACCTCGGCGGAATATTCACCCTGATAAGGATGAGCGATATATTACGCAACGGGTTTGCATGCATCTCTGCACACCCAATCAAGCCGAAAGGCCACACGCAGCAGCAACACACACACACACACACACACACACACACACACACACACACACACACACACACACACACACACACACAAGAGAGATTCACACGACGGCAGTGATTATACACCGAGAGGCAAGCAACATAACAAATATTTGATGCATGTCTTCCAACAATGCAGCAGACCAGCAGGGCTGTATATACACCCCAGAGGGCCCCCCCCCTCCCTTGTGCACGCTTCAAACGCGACTCTATATGCTTCATTGCAGGCCCGCATACCAATCTGAAGGCTTTTCTTTTTATTTTTATTATTATTATTATTATACTTGAGGGGAAACTGTGAGTTCAGCTGCGTATCGCAAAAGCCATATCGTCAAGGGAGGCTTCAACTCAATTACTGTTGCCGTTCACAATAGGAGAAAAGAGCAAAAATAAATAAATAAATAAGAACATTCAAATCAAGCAATGAATAAAAATAAAGTACAGATGAAGCGTATCAAATATTTATTTTTTTCTGGGCAACAAAGGAATATAATACATCGACAGGCATTGGGAACTATTGCCAGCACGTGTCTATACAATGACAGCTAAAATCGCCTCTGATTTTTGGACATTATCAGACAGAACAAGATATTAGGTAGACCCCAATAACGTGTTTGGAACTTTTTTTTTTTCAAAGAAAAACAAAAACAATCCATTTATTGCTTTTATGGCGCTTCAAAGACAGAACAGGAGGTGATTTCTGATTGGCACGACACATAAAATCTTGTATAAAAAATAGAAACACACAAAAAAAAAACACGTTCTCCTCAGGGGTGTGAAATGAGCAAATAAACGGAATAAAGATGAGAGAAAGAGAGAGAGAGAGAGAAGCGGAAGTTGTATTTCTATTCAATTTGTTCACTTGCTTCAATGTCGCCTCAACATGCTACAAGAGGGCTGAATTGAAATATCCCAGAGAAATCAAATAAAAAAGACCCCAAACTTCTGTTTTTTGTTTTTTTTTTCTTCCTAAGAACCATTAAATCACATGAAGAGCTAACCGAATATTAAAACCCACTAAAACAGGAGGCACCAGATAAATAAAAAAAAAAAAAGTTTCAACAGACGCACCATATTTACAATTCCCATTAAATTACACATAAATAAATATATACATACATGAACACTGATTCCCTTATATAACCGTGAATCGTGTTGCAATTTTTAAAAAAAGTTCAAGTCGGTCGCTTGGAGAGAGAAGGAGAAGAGAGTTTGAAGTCATGACGTGGAGCTCTGTTGAATTTCTCCAAGTTATTATTCACAATACTGAGGGAAGAATTGGTCCATCTTTGGGCTTCTTCTTCTTACTTTTTTTTGTTGTTGTTTTTTTTTTTTTGTTTCACAAAATTCAAATGGGTCGCTGGATTTCAGTCCATTGCTTGCAGCTCTTTCGAAAAAGAAGGTGACCATCGGACGTTTTCTTTTGTGAGAAAACACACCTCTTCCACACGCCGGAGCTCTTCTTTTCTTTCTTTCTGTCTTTTTTTTCGAACAACAATAAGAAGAATACAGCCGCTGGAAGATTCTTGACTCGTTTTCCCAGCGAATCCCAAAATTGGCCGTCTTTAATCAAAAGAAAACATGGCGCGAGATCAGCAAGTGGCACGACTTTATCAATAGTATTTATAATATTTATATTGGATGGGGGGGAGAGCCCAGACAAAAAGAGGTGGGAAAAAAAAAAAAAAAAAAAAGAGGAGGCCCCGGGGGATTTGGCCCCTTAATGCAGAAAGGGGGGCGGGGGGGGGGCGTCGGGGGTATCACTTTCTGTGCTTCTCGTCTTTGTCGCCTTTAGTGCCGTTATCTGAGTGACTGTTGGGGTTGTTGTTGAGGTACATTTTGTCCATGGCTTTGATGGCTTCGGTCAGATAGTTCTGCAGGGCCGTGACGGCCGCGCACAGGGCCGGCGTGCCGAATCCGTGCGAGATGAGGCTGAAGTGGGTCAAGCAGCTCTGGATTCCCGGTTCGAGGATGGGCTGCGGCCGCGAGTTGCCCAGCGGCGAGCGGTCCTGGGACAGCAGGTCCGTGAACTCCTTGCACACTTGCCTTTGGAGACACAACGCCAAATGGCCTGTTACCATGCTAATTCGTGTCCTCGTGGAAATGCACATCTATCTATGTAGAATTTTTTTTTAAAAAGGGAGGACTCGGGGGCTGCTGCGCAGTGTGAGATTTTTCGCTCTGAGGGACTATCAGGTGACCTGCACCTGTTCCATTTTTTTACAGTTAAGATTTTTTGAAGTCTCGTTTTCTCTCTCTTTTGCTCTCTCACTGTGGTACACAAAAAGCCAAAATGCAAATAACAATTTTAAGTGACGTGCATCAACATTTTTTTTTTTGCAATTATTATTGTTTTCATATTGATTTATTTTCGGCTCCTTTTTGTCCAAAAAAATTGAATAAATGCCCTGTTCGTGTTATATAGCTACATTTAATGCAAATGTTGGTTTCATTTTATTTTCACCCTTTCAAACTGAATACAACATGGCCTATCCACTATAGTGACATACACTTATTATATTATTGCTATCATTGTGTGTGTGTGTGTGTGTGTGTGTGTGTGTGTGTGTGTGTGTGTGTGTGTGTGTGTGTGTGTGTTATACTTTGTACAATTTTTGTTGTGAGGTTTTTTCGACAGGAATAAAAAAATAATACGTCGGGTTAATTGGGCCTTAAATACGTTTAAATTAATGTTTGCTCTTGCCTTGTATGGTCATCAAAAATCATTCAATGCTCCCGCCACGATGCACGTGGTCCTTTTCAAATATATTTGGCTGTTTAAAAAAAAAATTTTAAACGGCCCGTTCGGATACAAATGCAAATGAAATATCACGTGATCGAGAAATCCCAACACGACATCGATGTGTTCATCTTGCATCACGAGATTGCGTCCTAAATAAAATGCATTCACGGGCTGGGATTTGTAGTTGTTGTTTCTTTCACAAATTCAATATCAGATGATCATTACCCATGCTCAGTTTTGTTTTTCGCATCCTAATTTGTATCCCTAATATCGAAGGCTGCTGATTTTGAGGAACTCAAATGGCAGACGTTATGATGCAGCGTCTACATTTTAGCACGGTTCAAACTTTGCCCGAATTTTTTTGAAGACTTTGCATCATGTCTGCAGCTGTTTCCTACATGTCGTATACAACACGTCAAGCCGCGGGCCCTTTCAAGCAGAGTGCACTTACTTTGTAGCCAGTAGCATGTTTTTTCTTTGGACTTGTTCGTTTGGGTCGGAGTGCTGACGGTTTACATATTCAGCTACTGCCTTGGCGGGGAACTCGGTCTCACACACGTAACCAAAATCCCTGGCAAGATGCACCGCTTCGCCTGACAGCAGAGATGCAAAGGGAGGAGTAAAAAAAAAAAAAAAAAACATGAGCTTGGACGCGTTGGCCGATCATTAAGTACGGTGACATCAAATCCCGCAACGGTTCGTTCACACGCACGATTGTGATGGAATTCAATCCAAAGCATTTATAGGTGAGCGGCATCGCGCATGATGACGAAACACAATCCCGACCGAAGGAAGGAAACCAAAAGACACAATGTTCCACTTGTGTCGTCTTTTCCTGCCGGTGCGGCGAGAGAGCCTTCGTGTGCAGGTGAACAATAAGTGGCTTGAAATATAGAGCGGGTGTCGCGTTAGGCACCGTGTCATCGATTAGCAACGAAGGTTCCAGAAGCCATTGGTATACAGGTGAGCGAGTTTCACTCACGTGTATTTAAGCCTTTCGAATTCAGTGTCACTTGGAGCGCCCTCCAAGTCATCGCTTTTCATTTCCCGCGGCACTTGCTGCCCCAACGCCTTCATTCCCAAAACAAGCGCGCATGCGCCAATTAGCATTCAACCCCTTCTCAACTCCAGTCTGTACACTTGTCGGTCTCCCGGCCACATCTGCGTTTTTTTTTGTTTTTTTTTTTGCCCTCCAATTTTCTCTTTCACAAGACAAGCAAAACGACGGCTCTTGCGTTAGGACCAACGGAGCACCACCTCATGCGAGTGCACCGCACCCCGCCCAATAACGAGGCCCGCGGAGCACCGTGCGGTTTGCTCAAACCAACGCATTGCATTGCCTGCCCAAACAGGCTTCGCCGAGACGCGCTGGATTTTGGAACGCGCGTGCGGCACGGCTGCGCAAAAGTGCCATTCAAACGAGACGTTATTAATGTTTGGAGCAATAAATCAATTGACTTTTCGTCCACGCGGTGAACCGGCTGAGCGGCACCCAACAAACGAGCAGCACCCAATAATTAACACCGCACGCGCAGTCGCCCCCCTCACCCCCACCCCCCTAGCGCGCGGCAAAAGTAGGCCAGTCGTCGACCTATACTTGGGACTGTTGCAAGGGCCGCAGAAAAGCCACGAGAATTACCAGCACTGTCCACGCACACGCGCACGCACACGCACACCCTTCATGCTTTATTACTTGCAAGGCAAAGTCGCTCCACATTACACGCATGAGCGCATATGCTGATTTTCAACACAGACCGAGGAAAAGGGGGAAAGCTACAGAAGGGGGCGGGGGGCGGGGGGATAAAAAGCCAGCACCTGGTATCGCGTGTTAAAACGGGATTTGCTGCAGCTCGACTCACCTTCTACTAGTGACGTCAGCAAGGTGACGTTGGCTGCCTTGCGTCTGCCCGCAGGTAGATTCAAGCCGATTTTATCCAGCTTCTCCCTCAAGGATCTCCCTCCATTCTTAGACTTGGCCCTACAACAATAAAATAAAGCACGCGTTCAGCGTGGTGGGGTTTTGGGAGGGGGCTCACACATACACACACTGATAATTGGCGACATCAAAATAAATAAATCACAAGAGTTGGGGCCTAAAAATGTTTGCCGTCCAGGAAAATCCAAACGACGTTAATCATCAGCTTCCCCAAAATGTCAGGTCGAAAATATTATTTTTTAAAGGGGGACCAAGCGACACGTGATCCAATGATTTGGTTGCTTTTGTCCAAAACAAACTCATTTTGAGGATTGTTTTGCACAAACCCAACCAAAGCAAAGAAAAAATTGGTTCAAACTGACCTCCGGCGGCCAATCTGTTTTTGACCCTTAATTGGGTTTCCGAGCAACATTTGTTGTGCTAATTTCAGGGTTGTCCAGTAACATTTCAGCGATGGAACGCGCGTCATGCCACTGCACGTGTTAGCAAGGTCGGGTAGCGAGAGGTGAAGCGTGCACGTTTCTCATGGAAGTCTTCAAATGAGTCCGCTTGGGAAACCTGCCATTAATAAACCCGAAAAATGAGCCCCGGTGTCTCACTAGCAGACAAATACTGTGCAAAAATGAATAAATAAAGCCCTAGTTAATAGGCAGCTCTATTCCAGGCTGCAGCACTTCAGTCGACAGTTCACCAGAGACCAATGTTTTCATGTGTAATGCCTTCAGCGGGCCTATAGAGCCGGGCTCGAAACAGCCTCCATTAATTTGAGAGAAGGGGAGAGAGAAAGAGAGAGAGAGAGCGAGAGAGAGAGGGGCAAGTTAATATGGAATTTAACACACACCCCTCCTGCTTTAAATGCGGCAGCAAGGTGTCATGCTTGGTCGATTTTAATTATTCATGGTACGGGGGAGGGAGAGAGAGAGAGAGAGAGAAAGCTGGCCTATGTTGAGAAAAAGGGGCCACCTTTTACTATTATTATTAGTGTTGTTATTATTATTATTATCGTTATTCCTCACCTCCTCAGCACGCCGCCCAGCAACGAAGCGTTAAGGCACTCGGGCGGTGAGAGGCGTCTCTGCACCTCAGCCACCGTCACCTTGTACTTGGACGTGGAACTGAGCAGGGACAGGCGACCCGGAACTGAGCAGAACACCTCGTTCGGGTTGACCACTCCGCCGAAGAGGCCGTCCTTGTTGATGGGGATGCCGGAGACGTTGTTCTTGGATAAAGACACTGGACCTAGGAGGGCCGAGGGAGCGGGGTGGGCTTAGAGGGCGTTTCGTGCTCACTGAATTTCATGCAATGCAAAGCCTTAACTAAATGAGAGCAGCACGTGTATCCTTTCAGAAGCCTTGCCGCGCCAAAAAAAAAAAAAAAAAAAATCATACTTCAAAAAAACAGTGATATAAGGGAACGTCCGAGCCTTCCATTGGAAGTCATGACGTCATGACGCAAACAAGCCATTATGCCGATATTTTGACATCTTTGCGATCACAGGATGATGAGGAGGTGTGATTTCAAGCCCCAAATAAGAGAAATAAGGTGGTGGTGGTGATGGTGGTCCTCGACGCGACACGCTGACTGTCCTTCGCGCTGTTTCGGTGCATGCGCGCATGCAGTAACCGGAGACAAAGAGGGCCCGTGCGCGCTTTTGGATGGATCAGTTGTGACATTTGTGGCTCAGGGGAGCCTAAAAGAGACAATGGGAGTCAAACGAACTCTTGAGATTACACATTTAAGAGGCCAATTATCATGTTGCAGATCGAGAGCCTGGAATAAAAACAAAAGCGATAATAGCGCGGTACAAAAACGAATAGGGGGGAATCTGAAAAACGCTGCTGGGGAGCTCCAATTTGTCCTGGCAGAACGCATTAACAATAAAACACCTCCTTGCTGCATCTCACACACACACACACCATACACACACCCATACAGTATCTATAGACATATATAAAAGAAGCAGCATAATCCAACTCAATGGGCTTGAAACTAGATTTCCAAACGCTTGTGATTACACCAAAGTGCGTTTTCACGCCCCTCTTTCCCCCTTTCCGAGCGACACGCTCCCATCTTCAACGCAGCGGGGCCCAGGGTGTATATGCTCGCGCGCTCCATCCGCCGTCACCGACTTCCATTTTGAGTATTTGGACCGTGCAAGCGTGATTGTCGCTATATTGGGCCTCCACCAACCAGCGAATCCAGTGGCCATTAATACAGCGCCGGGCCCCCACAAAGCCCACCAGCCCCACTCAATTCATGTGCGCGCATGATGTGAAACGCTGACAGTAAATTCCATCAGCGAGAAAGACGAAGAGGGGCAGGAAGAGGTGGGGGGGAGGTGCAGCCCAGTTTGATGCACTTGGAAAGCATGTAATGAAAAATAGGCTAGCGCATATTAGGATCAGTCGGGCATTACGGCATCGAGTTCTCTCGAGCAGAATGGTGTGTGTGTGTGTGTGTGTGTGTGTGTGTGTGTGTGTGTGTGTGTGTGTGTGTGTGTGTGTGTGTAAACTTGCAGAAACACGCGCGATTTATCGCGGAGGAAATTGCTTACCTTTTTTAATTACAGTCTGGTCGGGAATGTGAATTCCTTGATCCTCAACAGGCTGTGACAGAAATGCACAAAAAGAGAACATTTAGCCACAAAGGGCGTCCAAGCCTCATCAGCCACGCAAACGCCATTTCACAAAGCTCGTACCCGGCTCTTCCTCTTCTTCTTATTCCTATTAGTACTGCACACCTTGCGGTGTTTTCACAAATACGTGGAGCCCATTCGAAATGTTTAAGGAGCACAGTAGTGCAGACAGTGTCAGACTTAAATAACGGCGCTGCGTCGCCCCATAATCCTGACCTAATTCCGCCCTCTTATCTCACGCACACGCACACAAAGGCACACGCTCATCAGGCAACTTCAAATCGAGACCGAATAAGAATTACGACAGCAGCCTATTAAAGGCCTATGAACTAATTAGAAGATTTCTCGGTGTTTGTTTCCGATTAAAGACGCCTCTCCCTGAGAAGCACGGCTTTTAGTCATGGCGGCATTTGTTTCTTTTCTTTTTTTTTCTTTTTTTGTATAATATAAAATTAAAAAAAAAAAACATCGGCGCGTACACGATAAAAACAACGCATATTGTGTCTCAGCTTTTCGTTGAAATAAAATGACCTTCGTATTTAAGCGGCATTTAAATGTGCGTTATAATTTCCAAAAAGAATTAAATCCCCCCAAAAGGACCATTTCTAGAGACGATATGAATTTAACTGCACAAAGCGAGCGCGCACATTGTCATAATAACTAGAAAATGATGACACCGGCAGATCGAGGAAACAAACGCACTCCCAATCGTGTCTCAATGTGTGTTGCTTTAACAAAAGTAAAAAAAAATAATAATAAAATAAAAGAAAAAGAAAGAAAGAAGAAAAGAAAACTCCCGATGTCATGACGACGGCGCAATTTCACGCGCGGAATGACGCGCCCGGTTCGGCGCTCGACTCGAACAAAGGAAGCTTACCTGGACATCTTCTAAAGAGTGGGGTATTCCATGGATTGGGATAGAGTCCGAGAGTCCCGTGTCAATGCCGTGGCCGGACGGTAGGAGCACCTCCCGGCGGTAGTCCCGACACAGCTGGTGGGGCAGGCTGCGGTGCTGGTGCAGCAGGCCGCTCTCCTGCCCTTGCCTCTGGCCGGGCCAGCCCGGGTGCTGCGTTTGCGGCTGGGCGTGCAAGGAGTTGAGGGAGTAGGGGTCGTTGACGTGCGAGTAAGGGTCCTGAGACTGCGGGTAGATGGGCTGGTAGGGCGGGGGGAAGTACGGGGGCTGGAAGTCTGAGTTGGGCGTGTGCGAGAGCGGCGGCGCGCTCGTGTAGGGACTCTGGCCCACGCCGCCCAGCTGAGGTAGCCTCGCCGTCCCGTTGCTGGTGCCGTCGTGGCGGTCCTGGTGCGGGAAGGAGAAGACGCGCAAAATTGAATCGCCCGTTGCCGAAGCCTTTCGCGAGCCCCGCGTGCACGGCCGCTAGCCCGTATTGTTCTTGCGAACAGAATTTCGGAACAGAAAGCAAACAATTCGTTCATCTCAAAAATTAGATTAATTCAAATCAAAAAAGACCAGACGCCAAAATACATATTTTATACATTTTCCCCCCTCCCCACAAATACGCATGCAAATGTTGCTCACGCAATTCTCCACCAGCACACCACCAAATGTACTCAACTTAAATTCGTCATATTGGAAAGGAACTTACCATAGCGGAAAAACTGTGCACTAACATCTTGGGATGTTTTTTTTTTTGTCTTTTTTAAAAATAGATATTACAGCTTCAAAAACGTGTCTTGCGGTGGAGAGAACGGGAATTTATCAATGGGGAAAAAAATAGATATATATCCTCCCTCCCAGAAAAAAAAAGGCTCCCGTGCAAAAGATTGCGACGGCCCCGCAGATCAGATATGTGCCCCGGCAAGAGGGCGATAATCCATTAGAACTAATAAATTAGATCCCCATTGCCCTTCATTCGGATCTAATGAAAATCAAAGTATTCAAGGACGTTGGTGGATTCAAGGCTCAGGGAACCCCCACGCAAAAAGGAAAAAAAAGTTTCTCTCCTCTTTTCTTCGCTGCTGTCACGGCGCTGCGGTCCCCTGGCTGGAGCTCATATGAGTCGCTTCTTCCTCTTCCTCGCAGTTAAACTCCTAACAGAGCCCGGGCATGGCGCGCCAGCAGTGTCCGAACACTTCGGTCGGAACAACAACAACGACGACAAGAAAAAAAATAAATAAAGGAGGGGTGGGAGGGGTGGTGAGCCAGAAAGAATAGTCGGAAGTGGTGCGTGGAACGGAGGACGCAAGTCAGGGGCACAAAGTCTGCGCTTAAATGACGTCCATTGAAAGGAGGAATCGGAATATCTAATCAGAGAGAGAGAGAGAGAGAGAGAGAGCGAGAGAGAGAGAAGGGGCAACGGAGGGAGTGGAGGGAGAGAGCGCGAGAGACGAGAAGAGGGACATTCACTCTCTGACGAATCAGAACGAGAGGGTAGTGAAGCGAGGGGAGGGGGTTTAAAAGGGTCCCAGGCCAAAGCAAAAAAAAAAAAAAAAAATGGAGCCGACACCATGTTCACCATCATCTTGGCGCATAGCAACTATGTTGATGTGAATAAAGGAGCTTCATTTCGACAACGGTAGTGCTTTGCCACCATCTTTTGGCATCTTAGAGCTAATGAGCTATAGTCCCGGTACATTAAAGTGAGTTGAGAGTTTCATTTATATAAAAATAGTGCTTGGTCACCATTTTGTGGGATTGACAAGCAATTCTAAACATTTTTTGAAGGTCATTAATTACTTGGATTTCACTACTCGCGCAAGAACTCGAAAAGGGGCCCAGGCCAAACAAAAAAAAAAAAAAAAAAAGATGTAGACCAGAAGAAAGAAGGAAAGAAAGAAAGTGTGTGCACCTCTGAGGACGACGATCTGCCAGCTCGGACGAGCTCATTTCTGCCTCCAGACCTTGTGTTTTTCAACTCAGACTCTACATCCTCCATGGGACTCAATTAATCCACTGGGAACCCCCGACCCCCCCACCCCCTCAAAAAATTTAAAAAATACCTGCAACAAAAAAGTCTTCTGAGACGAGACTCGCTCGCAGGGCGCAACTTTTGCGATGGCTTGCTCACCTCACCTTTCCTGACCAATCACACATTTTTTTAAGCGGCCAAATCAAGCATGTTTTCGGCGATATTGGTCATCAAGAGGGGAAAAAAAAGAATAGAAATACAACGACAACGTGGAGGCAAAGGCGACAAGCTTCTTTTTTTATTCGTTCCCCACTAAGCGCTTCCTTTCCTGTCAATGCTCGTGTGCTTTGAAAACACGTCCAACTGGCTTCTCCACTCTCAAACAAGTCTCTGATAATGCTGCCTAACTTTGTCTATGGCCACAACAGCACCGGCGACACTTAGTCACACACACGCGCGCACACACACACACACACACACACACGCACGCGCGCACGCTAGCAGCAGCGTACTCTAACGACTCAAATTGCACACGTTAAAACACAATCAGAACAGACTACATTTCAAACACCTGCCAAGCAGAAGTCAAAATATTTATTTCAATTCCATCCAAAGGTCGGTCCACGTTGTCATTTTATTATTATCAACTGTCATTTAAAATTGAGCATGCATTTTGGAAGTAACTGTCGGAACACCGATTTCGATCAAATGAAACAGGAGGCATTGGCCAATGGTTTATAAATGCAGTTTCATTCAGAAAAAAATCAAAATAAATGGAAGGTGCTGTTATCGAAAATCATATATAATTATTATTGTTATCTATAATGATAATTACAAATGATATTATTATTATTATTATTATTATTATTATTATTATCATTATTGTTAATATTGTCGTTGTCGTTATTATTGTTATTATTATAGCTATTGTCGTTATTATGATGATGATTATTATTATTAATAGTAGTAGTCGCGTCGTCGTATTGTTGATTAACACCCAGCCTATTGCTTTCGCTTGTCAAAAGAATGACACATTAAAATAACAATACAACACATCCCGAGACTCTAATAGCAATTGTGGTGCATATGCTTCAAATACATTTGAAGCAATCCAAAGATAGCAGTCGATCAAAGAGAAGCCCCTTACCTCGCAATCTTCATATTTTATGTTATCAGTTAATTTCCACAGCATTTTCATGGGACGCTGAGGTGACTATTGAGTCAAGGTGTCGCCCAGTTTTTGCACTCAGTCAACTGTGCTCCCCGCTCCGCTCCAAAACTACTTTTTATTGAAGCCCGCGCGCGCTCGCCTGCCGGTATAGAAATAGCTTGGGTCGATTTACTGTAATCAGGTTCTCCTTGACACACACACACACACACACACACACACACACACACACTCACACACACACGTACAAGCGCTCGCGCGCCGCTCACACGCGTATCGCCGTGTTGATGCAACACTAGTGGACATTGCACAGGTATAAAAACACACACACACACAAAATGCACATGCGACTGCAACTTTGTGTGCGTTTATGTGCGTGCATGGGGGTGAGGTGAAAATGCAGCTAAAGTTGCCAAAGCAGAAGGCCTATGCAAATAGCAGCCAGCCCACTTTGTCGTCAGTCTTTCTTTTTCAAACTGTTATTTTAATCCCATTGAGAGCGCGGACCTTGTGAGGCTATTCTTGCACTGTTATGGTAAAAGAGAAAAAAAGTGAACCATTCCAGGCGGCTCTACAGGTCCATTGAGTAGCTGTGAGGCTTAATTTTGGAGACGGGGGTGTGTCAATAATTAACACAACAACACGGTCTCGTTTCATGTGAATGAGAGGCTGAAGGTAGCCTGGCTCGGCCCTGTCGCCGGCCTCTGCGCCCTCACCTTAGTAGGGCCCGAGGTGAGCAGACAGGTCGCCGCTCTCTGTCTTTCTCTCTCTCTCTCGCTCTCTCTCGCTCTCTCTCGCTCTAAGGCGTTGGTCCCTCTCGTTTCAAATCTGGATTAACATTTTTGGGGGCTGGTGGACCCCCTTGTCCCCTGTCTTTTTTTTTGTTGTCGTTGTTATTAATGAGACGCGAAGCAACGAAACTGGCTGACAATGACAGCACGCGAGTGTCTTTTGGGACCTGAAACTTACACCATAAAATACGCTCACTGAAAAAAAATTGCAATGGAACAAAGGTACTGTAAAGAATACAAAATAATTGAATCCATCCTAAAGCCATGTGATGTGCAAGCAGATTTAGACATGAAACGACATCGGTCCCAACGATCCAAACAAACACGTTTGGCATAAACCGCACGCGATCGGAGAAAAAGACGAGATGTCAGTCGGGACTAAAGCCCAAAGACACCATTTCACAGTCAAACCCGTCAAGATCCATTTAACAACAAGTCGACACTTGTGACACTTTTCGCACATTCTAACGAGCGTAGCTTTGTCTTCAAGCAGACGAAACACATACCTGCCATTCCCCCATTTTGCCCATAATTGACATGCTTCTCCTCCTCCTTCGTCTTCTTTCTTCTTTCGATACTTTGTTTTGGTCAAACCGCCCGAATGGTGTTATCTCATAGAGCCTCCGGTCTCAAAGTAAAACCTTTTACTTTTTTCGACCTGGACCAGATCGTCTCACCTGGCCTATAGGGAGGGAGGGAGGAGGGGAGGGGGGGGGTGAACGGTGCGGGGCCACCTGGGGACGCATGCGCGTTGGAGCGGGTGGAGACGAGAAGTCGTCAGAGAGCAGTCAAGTCAGATGGAACTCCTCCTGCATATCATAAATGCCAAAAACGATTCACTTTGAAATCAATTCAATATTTTCACATAATATTATATACAAATATCGACATTATTAAAAACGCTGATTTTCTAATGTGTGTGTGTGTGTGTGTGTGTGTGTGTGTGTGTGTGTGTGCGCGCGCGCGCGCGCGCGTATATATATATATATACACATGTGTATCTGATATAACAACATAAAAATACTTCCTATTTTATTACATTATGATAATATAATGAAAACGTTCTACCCACATTTATTGAGCGCGCGTTGGAAAACAATTTATTCCTTGCACCCATCTTCTCGCGGGTGGCTTCGGGCGGGAGGCGCGCAACACCATGGATCAGTCGCCGACCACTTGCAGTAATAATTCAATATTTTATTCAGACATGAATTTGGTGGTGTCATTCTACACGACTAAACATTTTGCTGCCAATGTATTTGTGTCAAAAACGATGCAATTTTCCTCACCGTTTTTGTCACTTTAGAAGACAATATGAAACAAGTGAAAAACTCAAAAGGTAAACATGACTGCCTCCTGCACTTCTTTGCTATGTGACGTCATTATTTATTTAGCCACTGTTTATTTCTACTACGGAGACTGCCTGAAGCTAACGGTGAGCTCCCACCCCCTTGTCTTCTTTTCGCGCATGTGAACGCGGACGCACGCACACACACACACACACACACACACACACACACACACACACACACACACACACACACACACACACACACGCACAGCTCGTGGTGCTGTTGCTCAAACCTTTAAATATTTATTATAATATAATATAATATAATATAATATAATATAATATAAATTATCACAACAGTAGTCTTAATTATTCAATGCATTTTCTGTTCCTCTCTTGCACTGCATGCTTTCTTTCTCCTGCAGCCGCGCATCCACTCGCTTATATACGTTGTTGTTATTTAAAAAGACATTTTAAAAGCCCTACTCGTCGGGTCAAAAAACTTGGTGAATATTGTTTTAAAACTAGAGGAGTAGAGACTGTATTGAGCTTTCTTAAATAGCTGTATTTGAATATCTAGCCTGTTTGTCTGGAGCTTGTTATTCACCAGGCCCGAGGCGTATGATGTCGTCCTCAACCCGCAAGCTGTCTTTAATAAGCGTCAGAAAGTGCACCTCGGGCACTCTGTGTATCCATTCATATTCAAATGATTATTACAGCAGCAATGCAAACAATGTTTTTGGATTTATGGATTCACTCTTTACTGACTTTACTGTTGTTGGTGATGGGATTGGTGCCGTTTTTGCAGGTATTCCTCATAGTGTCTGTTAGCACCGGTGTGACTTCGAAAGTTGTTTTTGTTAAACATATATTTACAGATAAAATGAAAGATTTTTTTTAAGGACCCTTTGTAAGATTGACTAAAATTTCTACCTTTTTTAATACACGGAATGTGCGTTTAGTGAACAATCGCTATTGAGCCAACGCGTGCGACCCCGAAGTGCATAAATTGTGGTCTTCTAACGCCCCCCTTCGACAGAAAAGTGAAGGGTATTGAGGTGGCATCTCAACGCAACTTAGTTTTGATCCTTTGTCGCCATCTTCTGCTTAAAAATAAATGTACAGTTTGCGCTCCAAAAAGTGAGGCGAAGCACCACGTTGCATTTGTCATTTTGTCATGTTTCTTGACTCCATGCAACGAACAACGTGTAAACATTTGCAAAGTGGGATCAAATAAATCTAACATAGAATCAATGTTCAGATTTTGGGCTCAATTCTACATGCATAAATGGATGTTTGTCTTTTGTCACTGTACTTAAATATTTATTCTTATTCTTATTCGTCTTATTATTATCAGGAGTGTGTGTGCGTGTGTGTGTGTGTGTGTGTGTTTTTCGATTTTGGCATAAAGAACTCATATTCCCATCATGCATTTCGTCAAAGCTTTGTGTCACAACAATTAGTTTCCGCCAGGGAACGAGGTATCACCAACGACAGAGGACAAACCAGACGAGCGAGGTTGTACAAAATGCAAATAGTGCTTGTAATAACGGGAAGATAATGGCATTTTACACGCGTTTACGTTCACTGGAATCGATGAAATAAATTGCAAAGGTGCAGTGATCCACACGGAGGACTTGGCTTGGGGGGCGGGGGAAGAGAGGGGCAGTGGGTAGAGCAATCGTTAAAGGGCCAAGCTGCGAGTTGATTAGGTTCGGGGGGGGGGGCGGAACCAGAGAGCGAGCGAGCGAGAGAGACAGAGAGAGCGGAGTCTAAGTCCTTTATCATGGGGAGGCACCGCGTGGCCTGCAGCTATTGCCGGCCTGAAGCACGAGTGTTGTTGTACGTCATCTGGACTGAATGTGAACCCAAAGGGGTACCAAGTACTACCGTTTCTAAATTGTAATACTGTAGTCTGATTGTAGGGCTATCGGTCCGCATTATTCATGACCTTTACCACTGTCAGCACTGGCAATGTTGCGCAAAGCTTCTTGACAAAATCGAGTTGCCCCCCACAACTTTTATTCCTAATGTCATCTAAATTGTAATACTGTAGTCTGATTGTAGGGCTACGTCACTATAGGTCGGCATTATTCATGACCTTTACCACTGTCAGCATTGGCAATGTTGCGCAAAGCTTCTTGACAAAATCCAGTTGCCCCCCACAACTTTTATTCCTAATGTCGAAGCAGTGTCATTTTAAACCGGTTCCATAAGTCGAAGTTTGTTGTTGCGCTTGTTGTTTTGCCGCAATTTTAATGCCATTGAAACGAATTATGAGCGCACTGGTCTTGGCAGGTGTCAAACATGTCTGTGGATTGGGTGGGATATGGATACGCAGCCCTGGTGGCGTCGGGGGGAGTCGTCGGCTATATGAAAGCAGGTAAGTGCTGCTGATACGCTTACTTGAGTCATACCCCATGTCCGGATCCCGAATGCAGGCGATGAGCTCTTGATTGTGGCTCCTTTCAGGCAGTGTTCCTTCCCTGGCTGCCGGGCTTCTCTTTGGGGGTCTCGCAGGTGTCGGCGCATATCAGATCTCCAATGACCCCACTAACATTTGGCTGTCTCTCGGTAACGATTCTGTACGATCATGTGTTTTCCTTTTTCACAAGTTCCCATTTTGAATGTACCGCGGTGTCTTCCAGCTACATCGGGTGCACTGACAGGTGTCATGGGAAAAAGGTTCTACGGCTCCAGGAAGTTCATGCCTGCCGGTCTAATGGCGGGTGCAAGGTAGCTTGCGCCACTGCCCGCACTATTCCATTTGCTCGCTGTCAAAAATAATCCCATTTTTCCCTTGCATTCCAAGTCTACTGATGGTGGGGAAACTCAGCATGGTGTTGCTGAACAAACCTCAGCAGTCCTGATGGCCAAAGTGTAATCCTTGACAATTGCATACAGCCGGTTGACATCAAAATATACATTCAAGCCAATGCTTTATTGATTGGAGTACGAATTATATCGTATGTCAAGCTCATTTTGTATAAAGAGATTGAAATAAAAAGTCCATAGAGATATTTCATGTGATTTTTCTTTTTTTTATCATCACTAGTTTGCCTTTATCCACTGATTTGTATAAAACAAATACAAAAAAATAATAATATGAATAATAATATACATCATATGTCTTGATTCCTGCAGTGTAATCCATGACAGTACAGACTTGTGCCGGCAGGTTCCAGAGGTGAATAAACGCAGAGGCAACGTCAGCAGTCGAAACATCAATCTATCCAGCCAGCCACGCGTGTAGACATCCGTCCAGCCCTCAAATAGTTCATACATAAATCCAGCATATGAAATAGCGCGTGTGCTAGAAGCTACATGTAAAACCTCATACATAGGGCAGAGAATTGGCTCTTGCCGGCCATTTGGGAGGCGGGGGGAGGGGATCGCATTCAAGCTTCTTCTGACTGCTTATTTTTCAGCAATTTGGCCGACAACCCGCGGAAGACGAATCACCTCCTGCCCCCAACTACCGATTTCCACCATACTTGGAAGTCCAGTCCACCCTGCCGTGGACCGGCTGGACGGCGGGAGCTCTGGTCATGTGGTTCCCCGAAGTCTTCCCCAGAGCAGAGTAGTTGCTCCCTTTCACCACCTGATTTCTGTCTGTCCTCGTCTTCCAAGCCTCGTAATCTGAAAGAAGAAGCCAATCGGTGTTTTAACGCATCGGAGGCCGTCCAACGGAATCGCAGGACGAGCTGCTGTCAAAACCACAATACCTTCATTGGTTTCACTTAAAGAGGAGATGGACTTTGGTTTTGAACATTTTGCTCGGTCTTTTTTAATTTTGGGAGAAGAGGAAGGATTGACTGGAAGAAAGATGGATGAGGGGAAAGAGTGCAAGTGAGTTTCACATCTGCAGCCACGCGTTCCGAAACAGAAAGTTTGGGACAAGACAAAGGAGGACAGTTTCTCCGGCGAGGATCAGCTGGCGGGGCCCACACACAGCCGATCTTTAGTCCTTTGGCCAAAGTCGCCCGACAGGAGTGTTTACCTGTGTGATGGCTTGCTAAAGGAGCTAGCTGGATCCTCTGTCCCACGGCGCCGACCTCTTTCTTTTGTAGCGAAGGGATGTAAGCAGCGGACAGGTTATACTTGGTGGTCACAAAGTTCCCTTAAAAGGAAGGTGGAAAACAAGGGAGGCTGTCCATGACACCAAGCCGAGAATCCCCCCCTGCCCACCAAGAGTTTGCAAGAATATTCCATCCAAGATGCTTTGAAATAGTTCAGGCATGCTCTGAATTTAATCCGGTTCGCTTTGGCTGAGCCCAACCCGGCTGCATTTCATTTCCACCGAGGCATATGAAGACCCAACGCCAGTTTCGTAGACCGCAAAGAAATTCTGTGGGCATTGTGGTGACAATCGTCAAATAACCAATGCCCTGAAAATGGCATTTTTTTTCACGTGAGCAACCATTTTCAGTGACTGAGCTGAACAACTCCTGAGCAAATGTTCCAATCAGTGCCAAATTTGAACGGACTACCATACGTCGGTAGGCAGCGTTAAGAGTGGAACTGGGTCGTAACTCTGCTTTGGATGCTCTGACCTCTACAATCCACAGATTTCGAGGCTTCTAGTCCCACATCAAAAGGTAGAGTGAAGGACAAATACATGAAGTGCTGTTTAAGAGAAAGAAAAACGAATGAGAGATTGAACAGTTTCACTGAAACAAAGGCATCTTTGTGAACAGGAGCCGTGGGTGAACTACTGAGTTGATCTCAAAGACCCCGAATAAAAAGATGCATCAGGTGAGAAAGCCAAACAAACACTGCTGTGTTTGGGTGTTTGAGCGGGACAAATGAGCCAATGGGGGGGGTAGCAGTTGGGAGCCATTTAAGGAACACTTATCTTATCTTATGAATAAGCAATGGGATGGAGAGACGAGGTGAGCACAAGAAAGGCCGGGAAGGAGCAGGCACAGTAGGGAGCTATTTTGTCGTGTGTTTTGTCTCCATTCCAAATGAATTGGCGAGATCTCGAAAGTCGCAGACACTTGGGCTTCCCCCTGATCACACCACTTCTTCATAGGCCCTTGTTACCACAGCCGGGAAGACATTAGCTGCATCATTAGCATTTAGGGCCTCTTTGTAATCAAGGGGCTAATGGGGTGCACTGACAGAAATCCGCAAATGAGGCCACTTACAATCCCAAATCTGGCTCTCTTGGAATGATTTTTAAAGCAACAAAATCAAACATCTTTTGCACATTTTCCATATCAGCGGCAGAATCTGTCGGGTCTCCGGGATTGACCGGGCTGCGATTGATGCTGAGTGGGTAATGTGAACCACCTGACGCTACGCAACAATCATCCACCCATCCGTCTTCGAATCCGTTTATCCTCACGAGGGTCGCGGGTGTGCTCGAGCCTATCCCAGCTGTCTTGGGGCAGAAGGCGGGGTACACCCTCAAGCGGTCGCTAGCCAATCGCATGGATCGCACACACAGACGAATGACCATCCAACAAGGATAAAGTGTCAAGGCCCCAAGCGGTATTTTTGCACAACACGCCAAATCACAGATGTCGCTACTGCTGTACAAACCCGGAATCAGTGAGCCCCAAGTTGCTCAACCTAAAACATGAGCCTTTCCCTCCCTGCGACATCCTTTTTTAACCGAAAGTTGTTGGCGCAAAGAAAAAGCAGGTGATGGTGCCGATGGACATCACGGAACTTCGTTTGTCACGATGACTTCTCACCTGGGTTGGCTCTGTTGACGGCGAATCCCGCTCCCATGGGAACAAAAGTCTTGTTTACGGTGTCGGAAGAGTTCTCCCACAAGTCCCGTAACGTCATGCCGCTCAGCGCCTTTTCTCCTGACGTTGCCTGAGTCTTGCCGATCAAACCTTGAAAAACAAACGTCTGCGATGGAGTAAAATGCCACCTGAGACCGTAGCGTGATTGGTAGTGTTGCGGTCTTACCAGGCAGGTATCTGGATTGGCTGAGGTAATGCTGGCGCGCCGCAGATCCTGGGAGATTGGGCTCCACTGGACCAACCTTAATATTGTGAGGTAGTTTTGTAATTGTCCTGAAGGAATACAGAGGCTGATGATCCCTGGCCCTGCGCCATTAAAAAAAGAAAATTGTATCACTCCTGCCAAATCCATCATAGCTCTCCAATCTGTGATGAAGCTTGATAGCGCATACCGCGGCCAAAGTTGATTTGAGTTCCTCTCCTCCTCCGAGTTGCCCAAACTGGGCTTCTTGGAGTGAGAAGCGACCGTGCCTGATGGATCGGGATCATCCGAGCTGTCTGATGTCTTGACAGCCGCCTGGCCCCAGCGGCGTCTCCCGTTCTTCACCGCGCCCGCTCCACCTGGACCAAGGTTGTTTTCGTTGCCCACCGATGCTGCTTTCTGAAGACAGTGACACGTACGGGAGGTGTGCATATTCAGTGAAGGAGTCAAAAGGGCAAGTCGAGGAGCATTCCAGGGGTGAATGCATTTTTCAGAGAGTATCATTCGAGTTGAAAGCGGCTCATTGCGTGGGTGATGCCGCCGGGTTTACTCACAGCTTGAGGTCGGCAGATTTGCTGCAGAGGCTGCTGGGTAGCTTTGGCCCGAGAACAGGACTGCTCGGGGTCCATCTCTGAGGCCGGCTTCTGAATTATTTGTCGGGCCTGGATCTTCTTGGCCTCTTGGCTGTGAGGACGAGGACCCAAGACCTGTCCGACCTGGAAATACGGGTATCGCAGGGCCTAGACGGAGAGGACACAGATCCAGATTCCAGCGAGGTTGTTGGCACAATCATGCTCACGTGACCAAATGTCATCCTGAGCCCTAACATGAAGGTGTGCTTTTGGGATGCCGGTGTGTTTACCTGGACAGCGGTGGGTCGTTTTTTGGGATCCCACTGCAGCAGGTCCTTCATCAGGCTAATGGCCTCTCTGCTAGCATTGGGGACGAGCGTCTTCAGTGGCGTCGGCACACATTGAGGGAAGCGAAAGTTCATGGCTGAAGCCAGTTTGTAGCCCTCAGGCCAATCCAGCTAATGAAAAAGACAATAAAATGCCTTGCAGTCCATTTGGCCATCTTCCTCCATGGTTATCGTGTTCAAGGTCCTGACCGGAGCCTCTCCGGACTGACTTTGCGGTACGCAGATGTTGGGTCGATGTCAATAAAGCATTGAGTAGGAATTAATCACTGCCCGTGGTGGAAGCCATGCTACAGTATTGATTTAGTCAATAAAGCATTGAGTAGGAATTAATCACTGCCCATGGTGGAAGCCATGCTACAGTATTGATTACTTTATTTTTTTAATTGCAAAGTGATCACACGGTTCGCCTTTCACGGCTTTTTTTTTTTCTTTGTGCTCTGCATCTTGATTGCCAAATTTACGTTTGCAACAAAAACAGGTTTTGATCTTTTGGTTGCACTATTGATCATTGTAAAAATAAATCAATAACTCTAACTGTCGTGATTCCAAGTTCATGGTAAAATTAAAATGATCTCTTTCTACATGATGGTAAAATGACAACGTATATGATGTGCGAAAGACTCCACATTTAGTCAGGTTATTGTGCCCCCTGCTGCTACATTTGAGGATTGCATTGAAGGGCAAGAAAGTGGTTCATGTTGATCGCGGGCTGTTTTTAGAACGTAACTCCAGCGAGAAAGAAAAAACGAGGGTTCGCTGTCCATTAAAGCGTACATATTCTTCTCTCTCTCCTTTGTCTCACCTTCTTCACAGTGCCCAGGACTTGGCAGATCTTGAAAATCTCGTCCACTTCACTGTTCCCCGGGAAAAGAGGCCTGAGTGTGTAGAGTTCGGCCATGATGCATCCTACAGCCCACAAGTCAACCGGAGAGCTGTAAGTAGATGACCTGAGCAGAACCTCCGGTGCTCGGTACCTAGGCAGGGAAAACCGTCTCCGATAAAAACGAGAGAGGAGCACTGATTGACAACAAGCGGGAGCTCTCACCATCTTGTCGACACGTAGTCAGTATAGGGAGGCTTGGAGCGGATCTCCCGAGCCAGTCCAAAATCTGCTATTTTGACCAGCTCTGGGCCCATGCACAAGAGATTTTCTGGCTTCATGTCTCGGTGGAAGAAACCTGGAATCCACATTTTACATTCTGTAATCGTAGCAAAACTTGTTGGAGGTACTGACACGAGCAAAGAGACCTGGACAAAAAAAAACCCAAACGTCTGTGCTGGCGATCCACGTGCCGGACAATGCAAAAGCTAAGCGCGGCTATAAATTGCTCTTTGTTTTGTCCAGCCCTTTCTTGCTTGAAAGCGTAAACATGTCCAAAAACACATGACACATCTGCCATTTCCTGAAGTGGAACCTCGAAAGTCAGCCACAGTCTCAAATTTCCACCAAGCTTGATCAACTCGAAAGTTTTAACGGTGTTGCCTGTCACCTCAAGATGAATCAGAGTTGAAAGGCTGTCATGAAATTCAAACGGTACACTTTGAAGACAATTTGAAGAACCACACAAGGAAGCATCTGCTCAGTGAAAGTCATTGGGGTCGAGAAATTAGATTGAATTCATTGTATGGATCGGATTTGCTCCCTCTGGTTCTGTGGTCATCATCATCATCATCATAGTCTTTCACGTGGTGTGTATGGAAATCTTTGTTTGTTCTATTTGATTCGATTTCATCATCATCATCATCATAGTCTTTCACGTGGTGTGAATGGAAAGCTTTGTTTGTTCTATTTGATTCGATATTTTCCAGAAACTTGTGGTGGGATTTCAAATGTCTTGGGGCGTTCAACTTTGGATGTTCCACTGCCCGTAGATCCTAAGCCAAGCTGTTGAACAAAAGAGTAGGGCTACTCACCATGCTTATGTACAAAAGCCAAGCCAGCTAACACTTGAAACATGATGTTCCTAAGTTCATTCTCTGAGAACATCTTATTCTCTCTAACACGAGGCCAAAGACAGAAAAAGGAAGAAAAACAAGACATGAAACAGAGTCCAGCGTCAAGAAAGGGATATGCAAACTAGATATGTGGAAACATGACCCAGAACGTACTATTTGTACACTTGTATTGTTGTTTTTGTTTGTTTGTTTTTGTTATTGCGGCTAGTCTGTCAAAAGGACCCACCGACTAGTTTAGCAGAAATAGGAAAGAGGTATGTAAATCCAAGCGGCGGCGGTGACTTCATCAACCGCAAGATTCCACCCAGTGATCAATTTCGAAATGATTTCAACGAGTGAAAGTCCAAATTCCATGGATGGATTGCCCATTTATTCAGCAAGGGGGAATCTTGCAGCGTGAGGCCACTCATGTGGAACCGCAATACACCTACCATGTTTGTGAATAAATGACAGGCCTTGTAATATCTGAAAGCTTATGTTTCTTATCACTGATTCGGGGAATAATTTCCTTCTGTAAACAGAAAATGGAAAGAATCCCCGTGAGTCAGACCGCTCGTGGAGTACGCTTAGTCTGGAATCATACAATTCAAATGTGGTGATTATGTGCAGCCAATAAGAGCCATTGTAGTGAGACTGCACCGTGCGTCCTCCCGCCATTTGCGGTTGTCTATTTCCTTACCTGTCCTTCATGAGCTGATAGAGGTTCTCCTTCATGTATTCAAAAACAAAGTACAGATGATCGTTCTCCCTGATGACTTCCTTTAACTTCACGACATTGGCATGGTTCAGCTTCTTCAGCGACTGACAAATGAAAAGCAGCGTTTCTAATGTCACGTACAGGTCGTATCGGGCTGTTCTTCATCATAGTTATTGATAGTCGGGCACCCAGGTTAAAGAATGAGTGTAAGCACTCGGGCATCCGTCAAATCTGAATGCATTTCCTATTTGTATTTTTTTTTTTCCCTGACAAATAATGCTGAAAAGGAAATAACAATCAATCATGTTGGATGTGGTTGTATGAAATGAAAAACTAGCAGATTACACCAAACTTAAAACCAACCTTACCTTCACCTCTCTTAGGTTCATACATTCCTCCCACGAATAAAACTTCCTTTTCATTCTGTAAAAAAAAAAAAAAAAATGCTCGGAACAAAGTCTTTGGTGTTAAGGTTGGACAGTACATCGCACCAAGAGGTGTGATGCATATTTTGGTCCTCTCGTATAGCTCAACGAATGAGCCAAAATATTCGATCCACATCTGATTTCATGGTCTGACTGTCCCATTCAAACTTCAGGCCAGAGGCTGTGTTTGGCACCCCTCTTTGCACAAAAAGCCCCTCAGCCGGACACCTCCCGTTGGCGCAAAAGAATATCATCATCTCATGCTTCTTGCAGAGTAGGTCGGTGATGGGTGCCTGCCGTTTTCAGGCTTCCTTTTCCACCGGGTTAGCCACCTGACACCCCCCCCACCCCCCTCCATCTACTTTCTCTCCCTTTCACCACGATAAATGTATTGTCTTACATGGTAACCAAACAATCAAGCTGTGGACACACCGTTGGGTAGCTGATGTATTATTGAAGCCTGCAGCCACACCACTCGTTGAAACAAAGAATAGACAAGCGTTGTTGTTACCCTGGGTGATGGGCTAAAATCACTTGAGACAAAGAGAGTCGGGAAAAGCCTTCCGGCACAGCTAAACTTTATCTGCAGTTAAAGGGACTCATTTTAAGCGGTGGCCGCTCGTGGCTGAATCTCATTACACATCAATTTAAATTTGACAGCTTCATTTTTTTGTTTCTAACACAGTCACATCTTTCACCCATTCAGTGTCAGCCATTTTATGACCCTCATTTACCCTACAACGTGAAGAAATTTTTAAAAATGCATTCAAGACATACCTGCAGGATTGAATGCTCGGATTTAAAAAAAAAAAAACAACAAAAGAAAACATGGGAAAAAAACGTCCTTGGCATAGAATGTAATGATAATGGAAAAAGAAGGGTGTGCACACTTTTGCAACCACTTGATCTCAAGTCGTTTGTTTTTACCTTCCCTCAGGATTTCTTTGGAGTTGGACACGTTAATGGTGGCGATCGAAAGCTAAGTCTTGTACGAAACTTATCGTCAGCCTTACCTTTTAATCGCAACAAGTTCTCCAGATTCATTGCTTCTCCCCATCAGCACGCTGCCGTAAGTGCCGTCACCCAGCTGCTTTAAGGTGGTGTAGCGGTTCATCGTTTCTCACGCTGGTTTCATCCGCTGATCAAAAACGCTCTCAGGTCATTGAATTGTGTGTGTGTGTGTGTGTGTGTGTGTGTGGGGGGGGGGGGGGGGTCGGTGGGGGTGGGGGGGGGGGGGGGGGGGGTTCCCCTTTCTTCGCTTCTTCTTCCAGGAGAGTTCATCTATGTGTACTTTTCCAGGGAATTTGTTGAAATGAGGCAAAGCGTTGTGATTCTTGTGGTTCAAAAGTCATCTCGAGGGATGGGATGTCACCAGCGGCTAGCAAACCTGCATGGATGAATCAGAAATAGAGTTCTCAACAACTATTCAACAGTAAATCGCCCAATTTGATTTGTTTTTGTTGTAGAAAGTTGCAAAGACTGCCTCTTTGGTTTGTCCCAGTGACAACGGTGCGGTATGTGTCACACCAGGACATGCGCACCTAAAGCAGGTGACGTGGCGAGCTCTCAGCAGATTAGGCCGACGGGGATGGAAATAGGATGTTACATCAGCGCCATGTTTACAGCATTTCACTCTTTTCGATGTCCGGCTATTCCGGTGCGAAGCCGCGACTGCAATGTCCATGAGTTTCATCGACTCAATTTCGAAAGGAAGGTCAACTCCAGTCTCACAATGCAAGTTCTAACTGAAAGGATATTTGGTCTCAACATGAATTGAGCTAAGAAAGCGTTGCGCTTATCTAATGGTAGGTCCACTGAAGAGAAAGGAGTTGTAAGATTACGAGTAAATGGCATCAAGTCATCCAACTAAAGCTGTCATCTAAGGCCTACAAGAAGATAAAAAATAAATCTGATGGTAATAAATAGCGTTAGGTGAAAAAAAGGCCACAATTTGGATGAGTCAAAATCTCGGGGCCAGCAGAAATGCAAACATTGACACGGCGCCGTGATGACTTATTCCTAATACTGATTTATTTCCTCACCAAACCGCAACTCTGCTCATATACCAATTCCACGTATTTTTTCACGTGGGACTGCGACCTCATGAATTACGACTCATCGGCCCACTGTATATGGGTGTTCTTGTCTTTTACAGTCATTTTGAATGTTTCAACACCGTGACTAAGCGGGAAGGGCGGCCAGAGGACAGATGGCCTGCACTCGGCGCTCCCATATGGCAACCCGTTGTTAGGCGGATTTCAAGGGAATTAAGATGCAGCCCTGTTCCGTGACATGAAGGAGAGCTAATCAAGGTCAATTGGACAATTGAACAACGCACATGGAAAAGCAACGGCGGCCAATTCCGACATAAGACAAAACTCAACAAAACAAACTTACTGTACTTCGACAGGTCGCAGATGAAACCAAAACCTTCACCCGCAGGCGTTCACCTTAACCATTCTGCTTCTAAGATGACCTTAAAAGTCCATTGGGGTGTAGCAGAGGAAAATAAGGAACTCATGGTGGTGCAAATATTAGTCCACCTCCCACAAACTAAACTCACCGTTTTTATTTCCTGCTTGTTGTCTGCTCCTGCTCCTTTCTTTCCATACAATTCACGGTGCGTCTAGCACTTGCGATAAGACCTTTGTGCGTGTGTGTCCGTGTGTCCGTGTGCGTGCGTGCGTGCGTGTGTGTGTGTGGTGTGTGCGTGTGCGTGTGCGTGTGTGTGTGTGTGTGTGTGTGTGTGTGTGTGTGTGTGTGTGTGTGTGTGTGTTTGTGTGTGCGCGCGTGTGTGCGCGTACGCGTGACATCGTGTGGGCGTGTGTGTGGTGTCCATGGTAACACACACACGAATGCGACGCTGGTTTATACCTCCCGCATAACAATGCAATGCACAGTGGGACTTGTAGTTTTGACAATGTTCAGTGGCATGACGACATAATTATATTTGTAGACAGATAGATTTGTAGCCATCTCCTGCACCATTTTGTTTTGACATTCAATTTACCGACAAGTGACAAATGTCAAAGTTTGACAAAAATTGTCCACAAGAAAATGAGTGTTGGCAGTGAGTACTCTTGACCACGAGAGGGCGCCGCGTGCAAGCGGAAGCAGCTTGCAAGGCGCCATCATATCATCCAGGCTCTTGAAACGTCAGCGGGCCCACTTCATTTTGTTGAAATGCATCGCGCCGGAGCTCGAATAAATGAATACGGTTGAACACCTAAACGCTCTTGGGGGCAATTTAATGACACCATGCAAAGAAAGAAAGAAAGAAAGAAAGAGAGCGAGACTGTCAACTCTCCAGGCACTTGAGTTGTCGTGGTCTCTAGTCGTGGGATAGGAGACAGCTGGGTGTCAGGGGATAATGAGTGCAATGTCTTCCTAAGAAAGAAAGAAAGAAAGAAAGAAAGAAAGAAAGAAAGAAAGAAAGCGAGATTGTCAACTCTCCAGGCACATGATTTGTCCTGCCTCGGGGTGGTCTCTATGTCGTGGGATACGAGACAGCTGGGTGTCAGGGGATAATGAGTGCAATGTCTTCCTAAGAAGATTACTCAGGTCGTTAGCGCGCTCCACCACTGCCGTGTGCCGCACGGTCAGACAAAAGCACAACTTGCTCCAGTGTCCAGTCAGGAGCAAGGCAAAATTGGCGCCCACGTTTGCACGATGTTCTCGAGTCCCGTTCAACTGCCGAGGGCCACAGGGGACGCGTTCCACGATTCGCACCTCCACCGCAGAGCGGTTTCCTGAAGGGGGCTTTCTTGTTTTGGGGACTGAGCAGGCATGAGGACTCGACCTGCTGGAATCGGAAATGCCAACGCCGACTGGATGGGCTCGCTGCCCCCCAAACTTTGGGTCGTGCCACTCAAACACCTTGCCGTTCCAGGTGAGCCATTCACAGACCGTGCACATGTCATTCGCTCGCCAAAACATGAGGTTCGCTTGCACTAGCTGGTGAGATGCCTCTAAAATGTCTCCCCCTTTCTGTCACTCAAGAAGTGAACCAAAATACCGGTTGATTCTTAGGCGGACGGTGTCGACTGGTTAGCATGTTTGCCTCACCGTGCAGACGTGCGGGGTTCGATTCCGTCCTCATTCCTGCTCTCGTCTTTCCCTCATCTTCGGCTCTTGTTTTTCTCTCCTCCAGGCTCTCATGACTCCTTCACCTACTGGGTGGATGCGCACGCTCCCGTCGGTCCCGATCAAAAGATCTACGTCAAGTACCTGGCTACCATGTTTAGCGTTTTAGCCAAGAAGGTGATGGTGAAGTGGTCCATGACGCAGGTAGGTGCGCATTCCAGATTTCAAGCCTTCATTTTGGGAGAGGGATTGCCCTCATTTCACGCTCTGCTGAGGTGCGCATTCCAGATTTCAAGCCTTCATTTTGGGTAACGGGAGCGGGATTGCCCTCATTTCACGCTCTGCTATATTTCCACAGAACCTGACGTTTAAGGAGCAACTGGATGCAGGTATCCGCTACTTTGATCTCAGGGTCTCTTCGAAGCCGGGCCAGCCGGGGCTTGAGATTTTCTTCATCCATGGTCTGTTTGGACACAAGGTGAGCAAAGGAGAAAGGCGACACGCAAGAGATCCGAAGATGTATTCTTAAATTGTGTTTTCCATTTAGAAAGCTCTGTTTGCTTCCAGCTGATGCCAGATGACCTTTTTTTTATTATCACGCTGTATGAGTCATGGAATGTTCTCCTGTGCTCTCACAGGTGAGAGACGGCCTCATTGAAATCAACTCCTTCTTGTGCGGGCACAGGAAAGAGGTGACGTTTGCATTTTTCTGCGGAGCACCAGCTTCAAAAAAGTATCCTCGTGCTTCGCGGCGCCCCCAACAGGTCAACTCATTGATGTTGGAAACAGGTTATCTTCTTGGACTTCAACCACTACTACGCGATGGGCTCGGCACACCACGAATACCTCATCAAAATGCTGCAGGAAGTGTTTGGCAGTAAGCTGTGTAAGGACTGCGAAGTGGAGACCGTCACTCTGGACTACCTCTGGAAAAACAAATACCAGGTCAGGCCCTCAAGGCATGCATCAGTACTTCAACACGTTTACCAGTTCCTCAAACATTATGTGGAGTGTACAAAGTTTCACACACTGGCGCCCATGTTTGTCACTGAAAACTAGACATCGTAAATTACAATTACAAATTTCCCCAGTGTGGGACAAATAAAGGATATCTTATCTTATCTTATCTTATCTTATCTTACAATACAAGAGTGCAGCGTAGCAATATGCAGCTTTGCCACATGTAGATACGCTTCGGCTCTCACGACTTTTTCTAATTTGAAAAATGATTGGTTGAAGGAAAAATTCCTTTGCCAATGGTTAAAATGTGCCAATTTGCCAGCATGGCTAAATCGGGAGGCCCTGGGCAGATTAAATTGACGCGGCAGCCAGTAGAGCCTGAAATTCGAAGAAATATTCAAACGTAGTTTGGAGTTCACCGCTTCTGATAGTGTTTAGGCAAGAAGAGAAGGCCTTGCCGGCCCCGCCCTCCCACCACTGTTGCAAGAGCATGATATCCCCCTCCATGTCCAAGTGTGTCACCTGCGGACGGCTAATCCCCGCAGCAGGCTGCTGTCATCCCATTAGCACGTATTTTATCGTCCAGTCTGCCCTGGATATTTCTCCTCTCGTCGCAGTTTCCACGGGTGGTTTCATTGCAGGTCATCCCTGAAGATTCAACTCATTGCATTTTGCACGTGTCGTTTCTGAGTCTGATTGGGTGGGCAAGGAGGACAAGCAAAAGGAAAGAAGAGCCTCGTACAATACTAAGCATTGGCAGATTTTTTTATAAAATATACATTTTTTGCACCTTTTGGACCCAGGGCGTTTTCAGATTCTGAGAAAGAAAATGTCACCCGTGATCCGAGTTAAGGCACACTTTGCGCTCGACTTTTGCTTGGATGTGACAGCGGGTCCCCTAAGCTCGAAACATGCTCCCCGCCTCCCGCAGGTCATGGTTTTCTACCATCATCCGTCAGCTCGGGGCGTCCCCGTCATGTGGCCCGGCGACAAGATCCCCGCGCCGTGGGCAAACACCACCGAACCCAGCAAGCTCATTCGGGTAAGTGCTTTCAAGTGTCTCATCGTTTATTCAACAAATACGATTCTTCACCTGAAATCAACTTTGGTTGAAGACAACATTTCAGGATGAATTTTTAAATGACATCACCTTTACGTATCAGTAAGAATGTGTTGTGTGTACACACATCAAAGGTGGCTCAGTTTACGTGCGTGAATCAGTCATGTGAAAACTCCCGATAGCATACGTGACTTCACTTCAAGTCGAGGTTGTTGAAACTCTGACTCCAAACTAAAGAAAGCTTGATTCCAAACAAAGTAAATGATGGAAAAAGCTGACGAAAAACATCAAGGAAGACTGCCGGTTCAACAATACCGGAGAGGTTTGGCATTCCAGTTTGCTGTTTTCTTTGCAAAATCTCCTTTTCTGGTGCAGGCCACGACTCACGAGTGACTCGTGTTCATTTCTCTTTGGCAAACATTTGCTTCCTCTTGAATATCATTTATGTGGCTCCAAATCACAAGAAGGAGTTTCCTCAGGGCACTTTGCACATGAGGACCGCACTCCTTACTTGTTAAAAGTGACCCCCGCCCCCACCCCTTACGTGCGCAAGCACTGGGCGACAGAGGCGAGGAAAAACTCCTTGTTGGGAAGAAACCTCGAGCAGACTCGAGAGTCAGTGCGGGGCGGCCGTCTGCTTGGAACGAGTGGGTCAGCGAGCAGAAAAAGCATCTTTCTGAATGTGAATTTGCTCGGGGTTGTATCCAACAAAGCATTTTTCGCCTAGTTCCTGGAAAGCACCCTGAAGCAAAGAGCCAAGCAGGGGTCATTCCATGTGTCCCAGGCGATCCTCACGCCCCGGGTCAACACCGTGGCCAGGGGTCTGCTTTGGGGGCTACGGAATTACTTGGTTGAAAGGTAAGCGATTTCATGCGGAGGTCCCCAACCACCGGCCCGCAGCCCATTTGGCGCCGGGCCGCACAGAGACAGACCAAGATGGTATGTTTGGTTTTGAAAAAGAAGAAGCAGTATACAGAAAGCAATAGGAACAAATTGACGAGACACACAGCAAAACGCGCAGCTCGTGGGCATGCACCACTTCCAAAGATGAAGCCATTTGGACAAGAGAGGTTGTTCCCCGAGCGATGTGGACGAGGAAGCTGCTCTGCGTGCGAACCAGATCACACGAACTCGCAGGCAGGCGAGGATGTATTTTGGAGTGAAAGGGACAGATAATGTCGTCCTATATGGCCAATAACAGGCAGTCGAGCAATTTTTTTTCAATCGATTTATATTTTCAGAAATGGAGGGACTCATGAAAACGGGTTGGAGCTCATAATTATATGGCCAATAACAGGCAGTCGAGCAATTTTTTTCAATCGATTTAGATTTTCATAAATGGAGGGACTCGGGTTGGAGCTCATAACCTTCTTGTGTTGACATTTTAAAGGAAAAGCCAGTCACGGTGAAGGAATGACACCATGAACGGATGCTCTGGTGGGAGCGGAGTTCTAATTTGGCACCTTTGAGGAAACAGGATTCTTTATCGCCTTTAGACAAACACACTGACTTCCTGGTTTTGTTCTGCCCGCCACATATTTGAGAGTAAAGGGCGTCTGACTTGCAGCAGTCCCTGTGCGTGAGTGTGTGTGTTTGTGTGTGTGTGTGTGCGTGGCTGCGGAAGGAGGAGATATTTTCAGCAGATTTTTACTCATTCACCTTGTGAAATCAGCGTTATTTGCACTCATTGAATGCCTCTTTTTCTTTGAACCAGAAACCTCCCATCCATCATGTCCTGGGTGGAGGTCCAGAGGCCAGGGTCGGGCGGGGTCAACATCATTACCTCTGACTTTGTGGAACTCACCGACTTTGCCAACATTGTCATCGGCCTCAACAACTTGCTGTTGTCTGAACAAGAGCGCAAAGCGAGATGACGACAACTGGAAACAGGTGTGCCCACTGATACCGCCGGCGACAGGCTATTGTCCATCGCTTGCGGTTGCGGTGGTTCGTGCCCAAGCCGCGTGCAGCCGAGCGCTGTCATCCCAAGTCACCAGCACGGCATTTTAATTGTGGAGTCATTCCGCATTCCGCAACAGGCAAGTGGGAACGCAAAGAGGAGCAGCGTTGATTGATGCTGCGCATTCCTCTGTTGTTTGCGTTGGCCCTTGCGCACTCTTCATTTCTTTCCAACCAATGGACAGTGGCTGCCAATTTCCCATGTTTCAAAAAGCTTCCGCTTTAGTGTGCCGTGCTGTAGGTGTGCGTGTGTGTGTGTGTGTGTGTGCGTGCGTGGCTGCGGAAGGAGGAGATATTTTCAGCAGATTTTTACTCATTCACCTTGTGAAATCAGCGTTATTTGCACTCATTGAATGCCTCTTTTTCTTTGAACCAGAAACCTCCCATCCATCATGTCCTGGGTGGAGGTCCAGAGGCCAGGGTCGGGCGGGGTCAACATCATTACCTCTGACTTTGTGGAACTCACCGACTTTGCCAACATTGTCATCGGCCTCAACAACTTGCTGTTGTCTGAACAAGAGCGCAAAGCGAGATGACGACAACTGGAAACAGGTGTGCCCACTGATACCGCCGGCGACAGGCTATTGTCCATCGCTTGCGGTTGCGGTGGTTCGTGCCCAAGCCGCGTGCAGCCGAGCGCTGTCATCCCAAGTCACCAGCACGGCATTTTAATTGTGGAGTCATTCCGCATTCCGCAACAGGCAAGTGGGAACGCAAAGAGGAGCAGCGTGGATTGATGCTGCGCATTCCTCTGTTGTTTGCGTTGGCCCTTGCGCACTCTTCATTTCTTTCCAACCAATGGACAGTGGCTGCCAATTTCCCATGTTTCAAAAAGCTTCCGCTTTAGTGTGCCGTGCTGTAGAAATAGAGTGGAGGCTCCAAAGTTGAACACAAAGCTACGTACCTTTCCATCGAACGATTTCATCTGTGATGCTGGTTGACCTCCAAGTTATTCTACTTTCCAAACAATAAAGAATGGAATGGGAAATACGACGCTTATCATTTTTGGCCCTCGAGAACGTGTCAAACGCTTCAGTTGAGCTGCAGCCTAAACACACTCCTGCACTCCTGACTTCTGAGGATTGTCGTGTTCCCGAATGACTCACGTTGTTTTCAAAGTCATCCTTTAAATGGGTGCCAAATAAAACACGGGAGCTCAGATATAGAACCGGATGAACGAAGTCTAGACATGACAAGACATGCTTGAGATTTTTCAGATGGTGTTCATAGGCTAGCGTTTGCAAAGACGCTAACCGTTTACCTGTGGGAGAAATCTTGGTTCCTCGAAAAGTCAGCATGTGATAAATCCCTCAAGACTCCTTGCTCTGAGTGGCAGCTCTGTTATTGCATAGCTGTCCGATCTAAGTATTTTGCCTGGAGCTGCTTGAACCATTCTCTTTTTTTTGTTGTTTGTACACATCAAATCAGAGAGTGCATCTGACTTTCACGTTGCTAATGCGACCACTTATGTACAAAATGTCATATTTGCCAAGCAAAATGCTTATCCGTTAATCACATTTTTGGGAAAGCTGAGTTCATTTTCAAAGCTGAGTTCAAACAAACATAAAAAAAGGACTTAAAGAGAACCTGTTTGGCAAAATGACTGGCCTGGCAGCAGTCCAGACCCGTCTCCCATTGCAAATCGTGGCGCATTATGAAAAGATCGATCAAAAGATTTCCCAAAGCTGCAACAAAATGCCACGATCCAAAGAAACGACGAGTAATAGCGGAGTTGACATCAATCAATCTAGAGAAGGCTGGAGCTCGGAATCGAACCCATGACCACTGCACTGTGAGGCGGACGTGCTCATCAGTCGACCATCTGGATCCAGATGATTTTATTTTGTGCAACCACTCAACTAAATACAATTGAGCGCATTCCACACACCGTTTTTTTCAGTGCAGTCGCATCATGCGTGGGACTTGCTATAAAATGCTGTGATGTTTGGATCCTCTTCTTATTTCATTTCTTTGGCATTTTAGCGATGCAATTATAATCGGACAGTCGACTTTGCATGTGAGCAGGAGTGCAATGTTGCCATATGATATGTGGGGAGTTTTTTTTTTTTTTGTTGGCCATTGAGGTCATCCTAACCAAACCTGAAATGTAACATTTTGGCCATATAAAATACTTCATTTTCCTTGAAATATGACTATCCTAGAAAGGCCTCTAAGCCTCTTATCACTTTTGTGAGCTAAGAAAAAGGTCGACTCCTCTTCTATGTCCTTCACTTCTTTTCTCACCAGCCTAATAATTCATCGAGCTTCTCTCTTTCAGCAGGAAGGAGAGAGGGGTCAAGTTGAGGTGCTCTGTTAGCACCTGCCTATTATGCGGAGGCTGTGTGTGTCCTCATGCAGTGTGTTTGAAAGACTGAGTTTGTGTGGGGTGTTTGAGTGTATGTGTGATAGCAGGAGAGAGCGTGAGAGAGAGAGAGAGAGAGAGAGAGAGAGAGAAAGAGAGAGAGAGAGGGCTCAGATTCCCTCCCCTTGTTCCAGTCCTTCTCCAGCTTGACTTCCAGCTGCTGTCACATTCCTCTACACGTCGCAATTGGCCGGCCGAGGCTGCCTGTTTTTTTTTGTTTTTTTTGTGTGTGTATATTTGCCGTGCGAGCCTGTGTGTGTCATTGCGGTTGTGTGTGTAAGCATGAATTAGGATGGAAAGTCTTTTACAGGTCGCCCATGCTACAAAGGGAATGTTTCTGCTGTCAAGGAAAGGACTATAATTGCTGCGGGAGTTTTGGGGGATCCGCAAAGTTGAATCTGGATCATCGAGCGGCTGGATTCTGTTCTGCATGATGACGGAAGTGGCCTGTCCAGCTTTAATCATGGTCGGTGCCTTTTTCGTACACACGTCTATTTTCTTTCCGCAATCAGCTCAGGAATTGACAACATTTGCACCCAAGTTGGGTGTTTAAGGCTGATCACAAATTGAGCGGCGTGATTCTCACGCAGAGGAATGCAAGCAAAACCAAATATATCCAACGTAACAAGTTATAGAAGATGAACGTGGCTTACAACATTGTCTAAGGATACAAAACCTCTTCTGTAACATCATCAGTGACTACAGCAAAGCTATTGGGCCGTATCCGCGATTTTTATGAACATACCATAAGGTTAGGTTGGACAAGGAACCGTATTTGCACATTTGCTCAGAACTGCCACTGACCTTTGCCATTTTGAGACCTCGGCTGCCTGTGTTGCTGCTTCGTTTGATTCGAGTGATTATTTGGCTTCGTCCTGGACCTGTAGTTTGAATCGGTGACCCAAAAAAGTTGTCGCAGACTTGATCGAGGAGGAGATGGTCCTGTCTGTAATTTTATGGTCGGTTGCATGACAGATAGAAAACATCTGCTTTATGTTAAGTGCACATCGGAAGCATGGACCGTAGATAAAATACGTACCGCGGTGATTTGCTGTGTCTGTATTCTGAAATTGTCCCTTGACGTACAGACAGGCCTAATGAAGTACCTACAAACCTTTAATGCACGCAGTAGTCACTCTGGCGGAATGGAGGAAGAAAAGCATGCGGGATCGTCGTTGTAGTTAGAACGAAAAAACAAAATATGAAATGACTACCAGATGGTTGGATTCTGCTCTAAAAGGCTTGCGAATTCAAGTCAAAGTTTCACCTTGCGAAAGCAATTGTGCTCCCATTAGTCCATTTTATTGTCGTCATATCCATTTCGGTGTTCTGCTCGTCTCCCACGCTATGTCCTGCGCTTGTCTCCGTGGAATCCAGCGCTTTGGCTCCATTGCCACATTTGACTGACACCATGTAACAGATTTGGGTTCGAAATAACAATACTTAGGCCCTTGTCGTCTCGTTGTCATATCCCCCGTTTTCAACCCCGCATGTGGGACTCAAGCGCCGCGCGGTCTTTGCGGAGACACCCCACACCGATGCCTTTCAATCCAAAAGCGACATTTCCTTATCCTCCGAGTCAACAAAGAACTTTCTTTCCTGTGAGGATGCTGAGTTTCAGGGCAGAGGTTGTTTGAGTTTTTTTTTTTTTTTTTTATAACCGAGCAAATGTATGCTTTGAGTTCGGAAAACAAATGTGGACAAACTTTTTCGCCAAAACACATCCGGCACAATGAAAGAAATCAACACGGGTTTTTTATGACTGCTTGAGAACCTTATTTTCTGTTCTCAATCGATCCCGGTCATGTTGGGAACGAAACGGAGTGGGCTGTGACGGTGAGGAAGGGCGAGAAGACCCTTTTGCGCCACGGGAGTCGCTGGGAGAGGGACTCCATATTACACAGTATCTGTGATACAATGACGGCTTTGTCAGGTGGGAGGAGGAGAGGGTGATGCTGGAATGCAAGGGGGGTGGGGGGGGGCTTGGGAGAAACGGAAGGATCAAGAAAGGCAAGCGAGATAAAATGCTGTCGTTCATTTCGCTGGCTTGATAAAGCGCACAACAGTATGTCAACGTGACCAGTACAGCGACGGACTGGATCATGAAGGAAATAAATACGGTTTCGAATGGCAAAGTCAAGACTCTTGTGTGTGTGTGTGTGTGTGTGTGCGCGCGTTTGTTTGTGAGCTCAATGTATATTTATGCGCGTGCTTGTTTTGCTCTTAAGTGGTTTTCCCCTTGGAAGACTTTCACTCAAAAGCGTTTCTCTTATGTGCCAGCTGAGTATGCAAAGCACAGCTGTTTTACAAGCTCCCTTATGCGTAGTCTTATATCCAGAGAAAGCCTACGGCAGCGGCTCAAACGTTGCTGTCCTTGCTGCCCGGGATGACTAAATTGACAATAATGCAAGACAATCGTTTGATCGTTGGTTGTGCAGGAGCTATTGGATTTGTCAGAGCTTGGCATTATTGACTGTAAGTGTTTTTTGTGAATATATTTTGTTCAGTGCACCCTGCTTCTCCTGCCTCCCTGCTTTTTCGGTCCTCTGCCATCACACTGTAAGAGCGCATTGTCACCTAAAATTTGCAGTTGGAGCCAAAAAGTTTCGACCCGATCAGTTTTAGTCCTTTTGGCATGTGAGCCAGACGCTTGGAAAGCCTCCAGTGTATAGTTTTGGGATGAAAGAAAGTATCAGGATGTGAGGCTCTGCTTTGGCACACCACAGTGCCCGGACTCAACTAGAGCAGAACAAGAGTGCAGCAAACGTGTCTGCGCCTGCCCGCAGTTGGGAGTTCACCTGGTGCAACAACAAAGAAAACGTTTTGTGAAGGATGAAGGAAGATGAAAAGAACAAAAGGAGAAGGAAGCATGCTTTCATTCCTGAAGAGGTCTGCCTTAAGAATGTTGTTACTTGACTCGTGTGCTTGTAAATGCAGCGGACGTGAGATCTTCCACCGTTTGCTTTGGCTACAGGGACTGGAAGCAAAGTGGGATGTGAAGCCAGTAATCTTCATTTCAACAAAAGGAGCCGATGCGTGACTTTATCTGTGGATGTTTATATCTTATACAAACGGGCCCGGAGGGCGAATGGGTTTGTGTGTGCGAAAAGGCAACGAGGAGGGTGTTCAAGCAGCGTAGGAAACAACCTCAGTGAGGAAGTTGGCAATGAATTCGGGGAAGTGGTCTGGAGGCGACTTTGATTTGCCTTTCCTGAGACGGTGATCCGCCGTGCTCGTGAAACCGTTGCAGAAGAAGAAGAAAAAAACCCACTTGCCTCTAAATCATGTCGTTTATCAAAGGTCTAATTGTGGGATTGCATGTCGTAAGAAGCGCATTCAAACAAAAGAGGACGATTTTTTTCCCTGCTCGAATCATCTGATCTTTAAATCTGATCTCCAATTTCAATTCCACAAACTCGATATTAAGAGCAAAATTTCAACAGAAGTAATTCTCCTAACCATGAAGTTGCAAGAACATTATTCGCAGCTCTGCCCACACTGTGTGTACACAAACACACACACACACACACTGTATATTTGTGCTCCTTTTTGGCATCATCATTTCTTCTGATCCCTCGATATCATTTGGCTAAAGAGGTGACTCTTCTGTTGCCTGTTTATCACGGCTACCGATGTATGACTGCGGCCTTCCGTTGTACCCTTTGAAGCAAAATGTGCGTATTTTGACCTCGTCTGACCTGATCTCAATCTCTGTTGCAGGACTCTGAGATGATGTCACAACCAGAGTCGGATCAGATTCCTCCAGATGAGCACAAGGTGATTTGATTCATGCGCTTGAAAATGCCAAATGCCCTTACTTGGTGTCTAAAGGTCCACATGGTGTCAAGGTGTCTTTGCTTTGCGTCTAAATTTCTTTTATCACCGCTTGACACCCTGCCCTTGATTTCGTATTTGTTTTACTCTTTTAACTTTGTTCTTGTAGAATTATTTGTCAATGATCTTTGGTCTCAAAGGGTTCAAATGTCCTCACTCGGTGTGATGATGTCACCACAGTGCCTGTCAACACAATCCAGTCTATTGACTGGATTGTGCAATTTACTTTTGCAATTGTAAATGTTTGCAGTCGGCACCCCTGGATCTGATTGACACAGGGAAGGGTCTCAAGGTCCAAACGGCCACCCCTCATCTGGTTAGCCTGGGTAGCGGCAGACTAAGTGTGGCCATTACCTTGCTGCCACTCAAAGAAGGTAACGCGCAAGGGAATGTCATACGGTAGAATCACTTCCTCGAATTTGTTGCGTTCTACATTTTGATGCATGCAGCTTAGTTCTTCACAGCACTGATTCCCTACGTGGTGAAAAAGAAAAAAAAAATGTCTTTTTGGTTTTTGGGTCGAAAGTTCTTTTGGAACAGCTGATGGCGACAATGAGTCATAGCATCGAGCAATTACAAGCTTGAAATAGAGCAGTGGATAATTACCAAGTCGAGTACTTTTGAGTTTTGGGGTGTCTACTGCCCTCTACAGTGCGTATCTGTGTTTGTCTGCATCATAAAGTACAGTATTTTCATCCACCCATCGTAAAAACAGAATCTATATACACTTCCTGATGTATGCTTTCCAGGAATTTGCAGACAGAATCTATATTATTGCAGATGAGCGGGGGGTTTTTCAAACGGATTAATTAATTCTTCATATTCAAGGCGTGACCCGCATAGGGCGAGAAGATGCCCCAATTCCTCAAGATATCACCATCCAGGGTCCTGGAATCCAAGCCGAACACTGCCTCATCTTCAATGAAGGTCAGTTTTCTTTCCTTGAATGACTCCTAACTCTTGGGCATCTTAAAATATTCCAGACAAAATTACAAACAGGAGGAAAATCGGATAATTAGTTGAATGAGCGGGCGGAATTGGACTAGAACTATTCAGACAAATCGGATTCATTTTTCCCTGTTGTCAGTACCACTGCAGTTCAAAGAGAATCATGTCTTCATGCTTCGTAAAAACATTTTCTATTTACTGGTACGCGCTCTTGTGATGTTTACTAATCTCCTTCCCCCCCTCAGGCGGTGTAGTTACCCTGGATCCCCGCGGTCACCTGTGCAGTCTCGATGGGGTTCAGGTCACGGTGCCAACCCCACTCACACAGGGTAAGCCTCACTTGAACAAAAGAAAAATACATTTGTTTTGATGGACACGACACGGCGGACCCTCTTTAATCAAACAATCAACTATCAAACAATCACGAGATGTCACCAAGTCAAAACTGTAACTGACTGTGCATGAAAGTAAAAGTGTATTGCTTTTTCGGGTTGTGTGTACGTGTGTGTGTGCGCACGCGTGTGTGTATGTGTTTGAGATACCAACACGACAACCTAAAAGTGATAGCAATGAGGGAAATTGTAAAGACAACCGTAGAACTGGAAATCTAACTTATTTTGACATAGGAATGGGCCTCCCTACCCAATACAATACCCATCCATCTATCCATGTGTGTCTGTTCAGTGTGTGTGTGTGCGTGTGTGTGTGCGTGTGTGTGTGTGTGTGTGTGTGTGTGTGTGTGTGTGTGTGGGCGGTGGTCATCTGGGGTTTGGTTATCCAGCATTCCTTTCCATGTGTGCATGATTTATACATGCATGAATTCTTGTAAGTTTGTACGCTCCATATATCTTTGTGAGTGCGTGTGCACAAGTAAGGATGTTCTCATGAATGTTGGTCGCGGTACCGGCACTTCGCATTACGTACCTCTGGTTTAGCTTAATTCATAATGGTTTGGAACTAGCTGCTCCAATGACTCACATGTTCCAGCAGCTGGAGATCATTGCAGTATCTTTCAAATCAGAGAGATCTGCGACTAACTTTTCTACTTTTCCTTAAGTAGTCGGCCTATTTTAGTGAAGTAGTTACACTTTAATTGTGTAACATGTTTGTGTGTCATTTTGGGTTAAACATTAACAAGCCTATCTCTTTTCTTGCATGCCTCGCCGATTCAAATATTGACCTCGTTTTATCTACAACAGGAGGCATTGTGAAAAAGAAGTCACAGAAGACAAAACTTTTGAAATTAAAAAAAAATATATAACAATAAGCAGAACGAGAGCAGCAGCACATAAATAAGCAGAAGACACCCCCGCAAGACTCTGGAGATGTCGAGGAAGTGATCTGTGCCATATTTGGGATTGACCTGGATTACCTTCACTCCAACCTTATTAGAACAACCAGAAGACACTTGAAAACTAGTCATGTGCTCTTTCTGCTTAGCACCATGAGTCACCGCAACAATGAAATACAGAAATTCAAGCAAAACTAGAAATGAAAAACTCACTCCAACTATCATTAAAAAAAAAAAAAAATTGGTGCCACATTCGTGCCAAAAGGTTTTACACAATGTTGATGCCACATTTGTTTAGGCTATATTTGTTTTGAAAACCCGATGCAACATTGGGTTTTATTTAAGTGCATATTAAGTTAAAAGTTAGAAATGGTTTGCTTGTTTGTTTATTTTATTTTATGTATTTACTTGCCTTTGATCATCATTAAATTGCCCTCATTCGAATGGTGGGCTTTTTATCCAATTTCCCAAATCAAGCTCAGTTTGAATTGGGTGAATATTCTTTATATAAGCACCTCAAAGTCGTTTTGGAAGAGTAACGTTCACGTAGGAAACAGCAAAGAAAAAACAAAAGTCGACAGACAAAAGAAGTACTGCGGGGGGGGCGGGGCTCGAGCAATCTTCGAACATACCAACCACCAACGGTTGCGGTGTTATATTTCCTTTCCAAGTGTTTATTATGAAATGACGCACGTGACTTTTGTTTACCTTTGATAGTCTCTTCGAAGTCGAACGATCATTTTGACCATTCTCTGAACTGAACGCGGTCGCCGCACAAACTCGCTTTGTACACCCCTTTTCTCAATGTGGTTGGTACAGTCCACAGCTGGATGTAAATCAGTGTGAAGTTTATTCATCACGCGGAGTCAAAGATGAGTCAGTAACGAAAAGGATGAGCGAAGCAAATAGCAGCATGTAAACTAACAAGAGTGAGGATCATCGTTTTTTGTTGCGCATTCTTCGAGTATACGTGTTTTGGCATGCCTCCCCTCGCTGTGAAAAGCTCAAAGAAAGACATTTTCTTCCGTCGTCACTGAATGGGACTCGAAAGGTGAGTACCGGGGGTTTATTAGCTAACAACTACTAGCTTGTAACATTCATATAAAAAATGTGGAGATGGTTTTTCATTTGAAAGGGAGTACTGTACCATCTTTTGACTGGTCGTGTACATTGATCAAGTTGCTGCTTTGCTCGACTGTTTTGTTCTGTTCTCCACCTGTATGTACGCTGTGGTTAAAAATAGTTTACCTTGCACCCACTTACCTTCAGGTTCTGCACGTATCTAAAATAATAGGTTTGATGATTGATTTTTTTTTTGTTTGCTTTTGTCTGTCATAAGCACGCATGGTCAATTGTGTGCACTACATGGCCATCTGTTGACCCGCTTTGTGATAAATTGACTACTCTGAGCAGCCAGAAGAAGTGAAATCGTTTTCCAGCTGATGGCATCGATTTTCTTTTTCTCGGAGAATAAGTCACTACAGCAGGTTGCCTGCAATTGAATCGTCTTGTAATAGTTGCATCTTTCTGCAGCTGATGGATTGATGCTCTTTTTGATAAGATAGGGATATATGTGTGTGTGTGTCTGTGTGTGTGTGTGTGTGTGTGTAAGACCGACTGACCCCATCAACACGGACTCAGTTTGTCTCAGAGAGCCTCAATCTTTGAGTTTGAGGCCAATTTACACTCCCAGTGGGAATCCCGTGGCGTTTGTCTGAGCATCTTGGTCTTGAATGAGCACATTTGCCTTGAGTTCATTCAGCGCATGTTGCAACCTGAGACCGCCGTATTTTATGAAGGCATAAAAAAACGAAAAAACAAGGAAAACCAGTCTGAAATCAGCAGCTGTTGTCTTGATATTGACTGGGTAAGATTATTTGATGTTTGTTGAAACTCCCAACAAGAGACGATTGCACTTTCGCTTGTTCTTTCTCAGGAATGTACGCAAGTATTTGCACAATCGCATACAGCCGGTTCATTGTTTATAACACATTATTCTCCAACAATTACATCTTCATTTTTGTGAGACCCATTTTTATTTGAAAATGAATGTTGCTCTTGTCATGTTTTGATTTTTTTGGAGCGATTGTGATCCTGCATTCTTGTTTGTTTTCCCCGTGGTCCAAATTTCACCTAAGCAAATGTTTGACACGAGGTCCGTGTCATCGGTTTCTTTTTTCATTCCGAACCGATATTCTCCAATTGGATTCGTCTTCGCTGATGCTAACCAAACAGAGAAACACTTGAGAGTTTCCTCGCCTGTAACATTGGGAGAAGAAGTGTAATTTAGTACATCTAGAGTTGAAGAAATTGAGTCCAGACTCAACTCAAAGACGGCTACATCTGCTTCCTCAAAGACTCTGAGGTTGGACTTTGTAGTTGACAAGCTTTAATTATCTTCATGAAGGTCGTTCCAGACTGTGGCCAAGTTTGAACTGTTCAACATGGGAAATACGTGTCACTAAACAACAAATAAGATGGTTCACAACATTTTGTGTGATCTGCTGTGTTTAAAACAAAAACCCAAAAGAACTTGATTGCAACCATCAATCTGTTCTTGAGCAAATGGTTCCAATTAAAAACCATTGAATTGCTTGATCAAGAGAGTCATACAAGCATTGACTGCCATGTTTGTTTGTGTCTTCGGATAAGACCAAGTGGAGAGCAGTGATGTGTCGTGTGGACAAAACTCTTGCTTGCATTTTAACAGATGGCACGCGGCAAGGTTTATTGAGAGTTGCAAATTTGAAGGTGACAAGAGCAGACTGCAGGCGAGATGCGCACGCACGTGTCTTTGTGTTTGCTCGTATGCTCAGGCTACTCGGAGTCAATGTGCACGCAACACTCCAAACAGTGTTGATGTAAGGGCTGCGCAGTCTCAACATTTCACGTGTGTGGCCGCACTGCCTGGCGCAGAGAAATTACAGCTTGGAGGTGCAAGGCGCTGCTTTTTGGCACCCACGAGGCGGCCGTGACCTATTCCTTCAAATTAGGTTGCTAAAGCTGCCGCGAGCAGAAAAATTGCACAAAGAGCGAAGATTGAAAGGAGGAGTTTGGTCGCTCCCCCACACGCCGACATTCAGTCTTTTTTCCATTTGTCCTCTCACCATCCTTCTCCTGCCTCAGAGGTTTGCTATGACCTCAGGTCCAAGGAATCTGCTTGCCCGCCGACTGTAATGGAGTTATTCGGTCGGATAGTTTTCCCTCTTTAGATACCCTGGTTTTATGCTTCGTTGAATTTTCTCACATTTTAACTGAAAACTAGTTTTGAAACGTTTTTTTTTTTCCTTTGAAAGGTAAACCTTCAAAACAGGTAGGGGAGACCGGGGGGGCTTGTTTTGCCACATTGCTAAATTGTCACGTTGTGATTACTGTCGCCACCAGAGGGCGCAACTAAAACGTGGGATACTAGTTTCCTTCCTTTATCCGGTCAAGGGTCATGTCGCGTTAGAGAAGAGGATAGCAGTTGGTGAGCGCGGATGAGCGCCAATCAACCCATTTTGCACAGCCCAAAGGATAATAAAAAAAGTTTGTACTATATACTGTAAAAACTCTGCAGCCACGTCACGTGATCACGAGTGCACCAGGACGGACGGCCAAAGATAATGACTGCCGAATTGAAGTGGACATAGAACGGCGCGATTGTAGACCAGAATGTATGTCCCCGTTCAGAAAAGTCTGAGGTGTTCTCGTCACGCAAAACAATTGTCAGCTCTAAAACTTTGAGTCGCTGCGTCGTCGTCCTTTTGACAGATTGTCAGAAAGGAACTTTATTCTCTTGTCCTTTCTCTTGTGAAGTATTTGGACAGCTGTGGCCGCCTGTGTGCATTACCGAGGTCCTGACCCTGACATGTTGTTTAATACTTGGCCCTCGCCGCCTAATTGATGGCCAGAGCAAACACTGCGGTCTGGAACGGCCGCTTGTGTTAAAGCGCGCCAACTGTGAAGAAATATCCCCGCACGAAGGCTATATCCCGCTTTTCGGGATCCACGTGTATAATATTAGTGTCTCGCTGCCTCTAATTTGACCTTGTGTGTGTTCCTGCCTCAGGTTATTCCCTGTGTCTCGGCAAGTCCTACTTCTTCCGGTTCAACCATCCCGAGGAGGCAAGCAGAATGAAGAGCATGCTCCCACAAAAGAGCCCCGTCTCCGCCCTGGCATATAATACAGGTACACAGAAACACAATACAGTCTCTTTTTTTTTTTCCTGCCCTGACATTTGATACGAGTTTTCTTTGTTTCTCCACTCAGTCTTTTTTTTTTTTTTTTATCTGCTGCCACGTATGCTCTTCTTTCCACCCCCCTTTTCAACTGCTCTGCTCTTCAGAACATCTGTCTCCACACACAATCCGAGCTTGCATTGTCGGTAGCCACGCAGGTGTGTGAGATTTGGAATGGAGTGGGGGTGGCAAAAAAAATGCTGAAGGGGAGCCAAGGGCTCGGTGGATGGAAGCTCACACTCATATATTATTCCAAATACACAATCTCACCGTCAAGCATGCTTGAATTTAAAGCATATTGGATTTGTGCGTGCGTGTGTGTGTGTGTGTGCGTGCGTGCGTGCGTGCGTGCGTGCGTGCGTGCGTGTGTGTGTGTGTGATGTGTTCCCCATCGGTTTCCATGGTGACACAGCCGGACCGCACCGTCTTCTTGGTGATTGAGCGAGCTGTGAGGATGATGCGTGTGCGTGCGTGCGCACACTTGCATGGATCGCACCTCAAGACCTTACTTAACCTTTTACATTGATCATTTTAAAATGTCTCCCAACTTCATTGTCTTGCACAGTTTGGATGTTCTCAATCAACTGTCCTGTGGAAAATCCCGAATGGTCAAAGAAATTGCAAAGCATTTTAGTGATGTGTCTAGTGACCGAAGAACTGAAAGTTGAGCTTCCTGCGACGGAGCAGTAGATAAGCCGTTGTTCTCACACAAAGGAAAAGGGAGAGAGAACAAAGAGGAGAGTCGATCCATTCCAGACCTACGGTATAAATCTGCCCATTTATGGACTTACAAAACTTAACGTGCCTGTGCCTATGTGTGTTTGCGAACGCGTGCGTCGTGGGATCTCACGATGCCTCTCATTTTCTGCCACATTGCTCTCCACCGCATAAGGTTTGCCATTCTCTCACACAGCCTTGGAGTCATTCAAGTCGCTCGACCAGTCACGAGGACAGCAGAACTCATCAAGAGCCCTTTCCCACTCGAAAAACCTAGTTGTATACTCTTTGCTTACATAGACGCGGTACACACATGCTCTTTTCTCTCAAATGGAGCCACTGTTGTTGTTTGGTTGTACGTTTTTTTATGTGTGGTTTATCAAACACTGGGTGGTCTGAAAGAGAGAGACCACTGTAATGGCTCCTTTTCCACATTAGGCCACAGCTAAATAGAAACGTGCAGGTTTCCACCCAGCTGGTAGGTGAGACAGAATAAATAAAGAACGTGCTAATCTCAGCAATGTAAGTCAGACCAACGGGTTCAGGTCACATTTAGCAGGAAGTGCCCCCCCCCCCCCCAAAAAAAAATGAATCAGAAAAAACTCAAAAAGCGCTAAATTAGATGTTAGGAATTACACCACCTCTGCAAACGTCCTCTCCCGCAACACTGAAACAGTTAAAAGTGGAAGACTTTCTGAAGAGCGGGCGTGGGACTGTTGAGAATGTCCCCAAAATATGTTGTGGTCTTTTTCATTTCAAAACCTATGCGGGGAACTCAAGTCAAGTACCACTTGGAGCCGGCTGTTTTCTTAGGTGCTGTGTACTTGCATGCATGCGGGTGGATACTATGGGAGTTTGAAACGCGCGCACACACACAGTCTTGTTTATGACACACACACACACACACACACACACACACACACAAAGAGACATGGAATGTGATGCATTATGTCCATGTGCAGAACAGTCAAGGTAAGATGCAAAGTTGGGATAAATTGTTAACGTCGGCAACATCTTTCTCATATTTGTAAGCTTTGCGCTTGTATATTTGCGCAACAATAATCATCCCGCCGTTTTTCTTGACTGCGTTTCCAGACTATCTGAAGTTCAGCAGCGATTATAGCCGCGCTGTGGTCGGCGGGACCAGCAGCACACGGGGCATGCGCTCAGCCTCCGAGCTCCGCGATTTGATGGACACCCTGCAGCGCAAGAAGAAAGCGCTGGAAAACAGCCTGAGGGCCAACGGGAATACCAACCCGTCATACTTCAGCGTGACGCAGGTCAGCTGTCATCGAGCGCTGCCGCAGTGGCGCTCGTCCGTGCTTGAGCTTGCGGCGTCTGTCGGGTTAGCTCAGCAGGTCCTCTTCCTCTTTTCTGTTCTAGTCTCCGCCCACCACACCCATCACATCGCTCTCCTCGTCATCAGCTTATCAGGATCAGGCGCGACGTTTCTATGGTGCGGATCGTCCCCCCGCGTCGACGAAATCTGCGCCCCCTCCTTCGCCATCTCGACGTTCGGACCATTCCTCTCTGCTCTCACGTTCCTCCATCACTCGCAACCAGGACAACTTGGGCACCAGTGAGAGCCGACGTCTCCATCACCCAGGCTCTTCGCCATTATTGTCAACGTGGCACGGCAGGGGCTCATCAACGTCTGTATCTGCTGGTGATAGCTTACTGCTTTCGCTTCCTCCCGCCTCTTCCTCATCCCGCCCGCCATCGAACGGGGGCGCCGTCAGCATGCCTTCGAGCCCCCGTCTCGGGCGACGCAGCTACGGCAACCAAGAAGCCGCACCGAGCGGTCGAACGAGGAAATATTCCGCCGGTTCTCTCAATGGTCCGGTGGGAATCGGGCACAGCCGCTCGCTGCCTCGCCTCTGCCCGTCCCCAGCGCCCCGAGACAACAACAATGGCATCCTGACATTATCCACCTTGCAGCCGCATCGCTCTGACACTCACAAACTGAGCAAGGACCATCACAACAACAACTTGAACACCAGGCTAGACCTCAACCACAACTCCAGTAACTCCAGTCGGCAGCTCTCAAATAGGAATCAGGTCCATACCACAACTCAAGGGGAGGGCCTCGTGTCTATCTCGCTCTCCTCCCTCAAGCTGCCCTCCTGCAACGGCGTCACTTCCTCCGCGGCATCCCCGCCTGACGTCACAATCCCATCCAAGACGGGAGGGTCGTCGTCGCCTCGCGTGGCCAAGAAACTCAGCCTGACTTCCACGAGCTCGGTGGGCTCCATCAGCTCCACGAGCACCGGCGCCCCTGAACTAGAGCTGCCGTTCGGGGAAAGGGCGAAACCTTGGGTGGACCCGGAACCGACCCTTGGCTTTGGACGCAGCGAGAGTAGGTCATCGTTCGGGAAAGCAGGAGTGACCCCGCCGGGTGGCTTTCGGGAAAGACGGGGGAGCATCAGCTCATTGAATGGGAAGGAGGAACTGAGCGGCTACCATCATCATCAAAAGGAGGAGCGACTCCGTGAGCAGGAGGTGGAGAGACTGGTGAGTTGCAAACACGCTTTCCTATTGTCCAACATCCTTCACAAATGGGAATACGGCAGTCAAACTGTGAGTGAACAACGCCTGCAATCTCCACGACGTGTTGTGCCTCTTCACTCTAAAACGTCCTTCTCAGGCGTGCCCTGCTCTCCCAGGCCTCTCGACACACACGGTGGTTGAGGCTAACCTCAAGACCGCGCCTGGCATGAAGCCCATACTAACAGGGCTATTTTTAACCTTTCACTTTGCTCGACTGTGTACTTGCGTGTGTGCGATACATGTGGATGTCAATCGCGCGCTGGGCCGCCACAGAGTGCGGTTTGGGCCCCGGAGAAAGTCGGTCAGATGTGGGCTCACGAAGCCAAGAAAATGAAAGGGCAGAGTCAAAAGAGCAGCAGGTGGATAAACATGCCGATGCGCAACATCGAACTGGCCTCAGAATTCCACTAAGCCTTGCTCCTAATTATCTCTCTTCCATTGACCGCGAGGCTCAGTGAAAGTATGCACATTGCTGCCTGACAGGACGGCGATGAGCCATCGCTTTTTCAATTCATACTTGGTTGTTTGAAACTCTTCTCCAAAGAGTAGAAGGCTTCATTTCAACCCAGTGCGGTGCTGGAGTGAACTGTGTGAAGAGCAGCTCCACTGTATTATCCCCCCATCTAGTGGGCACAAAATTCAACTTCGGCCCTCTCCGCAGAGCCGTCGAGTTGACGGGCTTCTTTCTCAACAACAATTGGGGAAAAGAAGGATTTTGCTCTTTCAAATGAAAAGCATAACGGGAATCAAGACTGGCATTTTTTTGATTCGTTTGTCGCTGCCGGCAAAGTAAAACAACATCTCGTGTACCCCGGATCTGTTCTTTTTCTTCCCTGCCGACGTTTCCCTGTCTTTCTTTCTGGCATTCCCTCCTTGCGTGCTCCTCCCTTTTTAACCGCCGATGACTATAAAAGGCCCAACAAGGTGACAAAGTGAAACACGTTTCTGCTTGACATGAATAATATGATGCGAACAAAGGCTCTGACTAGATTAGGATTCGGTCCCGAGTTTTTTTTTCCTGGAACACGATTCCCTTTGGTGTGCATTGTTCTCCTGGTGGCATTTCCTGTGCTCTTGTGCACTGTTTAGGAGCATAGTTGACAGCTGTCCACCTCCTCATTAACTTGCACTCTCTCTCTCCTTCTCTCTTGCTGTTGCTCTTTCTCACACACACACACACACACACACACAGATCCGAACACCTCTGACCCACATTCCTTTTCTCCGTCTTTCCCGTTCTAATATTACTTGATCTTGCTGGTGCTTTAAATTCTCCCTCCCCTTTGCTGAAGTCAAGCCCGCAGCACACACCCCGTAATCTGTCGCCGTGTCTCAGCCGCACTCAACAGTGGCAACCAAAAGCTTTCGCTCGAGGGAATGTCAGTCAGGGGGAAATACGCTCTGCAAAGAATGCAAACCGCCTCGGCGACTTGATGGGAGAAGGTGCATTTTGGAACAATCACGGGCGTTTTATTCCTCCGCAATGCTTCCACAGGTAGTGTAAAAAAGAATCTATTTTCTGATTGATTTTCAAGAGTAATTTAACGCTTGTAGAAACGAGTGCCTCAATCCTGAGATAGTGGCACTGATGGATGGATATAGATGGTTGACTCGGTATATATTTCTGTGCTTTGCGTGTGTTTCTATATCATGGCGAGAGTTGGTCATTTCTAAGCTCCCCCACGTAGTTTTAAAAGCAACACTTGGGTCACATTTAACCATCATTCTCTTGACACCCCGCACGCGTGTGTTCTCCCTCCAGGAACGGCAGCGTCTCGAGACCATCTTGTCCCTGTGCTCCGAGCTCGACCAGGATGGCGGAGGCTCGGTTACAAATCCAGCAACTGCTGTGGCAGACCTCCAAAAGATCAACCAGGAGCTGCAGAAGCTCCAGCTGAATGACGACGACGACGACACGGCCTCGGTTTTCTCTGGCTCCTCGCTCCTTAACGGCTCCGCAGGGAACGGACTTATTCCGGAGAACGGCTACTTCGATACAGACCTACCGGTCCGACAGAGACGCAGTAGTTGTACTCGAGACAGCAGGGCAGAATCGCCGGCTGTCAGTCTGCGCAGCTTCGCCCCATCGCCCTCGCCTCAGATAAACGAGGTAAAAATCAAATGTGTAGGAATCCCAACTAATGAGCGTTCACCGGATTAGTTACCGAACCAAAGCGTTTCATCTCAACTTTGCTTTGGGATGGTGATGTCAGGGCACGTGTCGTGCAAACAGGTGTGCGTTCAAAGCATCGGGAATGTGCCAAAAAGCGTTTAGGCTCAAACCTCAGCCTCCTTGTAATGGAAGGCGAATGCCACATTGCGCAATCGTCGTCCGGCATCATGTAGGAAAGCGATGTAAGAATGCAGTCTGCGGCGCACCTTTGGCTTCTGTCAGCTTCTTTCGAGATTAATCGGTCTCCATGCGAAAATCTGTTGAGACTTCTTTCTGGCACACGTGAGACGAACCCACCCTTTCATTAAGTATCAACAACATTCATCTATCCCGCAAGCAGATGGGAGATATTTACAGCTCATTTATTAGGTTAGAGCGGGTTAAGTGTCCCGGTTGGTGTTTGTGCACGCGAGGCCTACCGGTCCATTTGTTTGTTGGAGAAGAGAACCTCAATATTGCTCACCAATGACGAAAACATGCTCTCGCTTATCAGAAAAGCTGGCATCAAAGAGCTGGAAGAGCTAGTTTGTTCTTGCTTTCATTCCCACGTTGCCAACAGGAAATGCTCACAGCTCATTTGCTTTCGATGACTGTTCATTTTCCAAAAATGCGGTCAGATATGGCGCCGTGACTGACGACAAAGTGTGATGCCCTCATGCCAAGCCCTTCAAAATGATTGTTGGAAGAACAATTTGATGGCCTCAATATCAAATCAGGAAACCCGCCGCATGTGCATTTCACTGCACCTTATCAGTGACTCTATCGTTGCTCGCGATGTGTCGATTGTACCTTCAGGCACGCGACGATGCGGTCCACCGCTTCGGACAGGAAGCCAGGCCCTCGGAGGAGGAAATGAGGAAAGTGGAGGAGGAGAGGATTCAAGTCCTAAACAACATGGAGCAGCTTGAGCAGAAAATTAAAGAGCTGGACAACCAGATGGAGGAGTCTGCCCGAGAGGTTTGGACTTTTTATTGTACTCACCATTAGGGCCGGAATTCTACTTTGAAAGTTTGTCGAATATCGACATTGTGGAGAAAAGTACCGGTCGGTGTATTAAGACCCTCAAAGCCGACAATCTGTTTCGTCAGAACGGAGGGCAGTGATGTCTCTTTTGCTCAGGTGGAGGTAGAACGAGCTCTCGTTGAGGCGGAGCAGGAGTCCGAGTTAGCTGCCCTCCAGCAGGAAAAAGAGGCCCTGGATACACTTCACAACAAGATCGCTGACATGGAGGCCAAATCTCAGCATGAAAAAGACAAGGTATTCATTCCCGTTCTACGCTTAACCGGAGAGTACAGCTCATCGTTAGGTCAGAACCAGAAGACAACGATGTGCCACAGGGACAAGCGAAGGTGTCGTTTTCCATGCCAGATTTTCATGTCGCGTAGCCAGTGGGGGCGGGGCTGGGGGGAGAATTGCATTGCAACATGGCAAACAGACAGCATGTGTGTGAGAGTAGCTCCATACCGTATGCTTGTCAAAGACACACCAACAGTTTGAGGTCATGTGACGGTGCTAATCCTTCTCATGCTGTCTCTGATCCAAATATATAGATGCTAATACTGCTAATACAAGCCATCGTAACTCGCACCCACACACACTGCTACGTGGTCATTGTGGGTGCATGCGAATCTGCGTACGGAGCGCCGGCGTTGGAAGCGGATTAAAGAATGACATTTTTGATCCTGTCCGCAATTGCCCCTGAGTAAACTTTGATGGATGAAGGGAGAGTCAGACTCAATGAGAATGAGATCATGATTTGGCTTCAGAGTAGGTAGAGCCGAGCGCCTTGACGGGTTTTGGGTGCCTGTGTATGTTAAAATGAATAACGTTGTGTGAGTTATCCCTCACCTGAGCCATTCCGTACCCTCGCCCTCTCCTCACTCCCCCGTCAGCCCTTTTCATCACCCCTTTGAAACAATCAGCAAATGTCTTCAGACTTACTTATTACCTCTCCATCCTCACAGTAGATTATAATTCCGCTCCCAATCCTCCCGTTTCACTTCCGAAATGCTCATCTCATCACCAAGGTAACTAACAATGGCTCCCCCAGTCCCACTAACGCTGCCATCCTCTCTGTGTCCTCTGTGTGTGTGTGTTTGCTCTGGTGTTACTTACATGTGCGTCATCCACTTTGTGCGTGGCACGCATTTGTGTGGCCTTGTATGCGCATGTGTCGCCACGCACATGTGTATGTATCAGGCGTGCGAGTTGCTGCAGGCAGAAAAGGGCAGAGTAGAGAGATTGGCTCAGATTGTGTATGAGCAGCGCTCCCAGCTGGACAGCTGCCCCGAGGCCACCAAGGAGCCCCTGCAGGAGCAGCTAGCCAGGGTCAGTACACGCACTAAACACCCGCCGCTCGCACATACATGAACATGCCTTTGTCAGCCACTGGACCCCCGCAGACAAGGGTAAGGGGGTCATGCCAATCTTAACACTTCATGCGTAAGCATGAGGCGTCGATATGCGATTGAAACGTTCCGCCACACATGTGTGCCTTGTACTTTCTGTCTGTGGTTTTGTTCCGAGACCATTTCATTTAATCCACCTTATAATTCCAAAGAGGAAAAAAAAAAAACTATCAATAAATGAGTATTTACAGCAGGTACGTCTTCCGCCAAGGTAAGAAGGGTCAGTGAACGAGTGCCAAGAGAAGGAAGAACCCGGGCGGGGGGCTTAGTTTGTTACGAGGCGCCGGCAATGATGAAAATGCATTCCAACAGCATCCATCAACATACCCAAGAACTACCATGTGTTGTTATGAACTCATTTAGCCAAATGAGAAGGAATCGCAATAGACGGCACTTCCGTACCATCGCTACAATGAGAAACATTTGCAGTATTGATCATACCTATCGTGATGCTTAAAACAACATTTTAAAAGCATTTTTTTAAATACGGGTGTGCCTAATTTTGTGTCCTATGAGTGCTTCTGTGCTCTTGAGTGAGACCGATTTTTGTGCGTGTGTGTGTGTCTCAGGACTGCGAGGTACTTGAGACAGAAACAAAGCGCTTTGAGGACCTGGAGTTCCAGCAGCTGGAGAGAGAGAGCAGGCAGGACGAGGAGAAGGAGACCCAGACACAAGAACTTCTCCGAGAGATCGCCGACTATCAACGGAGCACCGTGACCCGCAAGGTTCGGACGCATCGGCAGTTTCGTCACTCGTGATCCATTCATTTGACGACGACCTTTTTACCAAGTGCTTTCTTTTTCCAGGAGCGACTGTTGATTCTGAAGAAGCAGGAGGCAGAGATTACTCAACAGGCTGAGCGAGAGAAAGAAAGCTTCCTGAAGGAGAGGAGCAATCTTGAAGCAATGTTACAAAGGGTAAGTGTTAACATCTTTCACAATTGTGTCCCCCAAATGGCGTACTGTGAATACATGCGTGAGGAGTTCAAATGCAAAGCTTGCCAGCTCCATTTTTTCCGAGCAGAGGACTCGACTCCCCAGTTCTAGGTTAAAGCTATTACGGTTTATTCCCGCTAATTGAAGTGAATGAATACGAAGCAATTTACAGGCTCATTTGGGTGCTTGACGAGGTTTGCCTTGAATGCTTTGCACGCTCACGTGTTTTATATTTCCCAGGAGAAAGAAAATCTTGCGCCTCTTGATCGAAAATATGCTGACCTTACTGGTGGCCAAACCTACACGCTCAGGGAGGTAGGTGCGATTGACACACACACACACACACACACACACACACACACACACACACACACACACACACACACACACACACACACACGATTCCAGGAGGTCAAAGTGATGGGGGTGGTCCTGTAGTGTAATCGTGGCTGGGCTTTCCTCTTGTGCTTTGCCTGCTAGGATGCAGCCCCCCCGACTCATGTGGGTCAGTCTTTTAGTAGCAGTTTCCAGGCCACCGCCTTTGTCACAACTTGTCTGCCAGTCAACTTGTGTGACCTCCCGTCTCCTCTTGTTTCCTCTCTTTTTCTCAAGAATAGTGAGGTACTGTCTTCATTTACCTTTTGATTTCTTCTCTGCTCTTTGCTCAAGCTCTCCTTGATTCAAATTGCGTCTATCGACCTGTCTTAGTGGATCGCTCGATTGAATTAAGCAGCTCTGCAGTTCAACAGCTCTCTAGCGCTCCCTCTCTCTCAGTATCAATCAGTCTGGATTAATATTGGCAAAATGGCTTTTTGGACTGGATGTTATGCCTCATCCTTGCTCTCTCCATGTTATACAAGGGCTACGTCACTGTCAGTGAACTCAATGAGCTCTACTCACAGTTTGACGGGGACCCTAAACAGGCCCAAATCCTCAGCCCGACTCATGAGTGCGAAACAAAGCTCTCCCACGATGACATCGGAGAGGATGAGGTGCGTTTTGTTGTGGCGCTTAATTAATACGAGTTCATTTGGGAGTTTTGCTTTCTCGTAATTTCCCCTCCTCCTGTTTTTTTCCAGTTCTCTGATGATATTTCTCCTCTTTCCAAAGCTCTGTCACTCTTCCGCTTCTTCCTCCTCTTCGTCCTCCTCCTCCTCCTCCTCCAATCTAAATCCGTGCCCCGCCTCCAAAGCAACCTCTGTGCACTGGCCAGAGAACATGGTGACATATCGAGAGCTTTCCCCCCTCCCTGACTCCCCCCCACCCCCACTTCCTGCCAAAAAGATCCATCCGCGACACAGGCAGGTAACTTTTGTGTGCGCCGCTGCTAAATTGTGTTCCAGAGCGATCTATACATTTTTGTCTCGTGAGTTTGTACATCCCGACGGAATTGGTGAGATTCTTGCCATTTTTGGCCAACAACAAAGCGTTCTTTTCTTTCATGCTATTTTTGCTGCAATGATTGAGCTGTGCCTTACAGTTGCCTTACAGTTTCAGAATCCTGTCCAAATGTATTTCACTCGTGTTTTCTGAAAAGGATAGTACAGGTCGAAAAATGATGCCGGGGTTTGTAAACTGAGGAGCAAAAATGTGCCCCACTGGTGGTGTCCATTTAATGATTCATTTGACAGTATTTTAATTGTCCACTGCGGGTGATCTCTCTCCGACCGAGAAAGCAAAAGAGTACAGCAGGCCTCGCTCGCTTATTGGAAATCACTCAAACGGATGCGCCATTTTTTTATACAACCACAAGATGGCACCAAAATGAACATTGGACGGTCATGCCTCAGAATGAACGTGAGGTTGAAAGTTGACAAAGCTCCTTCATGTGTGTCGTTTCTATCGAATCAGCATTTCCGGCTGCTGGAGGAAAGGAAGCGCTCTGACAAAGATGGCGGACCGCATCTCAGTGACACGTTACCCAGGAAGAAAGCGACATCGGCCACGATGCCCCAGTACTCCAGTGCAACACTTGGACGGAGTTTCCCAACAAAGGTGGGCTCTCCTGAGTGTCAAACTTGTTCAGCAGTCTGAAAGTCAATGTTAAGATTCAAATTTGCCTCAAGGCTCTACTGATAGTCCAAGTCATTATCTTTGTCCAATGGCATCACATCTTATTTGATGATCTTTTCAATGCGGCAAAAGTGGGTTCTTCCTCACCTCCGGTTCTTTTGTGGATTTGCTCTCAGGCCCATCCACCGTTGGTGCAGAGCACGAGCTGTGGCAGCATTCTTCCCAGAATTCTCTCCTTATCCAGCAAGGAAACGGAAAGCAGACGCCTGCAAAAAGGTGCGTTGACACGCAAATACAAATTTGCGTGTTGAAGGGTCGTTTGAAAAATTCCTTTGACTCTTGTTAGCAGACTTGACAACTTGTTATATATACACACACACACACACAGTCTCGTTGTGGTTTAAAATGGATATTTGTCTGCAGCGACAACTTCCTCTTGATACGCTAGCATAGCCCAAATTGCTCTTCATCCCATTTAAAAGGTTTTCTGGGACCGTGTGCTATTCTCTCTGCATTTGTGTGGTCCCTCTGTCCCTTTGGTCTCTTGATCTGGCACATCAGATGGGTGGGGTCTGCTATTAGTGACAGATACGATCGGGTTGCGTGTTTGGGTCTTCTTCCTGTAGCCAGAGGCTGAGCTCTGGAGTTTGAAATGTTGCCGTTATTTCTGCCTCTCGTCCTCAGCAGTCGCACCTTTTATTTTTCGGCGTTTTTAAAGCATCTCCTGTGTGCGTTGTTATTTTATAACCGGATGTTCTTGAAGGAATTGCGCTTCAACAGTCAGGATTTTTGGTGACTGATTGAATGTATCGGACTATCAGTCACGCTGGCGGGACTCAGCCATACAAAACCAACGCCGGCTGGGCAAACTGTTCTCCAAGAGGGGGTGACACAGACGGGTACAATTCTCATCACACTGAATGCAAGTTGTGCGCTCAAGCCTAATGTTGTTTTCGCCGCTTGTCTTTTGCGTCAAGGTCATCCGAGCTCTCGAGCGTCATCCCAGACGAACGTCTACCTCAACGCCTTCGACTACCGTGACAACCAATCCTTTGACACAATGAGCGTGGATAGCACGGACTCCATTGAAACAAGCATCTCTGCATGCTCTCCTGACAATATCTCCAGGTCAGTTCATGGCGTGCGTGCAGCCCGACTTGGGTTTTTTTTTTTTTTTCACATTTTTACAAATGCCTAAAATATAATGACACCCTCCCTCCTCAAAAAAAAAAATCACAAAAATTATTCTTCATTTAGAATGAACAAAGTCGCAAACAAACCAATCAAAAGTTAATGTGAAGAGTTTGTGAGCTTCCAATAGGATGTGGCCAACTGTACATTCTTTAGGTTAGGGCACTCTTGATTAAAGTTAGGCGCTTCGGGTTACGCAAGGCAAAGATTTGTGTGTGTGTGTGCGCGTGTACATACTCACATGGTCAACCCCCACCCCGGGTCGATGAACTGAACATGCGAGTGTGATTTGGGCTCCAGTCCCCCAATCTGGACGAAAACCATGTGTGCTCTCGTTTCCCTCCTTTTTGTTCTCAAATTCATTTCAAATGTTGAACCTCCCGCCTCCCCTTGTTCCAGTAGATAGATTCTGCACATATTTAAGCCGTTAGCGGACTGAACGGCTTGTATTGTAGTGCTGAGGCACAGTATGTCCTCCTATTGAAGGCTCCTGATTTAGTTCCTGAAAGTCTGTTTGACTTGTACTTTTTTTTTTTTTTTTTTTTTTTTTTTGAAGTAAAAGACGAATGTGGCTTTGTAGTACGGGTTTACAGTGACAATGAGTGTGATTCCCTGTCGTCGACCAAGGTAAGCCAATGAAATGTGTGCGTCTGTATGTGTTGCGGTTGATGTCATCACTAACCTTACAATTCGCGGAAAATATGTTGTCTGTATACAAGGTGTCCAACATAACGATATCGGTGGACGCGTATATCGAATCGGCATTCAGCAAGGTGTTTGTTACGCGTTGAATTTAAATTGGGAAACTCTGGATTCCAGGTCTGCATTCCAGGACATGGCCTTACGAGTGACCATTTTCCTCCTTTGTGTGCTTTGTCTCCTCATGTCTTGGCTGCAAAATTCTTCTTCAGGCCTTTTCCTTGTTGCTGACTTCACTGCCTCTGCTTCCTGCCCCAATTTGTTTACACCGTCTTAATGCGCAGCATTTATCGGAGCGTTGATGTGACATCATCCATTTCCCTTCTGGATAAGAGAGAATATGTGTGCTGCGTTTTTCAGTCACCTGCGGTCTCATTCATGAACTACAGTGGATGTCCAAAAGAATGAATACCTGTCGATAAGGTCGAATTTCAAAAACGAACTGTGTTTTGTGTGCGTTCCAGTGCGAGTACGTCAAATGTAGCCAAGTTAGAGGAGATGGAGCGTCTGCTGAGAGAAGCCCAGGCAGAAAAGAACCGACTCCTTGAGCACAAGGTGATAAGACCGATTGTGTGGATATGCGTGGACGCGCTGGCCGCAACAATCCGATCGGCAAATTTACAAGCACAAGAATGGTGCCGTATCTCGTTGCATGTGAAACGTCCAGCGGGGGAGGAGGGGGGTCACTTTCCCCTTCCCTTTGCGCTTGACCGTTGTCGTACAGTGGAAAGTGATTTACTGCTGACCCTCAGGAGCGAGAGATGGAAATTCGAAAGCAAGCGCTGGACGAGGAGAAGAAGAGGCGGGAGGAACTGGAGAAGTTGCTCCAGGAGGAGACCAGCAGGCGGCAGAAGCTCATCGACCGTGAGGTGAAACTACGAGAGAAGCAGCGAGTGCAGGTGAGAGGCTCAATTGTGGCTAACGCTTGAGCCGCACGGATCACGGCCGCTCAACTCGACGCTACTTTTCACCGAGTCTCACGTCACTCAACGGGCCGTGCCCCGCCTGTTGAAGCCATGCGGATTCAGTCACAGATACGACAGTACTTGAGAACGGATTCAACACAAAATTCCAACGCGGGGCATGATTTATATAAGCTGCATCACGTTTTTGTGATCTTCTTCAAAACATCACCATCGTTTGTCGTTGAGTAAAGGGCACCTGGCACTTTTCCATCCTTTGTTCCAGTCCCGACCACTCACACGGTACCTCCCGGTGCGAAAGGACGATTTTGACCTGCGGGCTCACATTGAGTCGGCCGGCCACAGCGCCGACACGTGCTTCCACTTATCCATCTCTGAAAAGACATGCAGAGGTTACCTGATCAAGATGGGCGGCAAGATCAAGACCTGGAAAAAGCGCTGGTTCGTCTTTGACCGCAATCGACGGACGCTCTCCTACTATGCGGGTTGGAATTCATCTTCATTTGGTCGTTTTCTTTGATGGTGTCTTTCAATGCCGTCATTTTGTATCACGTACAATTTGCGCTGTTGCGATGTGATATTTGTGTAGACAAACACGAAGCCAAGCTGAAAGGCGTCATCTACTTCCAAGCCATTGAAGAAGTGTATTATGACCACCTGAAGAATGCACATAAGGTACCTGTGTTCACATTTGTGTGTCCATGTCGGGGGATCGCATCTCCTTCTCATGTGAGTCGTGTTGTTTCACAAATGTTTACTTTGTGTTACTCTAGAGCCCCAACCCCTCCCTCACCTTCAGCGTCAAGACTCACGACAGGGTCTACTACATGGTGGCCCCTTCCCCTGAAGCCATGAGGATCTGGATGGACGTCATCGTTACAGGCGCTGAAGGATACACGCAATTCATGTTGTAGCCAAGCGGAATGAGCACCTCAAAACGCCTTGGTGGCTTTTTCGGGGGGGGGCGTGGCTCAGTGGTCGAGTGGTCGTTTCCCAACCCAGAGGTTGGGGGTTCGATCTCTGGCCATCGCGACCTTGTCCAAGTGTCACCAGTCGGTCAATGAGGAAACATTGTTACACGCAGTTCGACAAGCGCGATGCGAGTGGCAGCCCATTGAGAGCGCTTACTTTTTTGAAGACTATATTGTTATTTTAGTAGGGGAACATGTATCTATCTGTTCGACCTGGACAACTATCTGACAGCACCTCCGATTTACCTGTTAGGTACATTTAACGTGCCTCGTTACTAAAGGACAAACACAAATGAGAACAATCAAAGGCTTTTTCGTCTTAACTGTGCAGTCGATCCGACACTACCTCTTTTTCATGTTGGGGTTAAATACCGAGGAAGCAAGCACACTGCATTCGTAACCGTCGCATCACGGACTCAGAAAATGATAGTTGGAGTGAGAATGTTATCTTTTTTGCCAAAGCCATGAATATTGCATGTACATTGCGACTTTTTCAGCAAAGCCTGATCGTTTGGCTTTGTACTCTTTTCCTCAGGTTTTAGTCATGTGCATGCATGCGTCCTGTTTGTCATGGAAACGTGTGATCCAAAGGGACTTGTTTTGTGTCTGTATGCGCACTCGTAAACGGCGCTCATGCAGCTCACGGTGCTTCCCAAGTACTGATCAACACAAACGACGCAGACGCAGTTTTCACACTGCCGCCCAGGATGAAAGAAGGCCCGCAAATAAAGCGCACCCCGGCCGTTCAAAGACCGATACCTCAAAGCCAGAAGTGATTTTAAAAGTACAGTTGCAGTCACTGATCAACATTCGGATGGCTTTTTGTTTATGCATAGACAGCAGTATATATTTTTCACAACACTGTTTCTGTAGACTCTGTGCCACATTGCCTGTGCTGACAAAACATAATTGTGGCAAGAGTGCTGCCTCCACTCTGAGGTTTAAGGGGCCCGGAGAGCGAGGGGGAAGGGGGAATATAAAGAGGGACATATATGAACCGGCGTACATGCTGCTGAATATTGTGCTTTAGTACACTTGCTTTTACAGTATTGATTTGCTTTAATTTGGATTAATTTAATGCCGTTTTGTTTTTTTATACAGCGCACCCGCTTTAGAGCTCAATATCTAACAGTTTGTCATTGCAAATTTCTCCCTTGTGAGACAATAAAGGTTTTCTTATCTTATCTAACCCTGAGCAATATCGCTGCATCGATGTCAACCTTTTTCGTGCAATTCTTGACCAAAGTTCACGTCCGTGTTGTATGACCCAGGTCAAGTTCATTATTTCTTTGCTGTGCCTTTTTGGATGACAATGTTTGGTTGTCAGTTCCAAGCACAAATCAGCGCTCCTGTCACTTTGTGGAGTTACGATATTGTCACCCTTTGAAAAGAATGGCCAAAGTCGTATTTTTGGCCCGTATCATCTCAGGATGCCGGGGGGGAAACAGCGCATTGATTTCTACCTCTGAAATGACATTTTGAAGAAATACAATCAGGATTTGATTAAGTTTTTCGTGTTTGAAAGAAAGAAAACTACTTTGGCCTTTATTTTAGGAAGGTGGCGATGTCTTTGCATGGTTGTTAATTTTTATATAAATAATAAACACCTCGTTTTCTTCTTCACGATTTTAGTGTTGACTCAAGGTCGATGTTTTTAATGCATCATAGCACAACTGGCTGTTGGGTAGAAAGCAGCTTTCAACGTCCGTTCTGCAACCAAGTCGTGCTGTTGCATCACCGCGTGGCCAATTAAGATAAGGGCAGTCAATCGCCGCGGATTCTTAGACTGCGGTTCGTGTTTCATACAGCACATCTTTTGTTGTTTTGAAGGTAACGTTCAAAATCAAATAGTTTACGCGCATTGTTTTTCGGTATAATTTTCACAGCATAGTTTGTGTACTGTAACACGACAGAACGAGACATCAACTTCTGCAGCGGACTAAACGAAACCTCTCTTGCTCTCGTAGTTGGTTATGTTAGTTCAACACTAGACGGCACTAAATTCTCCACACTGTAGCTGCACTTGCAGTGACCTTTTGGGGCTGAATTTTTCTCTGTGTTTAGGGACTTCAGCCCATCGGGTTCAAAAGGTGCGGTCGAAAGGCTTCCTCATAGAAATGAATAGGATGCGTGCAGTACCACATACCCACAGCAGAGAGCGCCCCCCCCAAAAAAGTGGTTGAGGTTACTCTTGGGGTCAATCGACAATTTTTGCTTGGTAATCGAATGTTAAAAACACGATGTTATAAGATGGCGCGTCATTAAAGCCTCCAAGGAAATAGTTTAACCAAAAAAAAGAAAGCGTTTCGAGCTTGGAAATCTATGTGGACTGCAATCTCCCAAACTTCCCATGGCCACCGCGCCCCTGCGTGACACAAATGTAACAATAATTTGTGTTCATACAAAGAACACTTCATTGGCATTTAGTATGTTGACTTAACTCATGATTACACCTGCTGTTTAATACTGTATGTTTAACCTGGAGTGCATAATCTAGATGCTATCCCTACCAACGCACGCGTATTGTCACAGGACTTGATTTTTTTTTTTTTTTTTTATTTGAGCACTAAAGTATAATAGTGGCATAACCTAATTAGTATGTTGGGGCACTATATCAAGAATAAACGCTTCCGTTTTCCGGAATTACTTTACATTTATTAGTATACTACTGACACGCAATATCTTAAAAGAGTTCCATGACTTGAATTGTTTTATTGATATCGAGAGCAGTAGGTCATGCAGTGGTTGAAGTCAACAAGCGGTGTCTCTAAATAGTCACGATGAGTATTCCTGTTGTGCAGCTTTAAGAAGGCTGTCGTAACTTGAGCCCGAGAGAGCGAAGATAAATTGGGGCGGGCCCTGCCACGAGCAAGCTTGCACCAATCGCAACAACCCCCTTTAAAAAAAAAAGCATTCGCGGAACCGCTGCAGATATGCACGTTAGCTCTCAGCTCGGGTTGTGGATAAACATTACCTTGTTGACACGGATGAGGAGCTCCCCCAAGCCCAGGCCCTTCTTCTCCCACGCTAGAATGTCAAACTGAAGCTAGTTCCCGCGTATGTGTTGTTGATCCAGCATGGACAGATGCGATGGTCGTGGATATGACACGGCGCGTGCACCTCCGCCTGCAGCCGTGGGAATCTTAAGCGGCTGAGGGAGAGCGAGTCAGTCTTGATGAGAGTCGGACGGTAAGCACAGCTGATTTTTACCTCAATACACCAGGCGGCGTCAAGCTCGCCGTTTGGCCTCGCGTTGGGGTCTTGTTCGTCGAAAAGAAAGTGGAAGCATCGTTACTCTGTTTGAGCGTGACGCAAAAACCCTTGTCTGGTCCGAGGAATTTGATGCTGAAGGCGAAGTTCTAATAAGGCGATGTGTGCCGGGTAAACCCCCCCCCCCCTCCACCACCCGCCCCGCGCCAGCGCATTGCACCCTACGTACAGTTCCGATCGAACATGAAGCAGGAAACCACAATGAAACGTCGGAGTCACGTTCTAGAGAGAATAGATATAGACTCAATTTCTCTTCAAATTCATGATTTTCTCGCAAGGAAATAGCATCTGCTTCTCGTCAGCAAAACAAAGCAACACGTCTGACGCGGGCATATTTTGCAGATGTTAAGTCTGAACATGAAGCTGCCAACGCAAGAAAACAAATCGGAGTCACGTGCGACTGAAATAGACTCAATTCCTCTCCGAATCCATTTTTACTTTTTTTTCCTGGAAGAAAAGTACGGTATGTTTTCTCGTACTGCTTACAACACTTCTTGCGCAAGCGCATTTTAGCTCAACGTACATTCCTGGACGCGAAGCTGTCAACACAAGGAAAGATGTCTCAGTCACACACCGTAGAAATAGACCACATCGTGGTGTCCCCCGCCTTCTGCCCGAAGACGGCTGGGACGGGCTCGTGCCTTCAGCTACTTGTGCAAAAAGTACCGAAGCATTTAACAGCTGCACAATGAAAAGCTTAGAGAAGGTCACAACAAGTTCACCTGGAAAGGTTTGAATGTATTTTAGGCTCGTCCAGAAATTTCACCCGAAAGCCAAATCCCCCGAACTTTTTGTGAGTAGGCTAATATACGCACAGTATACAGTATAAGCTGAGCCGGAAACCTTCTTCCCTCTTCCCTCCGCAGTGGAGCCGGGTGGCCATGGACCCGTTCAGCCAGCTTATCCTCACCATCTCGGTGACCAGCTTCTTCACTTTCCAGTGGCTCTTCCACAAAGTCAGCCCCTGGCTGTCGGCGCGCGTCAGCCCGGGCTTCCTCGGCCTCAGCGACAAGCAGAAGGTAGAATGGAACTCCAGGTGAGCGGATGGCGGCGACGCTCGAGTCCGGATTCACCCGCAAGTTGAGCTGCGGGGCCTTCGCGAGTCTCCATCAATTTCACTCATGCCTTCTTGTCAGAGAGGCCGTGGCGTGGAAGTGCAGCGTGCACCTTATTGAGCGACACCAGTGCCGAACTGTGACGATGATCGTGACCATATGAAATGAAATGTCATCTGTGTCAAACCGAACCGAATGCAATTGTGCTTCAGGTGCAATTTTTGCTACGCGGATTTATCAGGTGTACCTCATGAAGTAGATGGCGAAAGTAGTCGGAGCACTTTGGGGACATCGTGGAGCAGATTGGTTGGATTGAACACAACAGATAATATTATTGCACAACCGCCAACGCGCATGACTCACTCATTTTCATCGTCACTCCTTATCGCTTTATGACTCACGATGGCACTCTTGAAATTAAAACGGTTGCATGGTTTACGGGGGTTGGGGGCAAATAAAATGTACTGGTTAGTGGCGATGGGTTCCGGGTTATGAGCTGGCCGTTTTTCCCATGACTTAGCACTCAATGCGGATGTCACTGTGTCTTGTCCTCTGCTGGACTTGATCGCTCACTCCAGTTGTCTGTGTGACTTCCTGTCAGGCGAAAGCTTGATTGATGTGACGAGCAGCTGAAAAACAATGACCCATTTCAATTTCGGTCAAATTAGTGTTTGTTTGTGTCCCGTTGTTTTTTGTTTTTTTTTTTTTCAGGACAGTATCGACTCTTCACGCACTGTTAGTGGGAATCTTCTGTCTTTACATTTTGTTCTTTGATGCCGCCGTCAATGAAGACCCAGTCTGGTAAGAGTGTTCGTCAAAGGACTTGACTTTTTGACACACGTTGAAATATTTTCACCCCAGAACGCGAGACACTCAAATCAAAAGGATATTGAAATGTCCAAATCCAAGCTAGATATTTATCATGACCATTGTGTGCTTTCCCCACAGGGGAGATCCTACTCTCGTGAAGACTAATGTTGCTATCACAACAGGCTACCTCATATCTGGTAAGGGAAGCATCACAGGTAATGCGTCAAAGCCGATGGTTTAAAAAAAAAAAAAAATGTAATCACCTGCTTTCATTTGTACAATGTCCTCTTTTAATGCCCCCCTCCCCTCTCTCCCCCATCTTATCCTTATTTTTTTCCAGATCTGTTGCTAATATTTTACTATTGGAAGGCGATAGGAGACAAGTTTTTTGTAGTGCACCATCTGGCAGCGTTGTATGCTTACTACTATGTACTGGTGAGTGCCCTATTGTCCAATAGCAGAACACGCAGGCAAGATGGGAAGGAGACAAAATCGAGGGTGAACAGCAGCGTCCCGGTGCTCTGGCCATTTTCTTCGTCGGCGGCCTTGTGAAATTGTTCTGGATCGGTACAATCGGTCAAAGGCGAGGTCGGCGTGGAAAAGCGGGGAATGAGGCCGCCTTAGGACAACCGTCTTCAAACCTCGACAGTCTAGCAGTTCATCAATATGAAATCAAGTGCATCAAACTCAGCAGAAATGCTGATGCGCTCATACGTTCTGCCCCAAGAAATACATTTCGGGGTTGGCGCGAGCCAGACAGCAACGGTGTTGGTTGTCCCAGCGAGTAGATTGCGGGCAAGAAAATAGGTCGAGCCATCAACGGGCTTCTGCTCGACTTTGAGCCAACAGAGGAGGAGGCCTCGGCGGCCCCGACCGCACGCTTTGCTCGAATCCCTCTTTTGGACATCCAAAGTATCAGATTGTTGACAGAGGTGCAACAAGAATATGGAGTAGGATCATCTTCACCCCTCGTTGCTTGCTGAGAATTGACACTTCGGAAGACCTCGCTGCTTCGTGCGTCCAGTCTTTTAGTTTCAGTTGCTGTTCACTCTTGATTTACTCTCAAATTGTCGAGATCGTCAGTTCTCTGTCGCATAATGAATATGGAAATGATTGACTACATGGTATTTTTTGCATGGAATGCCCAACACTGGTATTGGCTGTTGAAGCTACCCCAATCCCCCCGTCCCCGCCCTCTTCGCTCTGGCTAACGTGTCCTTCGTTTTACTGACCTTACCCCCACCCCTCTCTCGACCTACTCTTGAGTTTTGGCGCAACACCTGCCTTGCATGCCGACAGCGGGGCCCTTCAGGTATCCCGTTACCCAGCATGCCAACAAACCGTGTTTTCCCCAACAACGGCCTGCATATCCGCAATCGCCTTTGCCATCTGTTTTTTGTGCCGGAGACTCGTTGCGCTTTCCCTCCAAAGAGAAAACTGGCAATGAAGCGCTAAAGTGATTTGCCTTTCAAAAACAAAGTGTTATTTCAAAAAATGCAAAACGACTGCGCGGTGCTCTGCCGTCCGTTCTCGCGCTGGAGTCGAGCTTGAACTGGTGAAACCTTTCAATTCCAAATCCTGTCATACGTTCCTAATGGACACAATAACAATGCCGTCGGTGGCTGGATATTGGAGTAATAGTGTGCTTCTCATCATAATTCCATCCTTTTTTTTTTTTTTGTTGCTTTTTTAAAAGATCATGCCATTGTCAACGAGATGCTTGCGCAGCATGTCAAAGCATGCGTCCCTGGTGACGAATGTCATTCGCGTCAACTACGAGTTCCACTTGTAGCCACGTGGGGGCAGCAGAAATCAGTGGTCAAAATGAATGCACTGTCGCCATTTTTTGGGGTGAATGTGCAGCTTCCCGGCATACACTGAGAAGCCTTTGGCAACTCTTGACAGAAATAATAGTCCTGATTTCTGTCTCTCAATAAAACTGCAGTCAATTTTGCACTATCGTCTGTTTAAAAGGTCTCTTTTGGGCTAGCAGAACCGACACATCCATACTGTCACTGGACACTCATGTCTTCCTTAGAAATGTCATCTGGTCCGATAGTTTTTCATTCCCGATACCTAATGACAACCAGAATTGTCTCCGCCTTCGTTGTGATTTCCATTTGCTCTATTTTCATAAGTAGACACACTTGTGCTTTGTTGTCAAATTTTATGATCTATGTGTGGGTGTTCACTCAAAACCACAAGATGGATTCATCTCATTTCGAGACATTTACGAGGTTTACTACCTAAGGGTCAGTGGTACAAGTGAGCATCATTTTTTTTTTCCTTTAAGCTTGCTTTTATATTTGTAAGGGTCAGTGGTACAAGTGAGCATCATTTTTTTTCTTTTAAGCTTGCTTTTATATTTCTTCTTCGCCACCAAGGTCTTGATGAGAAGAGTGACTGTTCACCTGAATTTCCGTTTGGAACCAATAGGAAAACCAGAATATGACAGCTCCCGTGGGTGGGACTTTTCGATGCATGCTTCGTTTCTCAACGTTTGCATTTGTGGCTCCATATTTGTATGTCATGGGGGGGGAGGGGGGGTGTTCTCGTTTTTCTGTCTCTCTTTCTGTCCGTCTCTTTAACATTATCACCCCCTCGTCCAACCCAACATGCAAAAATTACCAAGTTGGCTTGTGTGAAGACAGTTCATGCAAAAACTACCAAGACGGCGTGTCTGTGCGTCATTATCCGGGGAGCTTTTGATCTAGATGGGGGGGGGGGGGCTCCTCCTTATTTAATTCCTGTCTTGTCTGCTGTTATTGCTGTTTGGTTGCACTGAGCAGATGTGATGCCCAGTCACAGTATGGACTTACCAGTTCCTAGAGGTACGAGCGTGCTCGTGCTCAGATGGAAAATAGTGTACTCAGACCGTGCGCTGATTTGTGTCCCTTAGTAAGTATGTTGTGGTGACACGCTTTTATTTCAGCCTCGCAGGTAAGTTTCCTTTTTGCATGATATACAAAGTCGGGCCAGGAGTCAACTATGCCGACCGCACACGGAATGAGATCCAATCAGAGATCACTCCAATAGAATCGGTTCTACCTTCCTGAGGTTCATGCTGTGTTTTCATTTGAGATTGCTCTTTTTTCCACAATGCTGGAAACTTCAAACGACAAACTTGTCTATCGTAGCTGTGCCACAGTATCTCGGAAAAGGCTGAAAATGGAGTTTGTTGTTGTTGAGTGCGTTGGTTTTGAACGACTTTCTCTTATTTTGGTCTTTATTTCGAGACGCTGGTGGGAAAACCACGAGAGCCCGTTTGATCGACCGTCTGTCAAAAAGCAGCGCCAATGCAACCAAACCGTTGGAGGCTTCATTCCAAGTCGTCATACTTGATGTCCCGCGTCTTAGTTCCAAGTCTCTATTGACGTGGAGCCTCGCATTTGTCGTGACTTGACCCCGAAAGACCATTTGAGTCATTGGCGATTGCCAAGCTGCGTCCGGAAGGGGCGAAATGTGATTTGATCGTTATTGTATGAGTCAGGTCCGTCCGTCCTTGAGATCCACTTGATCTTGTCTTGTTTTCTGTACCTGTTTTACCTCGACGCTCTTTTCCTCTTTTTGCTCTCTTTGCAGGGCCAAGGCATGTTGCCTTATTTTGCTAACTTCCGTCTGCTCGCCGAGTTTTCTACTCCTTGTGTGAACCAGCGGTACGTACCATCCCGTCGACGAGCGGCTCTCCGTCACCAGAGCTCTGTTTTGGGGCCTTTCTGACCGTTTTCCTCCAAAACGCAAATGCACTCCCAAGTAGTGGGCGGTGCTGTTTATTGATTGATGGATTGATTCAACTGCAGAGATTAGCAGTCGCTCAATAGACGGGAATGCATTTCTTGAAGGGCAGGCCTTTTACCTGACTGCATTTTTACGGTAGCATACAAAAATCCCGGGTTGTGTATTTGAGGAGACCCGCTCATTGTCGTCGTTCACCAGGGCCATCCAAAGTCGTACTTTGTGTCAAGGAAGCATGTTGAAGCCACGCATGTTGAATGTGCCATTGTTGTTCCTGTTGCAGCTGGTTCTTTGAGGTTCTAGGTTACCCGAGGACTTCCCGGCCCAACATGGCGAACGGCGTGGCCATGGCAGCGGTGTTCTTCATGGTGCGCGTGGCCGTGATGCCGGTCTACTACGGCCGCATGTACGCCGTTTACGGCACGGAGGCCTTCTACCTGGTGCCCCGTGGCGGACGCCTGGCGTGGATCTGCTCCAGCATCTGCTTGGACGTCATGAACGTGATGTGGATGCACAAGATCGCCAGAGGCTGCTACAAAGTGCTGCAGTCGGCACGCCGGGCCAAAGACGGCGGCGCGCCCCATGAGAACGGGAAAGTCGACTAGGAGCAGGAAGCAGACGGCACGTGCTAGCGCGCAAGCTTGTCAGCTGGCACCATTAAGAGCCGAGAATCTAACGAGGAGGAAAGATTCCAAAAGCTGGGACAGGTATGACGGATCAGCTGACCGCCCGCCCGCCCGCCTTCAAGCCATGCAATGACCTCTCAGCAATACTCTTGTGTTGCTTATCTTTTATTCGCAGTATTTTTTTTAAAGAACAATTGACCTCTTTGGTGAACAATGGAGCCCAAACTGAAAGTGTTTACTTCTCTTTTCACACACACACACACACACACATTCACTGGTTAAGACGAATACTGCCAGAGATCCTCATTGAAGGTCAGTGCCATCAAGTCCTTAAAGGCTCGACTTTCTTTTTATTTTCATTTTATTTTTTTCTACTCTCCAGGGACACAAAGACAAAGTAAGTGTGACTGAAGCAGTGGTGTTGCTATTGAAGAGACTCGTTGACAAAGTAGCCTTTTTAGAGGAAGAGCAGGAGATTTCAAACGGATTGAAACATGATGTCACCTTGCTTCTTGTTGTTGTTTTTTTTTCCATGCAGTATAAGAAGCTCGGAGTTTTATAATGAACAAGACTTGCATTTGGAAACGCTGAAAGGGAAACTGAACGTCAATGCTGTTTTTCCTGGAACGAATGGGATTTTAAAGTCAGGGAGTCAATCAGTACGAACAGAATGATGGTCACATCAGCGTTCATGAGAACATCGTGTTTTTTTTTTTTTCCATGCAGTATAAGAAGCTTGGAGTTTTATAATGAGCAAGACTTGTATTTGGAAACGCTGAAAGGGAAACTGAACGTCAGTGCTGTTTTTCTTGTAACAAATGGGATTTTAAAGTCAGGGAGTCAATCAGTACGAACAGAATGACGGTCACATCAACGACATTGATTTATTTGACCTTTTAAAGGAGTGAAACTAGAAGCAGGATTTTTTTTTTTTACATCTATGACTTGATTGCCCCCTCGCCCCCATTTTTTTGGGTGGGCACAGTATTGCCACTCAGCTGCAGTGTTTTGATGTGTCTAAATCATCTTTTAAAAGATTGAAATTATTTTCAGTTCACGTTTCCCATTAGAATACACGCATTCTGAAGGGGAAACGACATCTCTGCCAGATACTACAGTATTGCCACTCAGCTGCAGTGTTTTGATGTGTTAAAATCATCTTTTAAAAGATTAAAATTATTTTCAGTTCACGTTTCACCAAACGTTTCCCATTAGAATACACACACGCATTCTTGAGGGCAAACGACATCTCTGCCAGATACTCATCTATAATGTCATTTCTATGATTTTTTTTTTTAAAAAATTCTCGCTACGTCCAGCTTTTGTTGCCTTGTCTTTTCAGTTTGCCTTGTCTCTTCGAATGTTCGCAGGCTTGCGGTTGTGTCCTTTTCGTGTTTTAACAGTTGACGAGACCGCCAAGTTGGTGCTTTTCGTGTTCAACGCGCTAGATTGTGTTCACAGCCGTGCCAAGTTGCAGCGAGGCTCACGTGCGCATCCGGGGTGCCGCCGCGCATCCTGTTTGTGATCGGGTCCACCTCAAGTCCACCGTGAGCGTAAAAACCCTCACCGATGGGCATCTTGGCTTTTCACGACCGAATTTCATTCTCTTATGGCGGTCATAGACGCACGCACACCGTGTTGACTTCATGGCAAGCTCCACAGAACGTCGTCGCAAAGCAGCCGTTCAATGGTTTTCATGTCCAGCGCAGAACTAATTAGCAAGGGAATACTTGAAAAGTCAGCCGCTGACGACGACGCATCACAATGTGGGCGGTGCAAATAGCAATCTAGTCTGTGTGGAACTTTCATGACCTGTTGTTTTACATGATCGGTGGACTAGAGTCGGTCCCAAGATATTGGGATATTGGATGGAGAAGAGATGGGAGTGGCTACTGGGGTCTAAAGTGACATTCTGTGAATGTGATGTGAATTATTGGAAAAGAGCAAATGATCAGCATGACATTTTTATTTGTTCCTTATAATAAATGACAAATTGAACCGTGGGCAGTGTCTTCTTATTTTGGGGACAAGCGATGTCACGTTCACTTAAGTTGACAAGTACTTTTGGGGCAAATGATCAGCATGACATTTTTATTTGTTCCTTAAATAAATGACAAATTGAACCGTGGGCAGTGTCTTGTTATTTTGGGGATAAACGATGTCACGTTCACTTAAGTCGACAAGTACTTTTGGACAGATCAATCTTTTTGGCGGAATGTGGATAGATTTACTATTTCTAGAGACAGAATAACTCTGAATATGGGAAATACAGTCATTGGCATGGGCGAATGCATCAAAGCATCCACGATTAGGGTTGGGCATTTCCCTAAATTACATTTTTTGGAATATTTTCATCTGATTGATTTGAAATCTTGGTTGCATGGCGTTTTGGGCAGAATTACACTGCTGGGCTACATGCATGAAACTAGTTGGGAGTAAGGGTGTGCCCCCCTCCCCCCCCAAAAAAAAACAGATTCACTCAACAATCGGGAGTTTCTATGCGAAGATTCAAGAAACCGATGTCAAAGTTCAGAATGGACTTTGGCGATTTTTCAAAAATCAAAGGTGGCGCTACCACTTTTCCCCAGCAGATGGCAGCGCAGAGCCAATTTGTTGCGGTCTGTCAGCGGCCTGAAGCGTTAAGCAGAGTCAATGTCAGAAAGAGTGACGGACTTTCATCTGGCCCCATTCAATTGATGTATTGCTCATGGGTTACATTGTTTAGAATTGTTCCAAAATGTAAACAACGCATTGTTTGACAAAATGCGACATACCGACTGAGGCTGTGTCAAAGGTCGTTGCTTTGCACACAAGGTGCCATGTCAGTTTTGCCACAATGGAGAAATAACACATTGTTGATCGGTTTTTCTGCTTTTTCAAAGTCCTTGCGGTCAACAGAGAAAAGTTGAGTGACCTTCACAATCCCCAAACTGTTTCAGCGGTCTTGTTTTTTTTACACCCCCCTCCCCCACATCACACCTCCCCTTGAAGCTTAAATAGAACTGTGGTGTATCAGCCACTTGTCCCAAAAGGCCTTCTGCCTTCCTAAATGTCAGCACATTGCATGTGCAGGAATCATCTCCATGGCAACACAAAAAACGCGCCACTGCCACTTCCAGTGCACGCAAACTACAGTAACGCACCTGTGGCTTCAAAGTATTTCAACAACATTGTATGCGTATTACGGTAGAGTGATGTAACTCTGCACTACATCATACTGAGCGCTGCTTCTCATGTTTTGGTATTCACTGATACAGTGTCAGTATTGTCTCCAATGGGTGAGATTTTAGAGAACACATCTGTTCTTTGAGCGTTCTTGACTTCCGAGTTGTTCTCATTTTGGCATTTTTGATGCAGCCCTTGTATTTGATCTCGTGATTGTTGTCGCGTACCCGAAGGTTCTGTCCGTTCTGTGGCCTTGCGGTCGTGGCAACTGAGCTGCGATACAAATCCTTGCGATTTGGCCTTTGTCGAGAATGCTATACGGTGGGTCAATAGAATACTTGGTGAGCTGCGTGATGCTGCACACAGGCATGCGCACAAACTGTTTTTAGTTTCAGGGTATCCGATGTCTTTCCTACGCCCCTTCCAGGACATCTGTGTTCGGTTTAATGGTCACATGCAACAAACACCGAACACTCGCCCAGAAGAGCTAACTCTGAGCCTTAGAAATGAACATTTGTTGCATGCGAATGCAAAAACAAATGCACATTTCAAATATTGCTTTGGACACAACTTCAAAACTAAAGCGAGGGCTTACGTGTTTCAGACCTTGCCTTTTATTGGATTGCGCCCGACTGTCTCCGGCGACACGGCACATCCAGAGAGCTTGACGGAGAAGTTTCACGAAGCGAGACGCGATCGGATACCACTGCGCGCCTTGTAGAAATGTTAAATGTCAATCATTTAGATTCCTGTCAATCGCAACCCCCCCCCCCCCGTGTGTTTAGCATACCGCCACTGACCTCAATTTTAGGGACATTTTACAACGCAGAGGTTCATATTAAAAGCTCTGCCTCCTCGAGTGACCGCTTTTTACCGAGTCGCTTTCTTTTATTTGTCTTGCTGCTGGATGTTGTCGGTATCTGACTGGACGACTGATCTGCCCTCCTCCGGATTTGATGTGGCCTTCGAAGTCCTTGCCAGGAAAAAAAAAACGCTCGTTAAAATACAAGACATTGCCATATCAATTTTCGAAATGTGGATTTCGTGATCGGGCTCTTGGAGTTGAGCGCGAAACTGCCTAATTCTGTGTCCTGCAAGTGCGTTTTGGGTGATTGTCTGTTTTCCGACAGAAATTGAAAGCATCACACGCCTCTCTGAAGTTTGCCAAGACGTCGACGAACCGCGTGCTCTGCAGGGCGAGAGCGTGCGTGCGTGGCGTGGCGTGGAGTGTGTGCGCGCGCCTGACTGCGTGTGTGTCTATATGAGAAGGCAACCGGCTCAACTGTCACTTGAGACTCAGAAGAGCCGAGGAGACTAAGTCTTCACCATCGCTCCTCTCGTCTGCCGCCCGTTCCCCTTTCTCGGCTTTGAACGACCGGTAAGCAACGATTGCTCTCTCCTCGTGTACGCGTCGTCAGTTTGTGATTTTGTTGTTGTTCTTCTTCTTGGTGTCGTCTTCAAATAGCGACACGTCCCGTACAGCGTTGACGAAATGTCTCAGACGGATGTCACCGGGGCGCCTCGCAGGGGGAAGGTGCTCACTCTGGACACGATGAACCCCAACATCAAGCAGGTGGAGTACGCCGTTCGAGGGGCCATCGTGCAACGGGCGGTGAAGATCGAGAAGGAGCTCAGAGAGGTAATTCAAAGTCAAGTGCGACGAGACTCCACTTGTTGAGCCGGCAACTTGAAAACCATTCCCCCCCTCTCACACATCAGCCGATGCCGTAAGCGCTCGCTTAAGTCTAAGCAGGAAGTACCGAGACGTCTCGCTCGTGAAACTAAACGTGCAAAATGCAGGGTGTCCTCGGTTTGCGATGGAGTTTCGTTCCTATGGCGACGACGTAAGTCGGAACGCGTCGTGGGCTATGACCAACCAATGCAAAAGCAGCGGTGAAGTCGTAATGACAGCACATACTTGCCCGAAAAGGCAGCATGGTGCGGAGGTGCTTTGCATGTCTGCCTCACAGTTCTGAGGTTCAGCTTTGGAATCTTTGTCATTCAAGTTTGCATGATCTCCCTGCGCTGCATGGGCTTTGCCCCCCCCCCTCCCAAATGCTCCATTACACGTTGCATGTCATTGAAGACCCCCTCAAGTGCACAAACATCTCCCATTCCGCTTTCCCCCCGGTCGTATTGATCCAATGTGTTCTGCTGGGCAGGCGTTGCAGCCAGACTTTGACGTAACCGCTGTAATGCGACACTTAACTGCAGTCTTTGGTCCTCTAAGCGCCCATAAGTGCTTGAGCCTGATTTGACTGCGCGGTCCAGGATTCTGGAGGAGGATGTGGTCTATCTCAAAGTTGTTACATAAGAAGTGAGGCAACATTCTCTCCGGCCTCTTTTGTCTCTCCTCCCCACAGCCCGCAGAGTTCATTGGACGACGCTCTCGGCGTGAGGCCCAGCAATGCTTTTTATCTGGTCAAGAGCCGCATGGAAAGACGAGCAGAGTAATTGATGCTTTGGGAGGGAGCACCAGGGGCTCTCGCAGTACATTTGGAGCAGGCAAAGAAAGCATTTTTAACAATGAAGGTCCACCGTAAATCAAGAAATAAACAGGTCGCTCGCCCTTATGATGGGATGCCCTGGATCAAGGATGAATATAATAAATGAACGATCACGCAAGTATTATTTCCAATATTTTTCAAGGAACGGGGACAATAAAAGCCTTCTTTAGACCGAAAAGTAGTTGGTGAGGACGAGGCAAACTATGTTGCCTCCATTTTGCATCGGTTACTCCCAAGACATCGGCAGTCCATTCCAATAGTCAGTTCTTCGTGTGGCAAATACCCTGAAACGGTGCAAACATGGAAACATTGTTTTTTAGGTGCACCAAAGAATCTGTACATTCATATCTCACCGGATTAAAAGGCGTGAGGTTGTGATTAAAATCTTTTTTATTTTGGAAAAAATGTTTCACGATGTTTTTTTTTTTTGGGTCATGAGAGTTTGGATGCTTGAAGTTGTCATCTGAGCGAGAGCGTCCTGCCAGATCTCTGACTGGAAACCGTTTCATGACAGCTCAGCAGATTTGACGTCGATGTGTAAATGTGTGCCGGCGTTTATGGGCGTGGCGGTGACCTGACGAAACTTTGACCCAGATTTGCGGCAGCAGAGTGTCGAGAAGGACATTTGGGTCAGGAAAAGAAAGCAAAGCAGCTCAATGTGATTGATGACCGCGGTGAATAACGTTTGCTTTTATCAGGTCAGCCCGTTTGGAAAGCCGCTTAGTAATATGTCTACTAAAATGTCAACTAAGCGGCGGCGTTTCCTGCCTCGCTGGCCCGCGTTGTGTAACCAGCGCCTGGTGGCTCCTCTCCTCCTCCTCCGCCGTGAACAGCAGCCCCTTTGTTGCTTGAGTAAATGCGCAGGCTAGAAACGTGAGGCACCCAATCCCAATTCAATCTCGGAGCCACTTTGCGCTGCTTTCTCCGGTGGCAGCATCCGCTTCATGCTGAGGGGTCCTAAACCCGCTTGACTCGGTCCGTTTGTTGGGTGGCAATCATTGTTACAAACTCCAAAATGTGACAAGCAGCTGTTTTTCCCTGACACGCATGTTGACTGAAACTGAAAATGAAAGGCATGTGCGAACGAGGTCGGCCGAGGTCAGCATCGGCCGTCATGCGCGGCCTTGTGCAATGCAGCGCGGCGTCTCCGCCCCGACACTCAAAACTTCCCAGCGCCGTATGCCGTAAACGTCTCCGAGTAGCCCTCCGCTATTGCCAGCATGTCAACTGGCGCCGTTTGACATGTTAACGTCGAAGACAAAGTCTACTTTTGACTCAGTGTGTCAAAGTCCATTGTCGCGTTGCGTCATCTGATAAACGACAGCAGCTGCTGCACGTTGGCGGCCATCGGTAGACACGCGGGAGCCAAAGCGGAGTGCGCGAGGTCTAATCAGGACAATGCGGCCAATAAATAAAGGATGAGCTCAAGATCAATGCTAAGTGGATGAGGAAGAAAATCAAATCATAAAAGGGTTGATTCATCACACCACAAAGCCCCCCCACCCACATCATCGTTGCAGCTCTGCTTGAAACGGCGGACTCACAGTCGCCAGAAAGCTAAAAGGCACTGTGAAAGATGATGCATGCACAAGAGTAAAGGTTGCATTTGCCGGATGAACAGCAATACTTCGGAGGTGATTGACATGCTGCGCATTTCCGTGGATAAAAGTGCAGTCATCGCAGCATCGCGGACCCCTTTTCCACCTGAAAAAAAACGTGCTGCTCGTTGGGCGCCAGGGCCACCGCTGCGCTCACTTTGGGCCTTAACAAGTTCGTATGAAGAACAAGTTGGGGTTTCCGCCAGCAATGAGCCAAGTAGGAGCGACGTTTACCCAAGAGTGCAGAAACGTCAGCGTGGAAGCTTGTGATACGTCTGCATTATCGATGTTTTTTTTTTTTTTTCATTTCATTTCATTTGTTTAGAGCACGTCAGCATTCCTGGCAGTATTGCCCGTTTTATCAATAAATGCATCACTTGGTGTGATTGATTGCGCTTCACTCTTGTGTTGTATTTTGTACGCAGGGTGCCAAGAAACCTTTCACAGAAGTCATTAAGGCCAACATCGGCGACGCTCATGCAATGGGCCAGAAGCCGATCACATTTCTCAGACAGGTTGGACATTTCCTGTTTCACAATGAAGAGCTTTCAAGGATGATGCAACCGGGGCAAATCAGATTCACCTACGCGGCATCGCTTTGCGCGCAAACACGTTTTGTTGGTCCTCCGCAGGTTCTGGCTATGTGCGCTTATCCTGAGCTCCTCAAGGACGACGCGTTTCCAAAGGATGCCAAGCAACGGGCTCAGCGGATTCTTGAGGCCTGCGGAGGTCACAGTATAGGTCAGAACATAACTCCACTGCCATCCACTTCGCCTCCTCTCCACGCGTTTGCGCTTTGCGCGCGTGTCAATAATTGACACGCTCGCCCGGTGAATATCGGACGAGACAGCCGGCCGGACACTTAAGTTAATCTTCATTCAAGGTGCGTACAGCGCCAGCCAGGGCATTGAGTGCATCCGTCAGGATGTATCGCGTTTCATCGAGAAGAGAGATGGCGGGATCCCATCCAATCCGGACAACATCTTCCTTTCCACCGGGGCCAGCGACGCCATCGTGGTATGAAGTCATTTGCCCGCTGTGACTTTCCCAGCAAACTGATCATTTCAGCCGCACGCGGAGGTGCTTTTCTGCGCTTGCGGCCCAATCAATCATTTCCCCCCACCCGCCGTAGTTAGTTATCAACTGCTGTACTTTGCACGGCCGTGTCTTTGCTCCACCAATGTCGCTGCACCATTGTCTATCCAAGCCATGGCCCGGGGGCCATTCGCGGCAACTATTAAAAATGACATTTGACACGGCCCACTAGGCTAGTTAAAAAAATTAATCATTAAAAAGAGGGTGGAGATGGGCAGAGTGAAAAAGTGGGGAGTCGAAAAAAAAAATGGTGCCACTGCTGCAAATAAGTGGGTTCGCATTGTGAACACCTTTTCTCGCAACCTTCACACGCGTCGTTTATCGTTCGCTTGGCGACGGTTGCCAACGTCTCCCTTCCTCTCTGCTCGCCTCCGCATCCCAGACCTTGCTCAAGTTGATGGTGAGCGGCGAGGGTCGTACCCGTACGGGAGTGATGATCTCCATCCCGCAGTATCCGCTGTACTCGGCCGCCATCGCCGACTTGGGCGCCGTGCAGGTTAGTTACTACTTGGATGAGGACAAGTGTTGGAGCCTGGATGTGGCGGAGTTGCGAAGGGCCCTCCGAGCGGCGAGGGAGCACTGCCATCCCCGCGTGCTCTGCATCATCAACCCCGGAAATCCCACCGGTACCTTTTTTTTTTCGTATTTGACATTTGTTGCAAAACTTTGGGGTGCATTTGTGCCGGTTGCGTCGAGATTCATGATCCTTCTCAAATCCGGGTCTTCCGTGTCGCAGGTCAGGTCCAGAGCAGGCAGTGCATTGAAGACGTGATCCGCTTTGCAAAAGAGGAGGGCCTCTTCCTCATGGCTGATGAAGTAATTCTGAAAATCCCATCACGGTGTTGTGCGTCGAGACGTTCCTTTTGATGAATACTGTTCAGAATGTGTTGATTTTGCTTGCGCTTATTTTTAGGTCTACCAGGACAACGTGTATGCGGAAGGCTGCAAGTTTCACTCCTTTAAGAAGGTGCTCTTTGAGATGGGACCAGAGTACTCGAGTACTGTAGAGTTGGCCTCCTTCCACTCCACCTCGAAATGCTACATGGGAGAGTGAGTTACACCAGTTTTGTCGCGTTCATGAAACTCAAGACTCCAGCATGCTCCATCAATGTGATGGTGCATGCGGCGGTCACTGGAAATGACAAAAAGAAATAAGTCAATATACCTCCATTTGATCGAAACAATAGATAAGATTGAAAAATGTTACCAAGCAGGAAACTGCAATCCAGGTCACACCGATGCACGGTGCGTCAAAGCTCACTTTTTGTGTTGTTATGAAGTAAGATCAATTAATCCGGTTTCGTATTTCACGTTCATTCAAGTGGAAAAGCTGCGCTCCGCTTCCACTCACCCGTGTGTCTGTGACGATCAGGTGCGGATTCCGTGGAGGCTATATGGAGATAGTTAACATGGACCCGGCGGTGAAAGCCCAACTTGTCAAGCTGGTGTCGGTGCGCTTATGCCCCCCCGTCCCCGGGCAGGCCCTCCTGGACTTGGTGGTGAATCCCCCTCAGCCTGATGAGCCCTCCTACAGCAGCTTCATGAAGGTATGACAATCAGCGCGGTGATTGAAGATGTCTTTCGGAGCCCGAGAAATCCATTTCCAAAGTGTGGCGATGCGGTCTGAGTGAATCGGATCAATAGTGACGTGAAAGTGCAGCATGGCTCCGAATCCATTTGAGTGATGCTGTGGGTGGCCCATTAGTGCGGCGTGCGGGTGCGCTCTTCCGCTTCAACAGTGAGAATCTTCAAGGATTCCAACTGTCTATCATCTCAAGTCATAGTTGAAGGAAATGTCAACTTTTGCAACCGCATCGTTATACGTTGCATGCACTACCACTAATAACAGTTCGGGGATGCACTTGGCAAACAAATTGGCACCAAATAAGTACTATGGTCATCGCTTAGTGCAATGTCTTTTGTGTGTGTAAAGGCGGAATGTGATACAGCTTCAGACTGGGGGCTGGCCGATGTCTTTTGATGCACTGATACATTTTCCAAAGCATGGACCTTTTTTGTAACCCTCCCTTATCCAAGCAATGTTCTGGAAATGAATTCAAGGACTCAGCGGCTCATGGCCTGCATCGGCCATAAGAGGGTGACAAAATCAATTGTGCAAATTTAATCGGGCCCAAGCCGCTTCAAATGACGAAAGTTTGACCGGTTGGAAAATGCTCGGCAGCTCTTCATACTGACGCACGCCCCGTGTGGATTTTCACTGTGGACCAACTGAAATGTCCCCACAGGAACGTACTGCGGTGCTGGACGCCTTGGCAAAGAAGGCCAGGATGACCGAGCAGATTTTCAACAAGGTGCCCGGTATCACGTGTAACCCCGTGCAGGGCGCCATGTACACTTTCCCCCGCATCACTCTGCCGCCGAAGGCCATCGACAAGGCGAAGGTGTGTTCGCATCGTTTCGGTTTCCACACGTCCTCCTTTTCCAAAGCACCATCCCGACGTTAACAGGAGGAAGGCCAAGTGCCTGACATGTTTTACTGCATGAGGCTGCTGGAAGAGGAGGGCATCTGTCTGGTGCCAGGTAGCGGCTTCGGGCAAAGAGAGGGAACGTTCCATTTCAGGTCAGTCAAAGACGGCATTCAACTTCTCCCCCCTGCCGACGGCAACAGTAGCCAACCGTTTTCTTTCTCCGTCCAGGATGACCATCCTACCCCCGGCTGAGAAATTAGAGATTGTCCTGCATAAGATCAGCGCCTTCCACCAGCGCTTCACGAAAGAGTTTTCTTAAGTCTTCCACTTTGAACCGTTCCAAGTAGCAACCTTCTCTCAAGTGCCTTTATCCTAACAAGTGCAGCCATTCTACGTCGCTTAGTTTTTAGAATAGCACGCGTACACCAATTTTATGATGCATGATGCACTTTGCTACGCCAGATAATCGTGCTAACTCTTCGCCGTCCCAAAAAGAAATGCTGCTGTCCTATCGAGTAGCGCTCCGCGCAAACTCATGCCTGCCATTCGTGGTGCCAACTGAAATGTAAGAAGCGCTTTGAAAACGCCATTAAACGCTTGCATTTGTAACATTTGCTATTGGTGTCCAATCAAGAGTCGTCACAATGGAGCCTCGGCTCACGTCGCCGGCGTTTTGTTTTATTTGAAAACCCTCAGAAGCTCACATGCTTTTTAAGAAGCAGAAACAAATGAACAAACGAAAATGTTGGATGAACTCCGTAATCCTCACAGCAACTCAGTAACACTTTGACACTGGCGCTTGGTTCCCTTCACCTCCCCGCGTGTCCGTGGGCCACTGTTGGGGTTGTCCCCGGCCCCGTTCGGAGTCCGTACGTGATCTCCTCAAAGCTCGTCTCGTGCGTGTGACAACTTTGTGGCGTGCTCTTCCAAAAACTTACTCAAGGCGTCCACTGTTCTGTCACCGCTTTCAAATTTGACAGGCTTGTGTTTCCCGTCGCTCGGGGCAAAGTATATTGTGGGGAAGCCTTCGACTTTGTACTCGTCGTTTGGAACGTCGTTAGCGGTGGCGTCCATCTTGGCGATCACCAAATTCTTCTCGGCTTTGTACTTCTTGCCCAGAGCCAAGAACTCTGGCTCCAGTTTTTTACAGTGTCCACACCAAGGCGCGTAAAACTCGATGAGGACGTCCTTCTGGGTGTCCATGACGATCTCGTCGAAGGTCTTTCCCACCACGACCTTCACCGCTCCTTTGTTGTTTTTCGGCACGGGCTGCGACTTGATGATGGGCTGCAGCTTGCCTGTTGACATGCATGCACATCATGATCTCTACCGCGTGAGATTGGAACACTGTTATGTTAAAAAAAACAAAGCTCACCCTTTTTGAAAGCCATAATAAATTCCCTCAGCACGTCAGAGTCAAACTCGTCGGGCTCCATGGCGAACTTTTTACCGCCGTCGGCCAGAATGCCGACGTTGACTTCCTCGCCGCTCTCGCTGAGGCCCAGGCTCTTCAGCTCCTCCGCGTAGTCTTCCTCATCGCCGATGGCAAACGTGTACTCGGGGAAGTCCCGGGCCACTTCCAGCACCTTGGATCTCCAGAACTGTGTGGCTAAACAGGCGCAAGACACGTTTGCTATGTCGTCTAAGATCGACTGCGAGCGGCGCAGGCTTAGGTAACAAAACGCACCTTTCCTGTAGTCAAAGCTAAAGTCAACTCCGTAGTACACGACAACGAGCGGCCTTTTAGCGTAGCGCTTGGCATCGTTGCTCGGCTTTCTGTGGCCCACCAAAGGGATCGTATGCTTCTTGAAGAACTCTTGCAAATCTGACACCGATGTGGAGTCCTGGCAGATACAAAAAAAAAAAAAAAGAGACAATTTTAGCTTATCAGAGGTAAAAAAAAAAAAAAAAGACAATTTTAGCTTAGCTTATCAGAAGCATTAAAATGTCAGATCGAGTTTTTATGATACAGTCCAGTTCTAAATCCACTGCAGACAACTCCAACAATAAACCTTGTTAAATCACTAAGCCTGACAGTGTCGATCAAAAGTGGAGCCTAATCTTTGCAAAGGCGGCTTTTTTGGTCCAGCGTGAGCTTGTGCAGATGTAAATAATTCCCTAGCCGGTGACGACCTCCATTATTCCGATGGAGGGGCGGGGAGAGTCGGTACCTTGACTGGGAGAGCGTGGGAGGCTGGCTCATATTTGGAGCGGAACTTTTCTGGCTGAGTGATGACCACCTGACCGGGCGACGCTTTGAGCAGCTTGGCCACCTCGGCGCTGAAGGTGTGACGGAAGGTGAAGTCTTCCCTGAGTGAGTTGCCTGCCACGCAGACACAAGCGTGTCACAAATAGGTGCGGTCAAAAGACATTCCCTCCAGGTAATCGACACGTCTACTGTGGGTTATGATTGGAAAGTACTCATTGGTATGAATGGATTTGCAAGGTGTCCTCCTTACAAGCCTCGATGTAGGTCTCGTACGCCGCATCCTGCTCACTGGAGAAGATGCCAACAATGACCGCATCGTCGCCATCTTTCAGAAGCTCCTGCACTTGTTTGGCGGCCTGCACCTGCTTGGAGGGAGGCCCCGCCTGCTCGCCCATGTAGTCCACGATGCCTGCGGGCAAGGAGGCGAAGCAGCAGCAACTCAGCGCGAGTCGACATCGTCGGCGCGACGGGCCGGCGTGCGGCGTGGACGCCGCCTACCGTGCTGCTCTCTGGGCCCGTTGTACTCGAACACTTTGCCCTTCCTGAAGATCTTGAGGGTGGGGTAGCCGCTGACGTCGAAGCGGGAGGCAACCTCGTTCTCCACCGTGGCGTCCACTTTGGCCAGGGGGATGGGCGGCGAGCGCCGGCTTAACTCCTTGGCCGCCTTCTCGTACTCGGGAGCCAAACGCTTACAGTGTCCACACCTGCGAGCGGAGCACAAACACGGTGGATGGGAATACTTCGGTCTGGCATTTGGAATGAACCGGATCTTCGCGAGCTAAGAGACCCCTGGTGTCGTGGTTACAGTAACGAGTGCACCTACGTTCCTGTCAGAGTAATTCAATTTGCATTGCTCATTTCGTACCAAGAAGCTCGAATGCTCCGAGGCATTCCTGGGCCGAGAGATATGATTGTATTTTTACTCTGGAATCAAAAACAAGCCAAAGAAATGCTGAGATTTTAATTCAATGGCCAGCTGAGCTGAAGTACGCCGATTGTATTTGTATATTGCAAACTGAACCACATTTGAGGAGGTTCATCTTGGGATGTATAACTGACGGGCGGCTGGAACTGACCACGGAGCGTAGAACTCCACCAGGATGATGTCGGCGTTGTTGACCGTCTCATCAAAGTTGTCCTTGGTCAGCACCAGTGTGGCCTCAGGTGGAGGCTTCCAGTCAGGGTGCGCGATCTCTTGGACACGAGCCACGATAGCTGCCGGAAGAAACAAAAAGAGCCAGACTGAAGCCTCCGTTGACAGGTACGAGGGCGCCGGGACACTGAAATTATAAACTCACGATAACGGCGCGCATGACAATCAGTCACGTTTGCTACAAATTGAGTTTGAAAGTAAACAAGAAGCTCAACTTTTCTAGCAGCCGATAAAACAAATGTCAAGTCAGTCAATCATAAATCAGATTACGACAACAAAGCAAACAAATCAATGGCTCGATCGCTCCAATTTGTCAAGAGTCACAAAACAATGACATGTAAAACATAGTTGTGGACTGCACTTCTTCAAACTTGTCGTTTCCCTAAATTGCAGCCACCCTATGACATTGAGATGTTCTCCCCGAATTGATATGTCGTTCAACTCTACTCTCAATCAAAGAATATCCCTAAATTGCAGCCACCCTATGACATTGAGATGTCTCCCCTAATTGATATGTCGTTCAACTCTACTCTCAAAGAATGTCAACGCCCCAAAAACGTTGGAAACTACACATGACTTACCCTTCTGCGTCCTGTCTCCATCATAGTCCACAGGTTGGCCTCTCTTCAAGATCTTGATGGTGGGGTAGCCCGACACCTCGAACCTGCTCCCCAGGTCCTTGGCCTCGGTGGCATCCACTTTCGCTACCGGGATGGGGGGATCATTCTCCTTTAGGGTCTGCGCGATCATCTCATACTCTGGTGCAAACTGTTTACAGTGGCCGCACCTGCACAAAAAAAGAGCACCGCCTCAGCAAACAGGCACGGTAGCAAGTGCTCATCTCATACTCTGGTGCAAACTGTTTACAGTGGCTGCACCTGCACAAAAAAAGACAGCACCGCCTCAGCAAACAGGCACGGTAGCAAATGAGGAACACTTTTGTAAATATGATTTTAATCTCCTGTATCAATAGTTTTAGCTGCAAATACACCATTATAATCCCATAAAGATACATGCTACATTATCCTTGATTGTAGTATTGCATGCGTATTCTCATTTTCCCCCCATAAAATGTTGCTTCTAAGGTACCATGGCGCATAGAACTCAATGAGCACGGTGTCTTTGCCCTCCATGAAAGTGTCAAAGTTTCCATCGGTAAGAACCAGCACTCCGTTCTCCTCTTTGACTTCAGTGTCGTCCTCCTCGTCACCTCCCTCCTCTTCGTCGCTGTCGTTCTCGTTCTCCCCATCCTCGTATTCTTCTGGAGCAAGCAGGCGAAAGATGGCAGAATGAACTAACACCTTTCTGTAGCTTGGGCGCCACGAAAACAAACCATTCTGCAAAATGACGTTCAAACTTCGACTACGTTTAAGATGGTCGTCTTCCCCACGCAAATGATAAAGCATCCTTAAGTTTTGCTGCTTAACTATTGACGATATTGAGAATTGCGTTGAAAAACTCACCATCTTCACATCGGCATACAATCGTCAAGTGGGCAACGGCGAGGAGCACAATGAGCAGCAACGCAGTCTTGCTCATTGTCGGAAGACGGTTAGGCCTCGTTGGTAATAACCACTGATTTGACAATTTGGTTCTGTATTTGTTTGAATGTCAACCAATTCAAAGAGTCTGGTTCAATCTTAATTTATCACCGCAGGTGGGCCTTTTGGCTTTGTGGTTTCTTACAAGCTAATAAACGCTTCGCTAATCGCGACGTTCACGCCTTCTCCGGTCTGCAACTTGTCTGACTTGCCAAGTTCTGATTGGTCGTCGCAGCCGCCTTTTGTCCAATGGCAAGCCGCCACTCCACGAGCCAACAGAAAACGTAGACGCGCCGGATTGGTCAATTTTGTTGAATCGTTTCCTCTATGATACTCGAAACGCGCTTTCGCTGCTTTGTTTATCTGCGGGCGATAGTCAAAGAAATGGCGCGTCAGAAACGTTTGTCGTGTTCAGAGGAGCAAAACGTATTTGTCATTGCATAATGAATATTCACACTCACTGTAAAATCGCCTTGGGATCCTCGTGTTTGCAAATGTTTATGCACCGACTGAAACGATAGCACCTGACTGCAGAACTACTACTGCTGTCTAAACAATTCTGAGTCAAATGATCGACGAACGAAGTGACTTAAAGGGACTTATGGCTTGATGGAGGTTGTTATCTCACTACTCCAGAGAACTATAGAATATATCAATACATCGCCCAGCCCCAACATTAAGTATGCCAGCATAATTTGATGTGATCACAGACACAAGCTGTATTCTTTTTAGTACGCGAATGCATTTCAAGTTTCAGGCTTCAAATCTCAGTGTGGGGTGTTGGGGTATTTTCCCCGTGCTTGCGTTAGTTTTCTCCAGGTATTCCAGTCTGCAAGTCTGAGATGAGTCTGATATTTTGGCCTCAACTGTAGTTAAATAACCAACAAATTAGGGTCGATGTGATACAGTTTGTGTTGGATGTCTAGCTGTTAAAAATATTCTTTATTCATTCCGAAATGCAAATATATTCCAGTACACAGCCACCAATGAAGATGTGCAGGTTTAAAAACGCTCACAAAGGCTCATTGTGGATCAGGACTTCGACCAACACCTCTGTATGAGGTGCCTGAGTGGTTGTGCGACACGTAATATTTTTACGAGTCAAACAGCTGTCACTTCTCCTGGTCACATGGCTAGTTTGTCTTTCCAGAGCATCATTTAGGACTGAAAGACACTCCGCTCGTCCACTTTGCAGTTCCTCCACCATAGATTTGGATTCTCCACCACTGGCACTTGGTCGTGGCAATGCCGCTCTGTCACAGATGACCAAAAAAAAAAAAAAAAAAACTTTCAGTATAACACGTTTTGCCAAACAGAGACGCACCTCACATGACGGAGTCCAATGTTTTTCTGTTATTATACCTCCAACCACTAAGGGGCAGTGTTTTGTTTCTTTCGTGACCTGTGCGGAATAGGGTTCGGGTGGCCCGAAAGTTTGGAAATGGGGTTTCCTCGGGTGGACACCGCTGTCACTGATTTGGGCAAACAAACATTTTCCACGAGCGTGTGTTGTGCTGAACCGGCAGCGTTGTTGTTGTTGTAGATTTGGTTTGTGGATAAATAACAAGTTGTGACTTTTCAAGTAATTAAATGTCAGTCATGATTCCATTTCGGAGGTCTATTCTGTTGTTTTCTTTTTTTTTTTTAAACAATGAGTATAAGAAGTCAAAATTAAGCAATCAGTATTGGACAAAAGTGGCAGTGGACAAGTTCCTGCATGAATGATCTTTTTTTTTTTTTTTTTTTTTTTTTTTTTTTTTTAACAATGACTATAAGAAGTCAAAATTAAGCAATCAGTATTGGACAAAAGTGTCAGTGGACAAGTTCCTGCATGAATGATTCCAGCATTACAGTTCCTACAAAATGCAACTAGGTGACAGCATGACTCTGCAGACACCTTCCTGTTCCCTCTCCAACACTTGTCCGCAGACATCTTAGGGTAAGTGCTTTTTTGCTTCAAAGGGTAAGTACTTGTATTTGATTGTTTTATTTTGGATTTGCTAAACAGTGGGTCTTTGGTGTACGACATGTAGGAATACGTCATCATGTGGCACGGGTGGGCATGTAAAGTTGCCGCTGCACTTAATGTTTTTAATTTGATTGTTGTATATTTTTCATATGAATATTCATTGCACTTATGATTTAATAACTGTCCTAGCCTAGGTTATTGATCAGTAGCAGGCCATGCATTGGGGACCTGGACTTTCAGGCTTCACATAACCGCTGTACCGGCACAATTATAGAATACATTCAATACCACACAGAAACGTTCTATATTGGCACACAAATGTGTCATGCACAAGAGTGCATCTTCTGGAGGCATATCAATATTCATCGAATATCAAACACAAAATATTTGTGAAAGCGCAACATAGCTAAAGATGTCTTGTATTGTCTTCATGGTCAGAGATGATTATTTTCCTGGATTCATGTGTGCACATTGCTACAGATTGACTTTTGGAATTTAGCCTGGTCTGACCAACCAGAGGGCATAAAAATGTTAGAATGGGCCGCTTCGTGAGAGCCATTTGAAATATGATTGCTTCAAGAAACCGTGTTGATGTCGGCCAGAACTCCTTATTCTGAAGGCCTTCAGCAGATTCGAGTGACGTGGCATTCACCGGTGGTTCTGGTTCTGGTTCTGTTGAGCGTGTTCTCTCACTGTTCTGGAATACAGACAAAGAGTTAAGGCTGGCTATGCAGCAACATTCAGCTTATGTCCTTTTTTTTTTTTGTTTTGTTTTTAAGACCTGAGAGGTGGGTGAGGGTACAGGGCTGTCGTCGATGTGGACATGATGAGCAACAGGGGGCAGTGTGGCGTGCAGCCTGTTTAGCTTGAATAGTAGCTCATCCACTACGGTTTCAAACTCCTCCAGGTAGTAAGTCTGGAAACACAAGGGGGTCGTGTGATTTGGGGTCCTCTCAAAGATCAAGCAACGTTTTCCTCACCTTGCTCTCCACAGCAGGCCTCGCCTGCTCTTCGTGTCCAGTGAGCTCACGAACCCTCCGTCTGATGTAGCCGCCTAATTCTCTCACAGTGCACACATCTTTCCTGCTTTGACGCGGCTTCCTCCCTGATGAGAACACGAAGGCCATCATCTAAAGAGACAAAAAAATCGAAGCGAAGCAGCGCATGCTGTAACACACTTCACAGCAGAAATTTAAACCGGTATTGTTGATTGTGAGGCACTTGTACCGAAGCGGCGAAGGACAGGCAGAGGCCTCGGAAGCTTAGGAACGAGTGTCCAGATCGGAGGAGACCGCCGATAGCTTTGTGGTCACAGCTGTTACAAAGCAGTGTGTGAAAGGAGTGTCCAACCAGCAGCGGGATGAAACCTGACATCTGGGATAGAAGAATAGAAAAGAAAAGGCCTTTATTAGTTTTGCAAGGGGCAAAAAAACGCGACAGGAGTTGTTATTCATATGAATGTTAAACCGGTATCATGTAGTTTGCATTTTATTTAGACATAGTTTCATCATTCTTTTTCTTGGCTAATTAGCTGAGAGATATCACGTTGTTCTTGCCTTGTGGAGTCTATTCTGATTGCATTGATCGCTTCTCATTGAAAATGTTTACAATCTCCCCTCGGGAGGTTGGCATTTGAGACGTGTGGGTTTGCTTGTGTTTGACTTCCTGTCGTCAGTAATTCATGTCAGCTTTGGATGTCAATCTTCTACGTGCCCACCGATGGTGATATGGTTAATTGATTTGATATTGTTACATTTGTACGTCTAAATTCGCAAAAAATCTCTCAAAAAGGATCTGGAGTCTTTCATCCAATCAACGGGCGGCATACAAGGTTTGGGATCAAGCGGGTCACGGGCGTCGTCGACCTCCTGGTCAGCGTCAGCATGGTCGCACATTTTGCAGTGAGGAGGAGGAGCAGAACGCCACGCAGGGAGCGAATATGCTGCAAAATATCAGCGAGCGTCAGCGATGTCATTCGCACAGAAAACAAAACGGCCGCCTTTCTCTCGTCTTCTGTCTTTCTCTCACTTGTTCCCGTGCGGCCAGGAGGCTGACATCCACGTGTTCTTTGCCGTCGGTCCTCCGCAACAGCTCCGCAACTTCCATGGACTCCACAGAGCGGTAGATGTCGTGATAAGAGTACAGGAAGATCACCATTTGGAGAATTACCTACCGATTCACATATGTTGGATTTACATAAATATCATGAGGTCAATCTGACTGTCAACTCGTCAGGCATGCTTTGACATCAGAGGCAGCAAAGCTTGATGTTTCAGTTATGCAGTGGCCCTTTTCCGTTTCGGTCCTTCTTAATTCGGTCCTGATGTCAGTTGGGATAAGCTTCCGTGTGCCCGCGACCCCGGCGAGGATAAGTGGATTTCGAAAATGCACGGATGCAACACTTACATGCAGCCAGTTGCAGGGTGCTGCGCAGTATCCTAACAAGCCTTTGTGCCACGCAGTGCCTACTTGGACGCTGAGATGCAGCAGGGACAAGCAGAGGAACAGCAGCTAGATAGCAAACAAAAGCGGGAAACTCGCTCATCCGGTGTCCTGGCGAGGTTGTTGTCATGTTACTCGTTACCTGGCAGACGGTGACGACGTAGTCCCAAACAGTAGGCGTGTGGTAAACCTTCACTGAGTGGACAGCGGCTGACGTCAACATGGCGCCGGCGGGGCTCCGCTCAGCCAGCAGCGTCACGGTGGTGAACAAGGCGGGGGCGGGGCTATACATGGCCAATTGCACCTTCACTGCCACACAGCTGCCGTCACCTTGCAGGGCCTCAAGTGTCGCCATGGCCTCGGACCTAATGTGGGCGCGGGGAAGATTTTCACTGGCGTCATCAATCATGTTCTCGCTCTAACATTGCGTGCTGGATCCTTACTTTGTGCGGCCCAGCCTAAGCGCAGAGTTCCGTCCGAGGTCGCAGCCAAGGTGAGCACACCGTGTAGCAATGACACGTGACGGTAAGCAGGTGGATGATCTTTTCTGAAAAAAAGAGCTGCGTCATTCATACGAGCGGCTGCCCAATCGAGGTCTTTGATCGTTGGAAGATAGACTATTGAGCCACATTGAGGTCACGTGACGAAATGTGAATCTGAGTCGAGATCACAAGTGCTCGCGATTTCTACGGCGCAACCAATCCAAAGAAGTTGAGTTTGCTGTGCTGTCAAATAGACCTTTGTTGCAGCAGAGGGATTCTTATACAGGAAATTAAGCAGACTGCTCTGCATCCACTTGCGCCAGTCTTCGTATTTCCGTATGGACGTGAAGGCGGGCCCCTGTCTCCCTCTGCCAAAAAAGACAAATGTCAACTCCTTTCCATTTCTCTCGCATCTTTGCTGGACAACATTGTCTCTGGATTCGTTTTGTGTCATTTACCCAGTAATTTGTTGTCTGATGGCGTTATTGAGGCGGGAGTGGTCACTGAATGAGCTGCCGTTGGCAATGCACAACATCAGGAGGAGCATGGCTACAAGGACACACAAATCCCTGAAGGACAAAGAGAAGAGATGGACATGAAAGTATGCCAGATAGAAAAGAGCCCACAGAGTTGAAAAGCTCCGTCAACAACCTTGAAGCATCCAGCAGATGGAGGTCCAGGCTGGTCCACCTCCATTTAGTAAATGAAGACACTCACCTGAGGGTTTCGCCAATGAAAGCCTCGCGGCTTCTGCGTGCTCGAGTCAACCTCAGCTCCGCAACAGTAGGCGGGCGCACAAGACGGAGAAATCTCGCTCGCCGGCGCTGTCCAAAAAGCACAAAGTCAGAAATGACGTGGCTGCAACGGGAGACGCGAGATGCCGGATTTACGATGAAACCGAATGTTGCCGTCTTCACCTTTTTGAGATCTGAGAAGCTGTCCGACCGAAGAGCACAAGTGAGCTGCTGTCCCGCTTTCAACGTGATTCTGGAGGGACTCTGGAAGTCTGTTCTATTTCTGTACCAAATGGATAGCGTCACACCAACAGCAAGGATCTGCGGCAGCAAAGAGGCGTTATTCGGAAATGCAATCAGATATGTATTTTGAGGGGGAAATTAGGTTCTACCCCAATTGGCTGGATCAGGAAGAAGCACGACGCCAAGGAGAGGAAGGTCGAATGGAGCCACAGTTGCAGCTTACTACTGCTGAACCTGACGACAACAACAATAAACAGAACACTCACTGGAGTGAGGTGCGAATGATAAAAGATGTCTCAATGATGTCACAGGAGCGCCAAGTCAAGGTGAAGTGAGGGTGATGTGATGGATTGATCGTGCAAGTTCAGGAGTTAACTCCCATCGTCAGATATGTATTTTGAGGGGGAAATTAGGTTCTACCCCAATTGGCTGGATCAGGAAGAAGCACGACGCCAAGGAGAGGAAGGTCGAATGGAGCCACAGTTGCAGCTTACTACTGCTGAACCTGACGACAACAACAATAAACAGAACACTCACTGGAGTGAGGTGCGAATGATAAAAGATGTCTCAATGATGTCACAGGAGCGCCAAGTCAAGATGAAGTGAGGGTGATGTGATGGATTGATTGTGAAAGTTCAGGAGTTAACTCCCAGGAAGCGGTCGTTCCGCCAATGTGAAGTTGGAATCGATCAAAATTGTCCTTTCCAATTTGAAGGCTGGAGTGCGCCGAACCACTCCAATACAAAATCCAACTTTGCAGAATCTCTGTTCAAGCTCTTTGGAAGGACCGATAGCTCCAAAAACTCATGTTGTTGAAGGAAGGTGACCCAAGTTATAGAAGGATACCATCAGAATCAATTGCATACCTGAGCCCCAACAATGCTGTGATCAGTAGAGCGGCAAAAGACAGAAGCAGGCACAATGTCCAGGCCAGATAGTGACACCGCAGCCGAGCCGTTCTCTTTGTCCTCCGTCTGAGCTCATCAAACAGACCGAGACATCGTCTGCGTTCCGAGCAGGCTGCCAGCTGAAAGCCGCCTCCCTCGCTTCCAGCCCGAGAAGGGGCTCCTTCTTGAAGGCGCATCCGCTTCTGAATGACTTCTGTCTGGATTTCGCTGTCCTCGTTGTTCACGTCCCTTGCGACCGGCTGATAATTCTTCCGAACGGAGTCGGTGCTGCCCACTGCAGAGACATCATCGGAGATCAGCGCACACCACCTGGAATGCAACGCGCTTGACCATCGTGACCAACGTTACCCTCACGAGGGTCCCGTGCAGTCCGGGTTCTCTCCTCTCCCATCGTCAACTTCACTTCACGCAGTCGAAACAGGAACGTTATCAGCGTCGCCATGGGCAACGCCACCGCCACACTTGATACCGCGGCGGTCAGCGACACAGCGGATAGCGCAGTCGTGCCCGCCTCGAAATGGAGCTGTAGAAACGAAGCTTGGCATCATATATCTGACAACACTCACGCATGGACTTTGTTTGTTTGTTAATGATTTGTTTCGACCCACCGCTTCTTCCGTTTGCGAATATCTGACAACACTCACGCATGGACTTTGTTTGTTGGTTAATGATTTGTTTCGACCCACCACCGCTTCTTCCGTTTGCGCTATGATCAGTGCGTTGACACACGCGTAGCCCGCAAATAGCAGCAGGCATACGGCCAGTCTTTGCGTGCGTGTGAATGAGTGAGGCCGAGGGCAGCTGTACACAGACATCCACATGTGGAAATCTGCCAGGTAGTCACACAGCATGAGACGCATCATCTGCGGATGCAAGTGCAGACGTCATGAGGAAGACGAAGCGATTCCTCGGTTTGAACAGGGGCCGATCCAAGCCCGTACCCGAGCTACTCCTATTCCACGAGTGCAAACGCGCAGCATTCTCTCCACGCGGCCGTCGCCTCTGCTCGCGGACAACCAACACTGGCCCGCAAAGAGCCGCGTTGGCGACTCCATGTTGGCCTGCCCCAGCTGCGGTCACACGAGATCGCCAAATGTTGCCGAGCATAGCATCAACGACACGACAGGAAGAAAAGCCTGACCTCAGAGACTTCCACAAGTTTCACGAATAAATGTGGCGAAGGTCCGGAGTTGTCATGCCAGATGCGGACCCCCCACACGGGACCCAGGCTCTCGGCTGCACTGTGACGTCATTGGAAGTGTTAAATTCATCTCATGGAATAGCGACTCCAAATGTTTGTCTTGTCTGAAAGGGCTACTTGAATATGCTTGGATGTCACCTGAGCACAAAGGTGTCTCGTGAGTTCCTCCTGAAAAGCGTGCATCCTGGGACGGATAGTTCTCTTGTCTGTGAGGTGCCGTCGCCGCCGTACAGTGCTACGTAAACCTGCCAAACGGGTGATTGGAACATTGAACGTCTACTCTCATAGAATCGGATAGAGACTTGTTGAAAGACGGCCTTACCTTTGCACTCAGTTTGTACGCAGAGCGGAGGCCGGTGTGGACGGTCACAGCATAGAGATGCGGTTCCCGTGGACAGTTGTCGTGAAGGTAGTGGACTCGGCGACTCTGCTCGGACACGATGTCTGCTCTCCTGCATCCCATCAACGCCGGCGCGTACAGACACACGCACAGGAACAGGACAACTGGAACAGTCACATCGGAGGCCTCGCTGAAAGATGACAAATGAGACGCGAAATGGATATTTTGAATGCTCCAAACACACGGACTGACGTTTATATCATTTGACATACCGTGACGTGAAACGTATTCACAAGGAAGGACGAATCGGCCGAATCGGCGCTGACGTTGCGCAATTTCATTTTACGTACCCAATTTCATTTTACGTACCCGATACCGTCAATTTACAAGGTCACCTGAGGAAGATGTCCAGGTCGGCTGCTTCATAGACGCTCCCGATCTGCTTCTGCACCACAGTCAGCGCGACCTAAACAGGTGACAACGCCACCAGACACCAAATGGCGAGCGAGGCTGGCTCGAAACACGTTTGGGTGTGTCAACGCCAATACCTGCAGTTGACAGCACGAGTGCTGTCTGCCTGGTGCGTGCTGCAGCCCAGCGGCGTCCACGCCCCTTTTAAGTGGTCCAAGGACAAACATTGGCTGGCGACCACCGCCAGAGTGTAATTGATCCGGCTGCTCTGGTGCTTGCGTCTGATTGTTTTACCAAAGTCGCCATTGAATAACGCCAGGTAGCCGACCCCTGGAGCTAGAGGTGAATTCCGAATCAGTTGAATCCGCAGTCACTGGACAGCGACAACATTGACGGCTGGAAGAAAAACCCACTCTTGAGATAGGATGGTGGCAGGGTGATCCGAGTGGAATTGGTCTCCCAATGGTGAATCTTATGCAAGTGGTGCATGCCGGGAGACGGCTTGGCAAACATCCTGCCGTAAACGGAGGCTCCCGA